ACACACATATTTTTGTTCATCGATTGAGTAATATATGTCTGTTTTAAAAAATTTGAATTGTAACATATGCAGAAAAAAAAAACTAAAATTTACTAACTATTTATATATTTTATAATAATTTAAAATAATATAAATATAAGATCAAATAAAAGTGAAATAAGAATCATATATTTATGTTTAAATTAGGTAGAGAGGTTTTAGGAAATTAGTGCAAATTTGTTATATTAGCATTAAATCATCATATTTGATTTCTTTATCTATAAAAATCGTGGAGAATATACCATAAATAAAGCGTTTAAATATAGTAATTAGTTGAGAAAGTATATATATTTTAGATTTTATTAATTATTTTCGTTTTTTAATTTTGCCAAAATTTAAGGAAAGATCCGATTGAAGATTTCCGGGTCAAAATTAAATAAATTTGACCCGATTTGGGTACCCCAAAAACTGCTGCAAAAATGTATAGTAGATTATTGTAAGTGTACAATTAACTTCGCACATTCCCTATGTTTCAGAAGATTTTGGTTGTTTCTTTCTGCTCCATGTGACGCACCGAAAAACATAAAACCATACTATGGAGAAGTGACAAGTTACGTGTGTAAATAATATGCTCTATAATATAGTTCTGTATTTGTTTTAGAGCATATTAACAATAATTAGCGTGGGTATTACTTGTATTCTCCATATAGGAGAGGAGGTTTACATGATTCAAATTGATTTTTGAAAACAAATTACGTAACAGGAACCATTTTATGTAATTTGTATATAGTTGGAAATTTGTTAGTTTGTTGTCGTTACTTTATTCGAGATGATTTAAATGTTGATATCAACCAACATATAAAGACAATGAACCAGCAGAACACCGTCCAAAAACTTGAATTTAAATTAGTGGAAACATATAATAATTGAATTCACAACGACGCGTATTATTTATCACAGCTTCAAGTTCCAACAAACCTATTTCATTAAAATTTTATATCTATCGAATAATCTCTTTTGACAAAAGGATAAGTCTCAAGGAATAATATACCAGATAAATTATGATAATTAGTTTATCCAAAAACCAATAACATTTTTCTTTTTAAGCTCATTAGTTGAATTTAACAAATCTAATACGTCTAGGCGAGCCGCACCAGTGGCCAGAGAGAACATGTTTATAAATTAACTTTTTCTTAGTATTTCTTAAAACTTTTATCAAATTTGATAAAAATAAACTCTTAGCTCAATTAAAAATAAAGTAGTATACGACATCGTATCACATAAGACCAAAATAGTAGGTCATTCTCGAGAAGTGTACTCATTTGTTGTTTGTTCGTCGTATTTAAAATAAAAAATAAATAAAAATCTAAGACGTCTAGGTCACTTATTTTGTTATGTTGGTCAAGAATCGAGATCAAACTCTACGGATGTATTTTTGGCTACTGCGATTTTATTAATACCTAGTGAATAGATAAATTGATGGATTAGTTTCTAGATTTGATTTGTAAAGTTTTGATGTCAATCCAAACTCAATTCATACGAGTGAGCATCACATAGCGGTTCTTAATTATTGATTTTTTTTCTTCTCTTTTTCTGTTTAGTCAAAGACTATTTGAAGACAAAAAACGTCAAATCTATCTAACCTCATGTTCTTGTTAATTTTTTTGATGCACTGTATTGACTAAAAAATAGCGGCCTAAAATTCACACGTATACATATATAGGTTTCAAATGAAGAAAGCGCTTCAGGTAAAATTTATCAAGCAATTTAGATAAAACAAATGCAGATTAAACAGAGTCTTCTTATGTGGTTAAGTTATTAGATTAATAATCATTGAGATTTTATCAAAGACCCACAAAACTTTGAAAATAATTTAATTCGCTGTTGAACGGACCACTTAAACACATATATGTTCCTGAAAGAACTTAATGCCAAAAATATCGGCCTAATCCATTCTTCTGGTCGGGCTGGATTATATCTATAAAGCTTCGATCCTAATTAACAGTACTTCAATATGTTTTCAAAAAAAGGAAAAAAAGCAAATTTGTGGTGTGGAAGTAGAGCCATGCGGCACGTGACATGCATGAGAAGGTCCAAGATACTAAATATGGGTTTATGGAGACGATTGCTCCTATCGACGAAACCCTCTACCTGGACCAGTTTCTTTCATAACTATTTACTCAATGTTCGTTAAACTATAGTTTTATTACTCTAAACTCGAAACCTGAAAAGGAGTGTTTCTATCACTGTATTTGCTATCAAGTGTTCACATTACTTAAGACTTCATGTGTCTCAATTATAGAGAAACAACAAGTATATAATAATATAATTTCTCCGATTGTTTCCGTTGACTAATTCTTATTTTTATATATTTCGTTATATTATAAGTATATATGTTCATCAATTAACCACAAGAATCATAAGATTCGGATGGTCATTCAAATTTTATGGTTATTTAGAATCTTTCATCTAGTGAGAATAAATTATCAGCCTTGACTATATATACAAGGAAAACAAGACCACACCGATTTGGTTAGTTTGTGTAATTAGTCATTATCATTATCTTAAGTTAATTAAGAGCTGATATTAGATTTTTCAATTATTATTAGAGATTTTGTAGAGGACAAGATTGAGTCGCGTGAGATTAAAAAAACTCATATAGTGGTCATTAAGTATTTAATTTGTGGATTTGAGCAAAACAATCATCGAACTTTTGAATTTTTCAAAAGAGACTTTAAATTCGTGAATCTTACTACTAGGATCAAGCAAGATCTATTAGTAGTATTCAAATATACAAATAATAAATTACATATCATACCCCAATGCGTAATTTATTTATCAATGTAGGGTTAGCCGTATAATTAAACACTACACATGTAACCAAGCAAAGAGGCCTCTGGGGACATGTTTGCCCTAATCTACTTGGACATTTTATATTTCAAAATCTGATTTTTTTTTTCTGTCTAAACAAGCAGTATATATAATTGTATGTTTTGGATTTATCAAGAATATCTTGAAACAATTAATTGGATTTTTGAGTTGACACAATAACTAATCTTATTAAACACAACTATCAAATAAATCCCGCAGTATTCAAGCACATCTTAACTCGAAAAAATTGCAAATGCCGTAGACCAAACCATTTAGCTTAATTCTAACATTAATAATTAAGATAAAGATTTGGTGAACATCATAATCACCATATGTTGACCCTAAACTATACAATTCTTCATAGAATAAAGTATATGTTAAATTATACGAATTAAAGTTATATAATATATAATTAAATTCTGTCGGTATGTTGAAGTAAAGAGAATGATTTGTAATGAGTAATGATGAATGGGAGGGAGACTATCTTTTGTTTGTATGTAATTAAATACAAATTTACTAAAAAACGTAACTTAAGAAAAAGGTTTCCAGAGACATAGCATATGCTGGTTAGGAAATAGGACCGATCCATGTTAAACCAAGTTGACAAGAAAAAAAAAAAACATGTGGTGGTCCGTTGTCTATTATTACTTTATTATACTAATATTATTATCAAATACAGTTAGTTTTAAAATTGTTTCGTTGAAAAAGAAAATAAATTTAAATGTAAAATGGAAAAGTAAGTAAAATACTAAAATCAGTAAGAAAGAAAATGTCAATTATTTTTTGTGTCAAATACATTAAAATAATGTATGCTAAATTTCTATAACGGTACAAAAATAAATTGAATTTTTACAATTTCCAACGAACAAATGACTTATTCAAATGATAAGATTCAAAATTCGGTTAGTTTAACATCGTTATGTAAATTTAAAATCATTATTATTTTTTAAAAATGAGTTTAAGCGTTAAATCTATATTACGTGAAAATATTACCGAACTTCGAACACCAAAGCTTACAGACCAACTAAGGACATGATGTCTGGGCAGTGTTAAATCTATATTACGTGAAAATATTACCGAACTTCGAACACCAAAGCTTAAGGACCAACTAAGGACAGGATGCCTCAACACGGTTAGTTTTTGACGTGTTTAAAATTTAATACTTAAACTAATTTAAAAATTTTTTTTTTTATGAAATTTCATGGTTTTATTCTTAAAGTTTAAGTGTTAAATTTGTTTTAAATTTTAGTGAAAATTATTATTATTTTTTTAAAAATGAGTTTAAGTGTTAAATCTATATTAGGTGAAAATATTACCGAACTTTGAATACCAAAGCTTACGGATCAACTAAAGACAAGATGTCTGAGCGCGGTTAGTTTTCGACGTGTTTAAAATTTAACACTTAAACTAATTTTTAAAATTATTTAATGAAATTTTATGGTTTTGATTCTTAAAGTTTAAAGTCTTAAAATTATTTTTAATTTTAGTGAAAATCATTATTAGTTTTTTAAAAGTAATTTACTAAAAAACATTATAAAAAAAAAAACTTTAAAAACAAAAGAGAAAAGAAAGTGTTATTACCTGGTTTGGATTTGGGATTATGTAAGGATTACGAAAAGCCCAATAGCTAGGCCCATTAGTTAGTCTTCACTGCACCGTCTCCTTGTCACGAAAGTCACGACGAAACTTTTTTTTTTTTTTTTTTTTTTTTTTTTTTTTTTTTTTTTAGTTTTGATCTTCTTCTTCATGCATACTCAGGGGACTCCATCGAAATTCGAATCTGTTACATAATCCTCGTTCTCAGTCGCCACCGTCGCCAAAATCCACCGGTGAGAATCGCGTAAGAAGCATTCATGGTAACGGATCAACATTCAACATGAACGGTGAAATTAGGAGAGAATGTTGGAATGGATCATCATCGGCGATCTTCTCGGTAAGAAATTCACAGAGAATTTAAAAAGGAAAAAGAGGAAAGATGGATTTTTTATTGTAGTATCGAAGAAGAAGAAGAATAGAGAGAGTTTTGATATCTTAAACCACATAATAGATGATATAAAGACTGGTCGAACGGGAAACAATAAAACTCAAACCACATAATAGATGATATATATAAAGATTTTGGGTAGCTTTAAACAAAGAATTGCCTTAGTTCAAAGAGTAACAGAAGCAGAATACAAAACCTTAGAGCGATCTAAGAAAGGATCAACGGTCATGACAGCATTGGACCACTCAATGTTACCCCAAATCTCACTTCCTTGGCGTCTCTCCAAGGAGATCTCTGCACACCAAATCTCAAGATGATCCCCTTCAATGACGTCCCAAAAGAGCACAATGTTCCCACCAGAGTTGTTCAGTCTAGCCCCAGGAAGTAAATCTATCAGCTTTTGAGGGATCTTATATTTTTCCCACAGATTCACAATCTGCTCACCAAAGTGGACCAGCCTAGAACAAGAGAGACTCTTCTTCAGAAAGCCTAAACCTTTCACCTCTTTTGAAACCATCCCTTCCGTTTCATGCCAATCCAACTCATCTGGCTCACACCAGATTACAGTCCCGTGTCTAGTAAGAAAGAAGATCAAATTATCAATCATACACCAATCCCTTCTGTTTCCTTTCACTTCCCCACGATTCCCTCTTCCCCATTGACCTAGGCTCGGAGAGTAGTACAAGGTTCTATCTGTTCCATCAACTGCGTAAACCTTTTGATCCCTCACCACACTGTCGTGGATATACTGATCTCGTTTCTTCGTATCCGGCATTGGCGGCAAATTATCCCAAGTTTGAGTCTTTGGATCGAATACCTCTCCCCAGTTCTTCTCATCGAACTTGCAACCTCCTAACACGTAAATCTTCCCGTCCACGACTCCAGCAGCCGCGGAAGCTCGAGTCACTCTCATGGAAGGGACTTGACGCCAAGTGTGAGTCCGACAATCCAAGAGCATGACTTTCGAAGTGGGCTTCCCCTTTATCAATCCACCAATTACATAAATCCCCCAATCCAGCACCACCACGGAGGATGCTTCCGGAGGCTGAGAAGGGCACGAAGGGATCGGCATCAAATCGGAGAAGGAGGCGTTTAGGATTTCTCTACGGCGGAGGATATACCAACGTGGATTAGAGTCAGGAGGGGTGCGTAAGCATACGTAGACGTAAGTTTCAAAAGGTCATGAATATACCTCAGCCTCAAGAGATTTCATGAAATCATTCTCCAATTTCAGTTGAATCTCATCACACAATTGACCACTGAAGAATCATAAACAGAGACCACTTAGTCAAAAAAACTTTTTATACTTTGGCTAATTGGCTAAATAATACCATAATACCTAACTAGGTAAGGTTAAAAGAAACAGAGTCAGACAAATCTCTCTGTTTTTATAGGCTCTTTTATTTATTACAACTTGTGATAAAACACATTTTTAACAACATCTCACATTAGTTTCATTATTTTTTTTTTAAACCATATCTATATATTAACATCACATAAATACATAACCATATAATATATATCACTTTTGTTTATTTGAATAATCAAGCTGTAACTGCGTCGTTTTCTACTGATGAAGCATTTCCATTAGCATTGTTCTTCATCATATTACCACATCCTCCACCGCAATTACCGCAGCCAGTGGAACCGCCAGTGCAGGACCCGCCACCGCAACCTTCTATCTTTGTCATCCCACCGCACCTACCTCCACCACCACATCCACCTCCACCTCCACATCCACCACAACCTCCACAACCACCACAGTGACCACCTTCTTCTTCAACCATGTTCCCACTTAGCTCCTTCGAAAGGCACCTAGCACCACCAGTGATCTTCTCGGTCGCTACAGCAACTTGAGTAGTCGTGTCCACATTCATCATTGTTTCTTCTTCTTGATTCACTTGAGTCAAAACGTCAATCTCTTTATTTTCCTCTGTTATTCCATTAGCTTTCACCGTTTCTTTTGCAGCTGCACTAAAGCCTTCCTTCTTAAGAAGATCACTGAGTATGAAAGAAGATACAATTCCTGGCAAAACCAGCCATTTCTCATTTGCCTGCATATTGAAATAAACCCCAAGTCAGAAATAGCAAAATGATGGATTATAAGATCAAAGTTGTAAACTTTACCTCAATAGAACCCAACTTCAAATCAAGTAACCCCACAGCTTTGCCATAAGGATATTGCTTTGAGAATTCAACAGCAGTCATGAAATCTTGCTCGCTTCTTAGCCTTGAGCAATGTTTTGGCTCATATTCCAGCTTTCTCCCGGAGTAAACTTTCACCATTCGAGTACCCGAAAGCTCAAACAGAGGACCATCTGTTGCAGGATTGCTTGTCTGCTTAAGTGACCATTTTGAATCAAGCAGAGACCAGAAATTGCCATCATACTCTGCCAAAACATAAGTTTCACCACACTCTTTTACACCAATCACTTGTCTTCTATCAGCTTTGGGTGCTGTGTCGTTGGAGTTTCTCATTTGGAGGTTGATCACCTCTGTTTCAGTTTCATCAACAACGCGTGTAAAGCTCTTAACAAGACGTACCTTTCTGATCATAGGCAAGAAACAAGAGCCTTTCAGTGATGGTCTTGCTTGAACCAAATGTAGAACAGTTGGACTTCGAGTTGGCGGGGTGAACGAGACAGCGACTCGCAGAGAGATGGGATTCGGATCATCTGCCTTTCCCCTTTTAGTTGGTGTTATCTCCAACCACTTCTCAACAGAGAGTTTAGTAACTGGAAACAGAAACTCCGAAAGCGATAAAGAAGTGAATCCTAAGCTTTTAGACTTAGAAGACATTAGTTGGAAACTAAGCTCTCCTGTAGGCTCACACTGAAACAAAGCAACTTGCTTTTCCCCACAAGACTCAGATAAAACGGTAAGCCTACGCTCAGCGTTAAACAGAGAATCGGGTTGAGTTTTGCTGAACAGAACAAAGACCTTTCCTTTGTGTGCATCTGGTAAATTCTTAACCCCAACAATCTCCAAGATAACTTCAATGACTTTCACCTCTGGAAATTGGATTACATTATGGGACTCTTCCTCTTTCACAGTTGATTTCTTGCCCGACCAAACATAAGGAGAAGTTGTGACTGGCTTTGGGGTATTACCTCGGTTCATAGCACCGGCTTTCCAATACCTTCGACCAAATGTTTCTTCCCATTGAGCAGTAGTTCCAGAGAAACCAGTATCAAGCTTCTTACCTTTACTACGGTCAGAGTCTGTATCATCATGCTCCAAGACCTTACCAATCATCTTAGTCAAATCATTGCAATAAGAGAGAGCATGAAGCTGATGTGTGTGCCAGATAAGATCAATATCGTAAGTCGGGACACAGAAAAGTTTAATCGACCTTTCTCGGTTACCCTTGATCAAGTAGAGAAATGCCTTGTATCTAGCCACAGCTTCTTGTAGAAAGACATCATTATCTACATGAGCTCTTGAAATCTGCAACAAAGACACACAAACAAATTCGATTATATAACCTTGCATTGCAGTAGTTTTAGAACAGAAGCTGGTAATGATTTTACCTGGTAGTAAAACGGGCTTTGTCTCTTGACAGCTGAAACAAGATCATAAGTGGTACATTTCTCAAGAGCTGAGATATCTGCTGGCTCTGAGATTGCCTTGCCAAAATCAAGGTCATAAGGCTCCATAGGATACAATCTTCTCCATAGAGTCTCAGTTTGTGATTTGTAGTTTCCATTCACGGAAGATATAACGCCAGAATTGTCAAGAACTCTCCCATAGAATTGCTCACAATCAGTCTTATACCTCACCTGAAATGATTTAACAACATTTTGAGTTTTGCATACAATCCAACAAAGAAGAACTTAAACCGGATTTGAAATAGCGATTTTCAGATTTACCGGAGTAAGCCTGTGGCAATGCCAAACCCATTCACAGTCAAGAGGAGGGACTAATGGTCCTTCACAGATCGAAGAAGACTCGGTGTATTTAGCAAGCAAGGGAAGCCAATAAGCATTGTATCTGTAAAAAACAATCACCCAAATTTGAGAGTTTTGAAACAAGATTCTTTATTACAATGGAAAGAACACAAAACCAGGAATAAAAACGAATTGGTGATGGTTTGATTAAACCTGTAGATGGCTCTGTCGAGTGCAGGGCCATCGTAGAGACAACGGTTCCGATCAACAGCTCCGAGGAAGAGAAGCTGTTTTTTGGCTGCAGCAAAGAGGTCAACGCTTATCTCTATCTTCTGAGCTTCGTTCCACTCCAAAGTTTGCTCCTTTTCCTTGTCCATCTCTTACAAATTTTCACCTGCAAAATAATAGGAAATGAAAAGTCTATAATTTGACCCAAAGTTTTGCTCTTTATCTTCTTATCTTGTAAGAACGCGCTTTTGAAAAAAAGTATGAATAAGAGAATCAATCTATACCAATGGGGAAACTTTCTCTGATGAAGCTGACTCTTGAATTTTGTTTGAGAGAGAAGAAGACTTCAACAGCCACTATTTATAGCGGTGTTCTTTTCCTTTCTGGAAATTACGATATTACCCCTCTGACCGGAAGAAATTAAAAATTTTAAAATCCTAAGTATAGAACTGTTTCTTTATATATCATTATTATTTCATTTTCTTAATCAACATTTGAATGTTAGTTTCAACAATTTTAAAAAGGTGGAAATAGCGTGAGATCATAAGATAATCGACCTTCGAGGAACAAAAAGCATGTCCATAATTTGCTGACATTTTCGCTTACTTTGTCTCTGTTCATGGACAAAGTTAAGTTCCACAAGTAATTGAATTTGAGCCTTAAAACGACAACGCCAACAACATGACCAAGTCTTTTCATTAAGCTTCTTTGCACTTTAAAAAACCGACAACGCCCACATTTTCCTAGAAATTGTTATACTACTTTCAAAGAGGTTTTAAGGGTTACAAAACAAATTCAATTGTCGCCATTCTTCATCCATAGAACAAACTTAAAAGGTCATAATCTTATCTGAAATTGACTCATTAATCGGTCAACATAATAACCGTAAATTTCATGAAAAAAACCAATCAAAGAAACTACATCCGAGACTCTCAATAGGTTTTGAAGATATCAAGAGGTACCTCTCAAATAAGGTTTTAAATACACAAAACTAATCAAATTTGTGAGGGAGATAAGCACGTAAACTTATTTGGAAAAAAACCTGAATTCTGTATGGAACCGGTTAGCAACCTCACTTCCTTGAACCGCTCGCCTCCTCGAATTCAGCTTCAGGCGTCTGCTCAGTGCCACTTGTACCCTCACCAGAGCTTCCAGAGGAACCAGATGATCCAGATCCCTTAGACATGTGTTCTCCGATCTTTGACACTGCCTTGTTCGCAGCTTCGAGCTTAGCCTTGATGTCTTCAATTTCCTCACCAGCCATAGCAGTCCTGAGATCAGACACTGCAGTTTCGATCTCAGAGGCAATCTCAGCTGGAATCTTCTCTCTGTATTCACTCAGGCTCTTCTCAACACTGTATATGGTAGTATCAGCACTGTTCCTAAGGTCGATAAGTTGCTTCTTCTCTTGATCCTTCTGCGCGTTAAGCTCAGCTTCTTTCACCATTCTGTTAATCTCATCGTCTGAGAGACCACCTGAAGATCTAATTGTGATCTGTTGCTCTTTACCTGTTGCTTTGTCTTTCGCTGACACAGTAACAATACCATTTGCATCAATGTCGAATGTAACTTCGATCTGTGGCATTCCTCTAGGTGCTGGTGGGATCCCCATAAGGTCGAATTCTCCAAGCAATTTGTTGTCCGATGCCATTTCACGTTCTCCCTGAAGAACTTTGATTCCCACTTGCATCTGGTTGTCTGCAGCTGTGGAGAAAACCTAAGAACCAAATCACAATGACAAAATTAGAAATCAGCAATAGTTACAAGGCACAATCTGAAATTGTACTCTGTCAAGATTCATTACCTGAGACTTCTTTGTGGGAATAGTGGTGTTTCGTTGAATCAACTTGGTGAAGATTCCTCCAAGTGTTTCGAGACCCAATGAGAGAGGAGTCACATCCAAAAGAAGCAACTCCTTCACATCACCACGGAGGATACCACCTTGAATGGCTGCTCCCATGGCAACCGCTTCATCCGGGTTAACACCTTTACAAGGACTCTTCCCAAAGATCTCAGAAACTATCTCTTGCACTTTGGGAACACGGGTCATTCCACCAACAAGAAGAACCTCATCAACTTCCTTAACTGTGATTCCAGCATCCTTCAGGCAGTTTTGGCACGGGGATCTTGTTCTCTCAATCAACTTGCCCACCAGAGCTTCAAACTTTGACCTCGTTAAGGTGATGTTCAAGTGCTTAGCTCCTGAAGCATCCGCTGTAATAAAAGGCAGGTTGATTTCGGTCTGAGATGTAGAAGAGAGCTCAATCTTGGCCTTCTCTGCAGCTTCTCTCAGCCTCTGGAGGGCAAGCTTGTCTTTAGTCAGATCAATATTATCTGATCTTTTGAACTCATCAACCAAGTACTCCAACAAAGTGTTGTCAAAGTCTTCTCCTCCCAAAAAGGTATCTCCATTTGTTGCTTTAACCTGATAAGGGAAAATAATCATATACCCACAAAAGAAAAAAGGCAAATCGAGAAAAAAAAATAACATAGCAGAAGAAGAAACAAGGCATTACCTCAAAAACACCACTTGAGATTTCCAAGATAGAAACATCAAAGGTTCCACCTCCAAGATCAAACACTGCAATGACACCTTCCTTGTTGTTCATACCATATGATAGTGCAGCAGCTGTAGGTTCGTTGATGATCCTCTGGACATCAAGACCAGCGATTTTCCCAGCATCCTTGGTGGCTTGTCTCTGTGCATCATTGAAATAAGCTGGAACAGTAACAACAGCTTTGGTGATAGATTTCCCGAGGTAAGCTTCAGCTGTTTCCTTCATTTTGGTGAGGATATTAGCTCCAATCTGACTGGGAGAAAACATCTGTCCATTGGCTTCAACCCAAGCATCACCGTTAGGTGCCTTGACAATCTTGTAAGGAACCATTTTCATCTCCTTCTGTGTCTGTGGATCGTCAAAACGTCTCCCAATCAAACGTTTGGAACCGAAAATCGTGTTTGTTGGATTAGTCACAGCCTGACGTTTAGCCGGAGTACCAACAAGGAGTTCCCCTTTTTGGTTAATAGCAACCACTGATGGTGTGGTTCGACTTCCTTCGGCATTCTCAATAACCCTAGGGGTCTGCATAAGCAAGATCAAAATCAATACCTTTAGAATCCAAAAGCCAATATCTCAAAAAACTGATAACAGGGTTGAAACAAATTAGGGATTTTACCTTTCCTTCCATCACAGCTACACAAGAATTGGTAGTACCCAAATCAATACCGATAACATCATTCCCCACAGGCCTCGAGCTACATACACAGAACAACACACATACGAAAGTATGAGATAACACTTAAAAGTGATTTAGTTCTTCATTCAATACCATAAACTCAGAGGTTGATGTTACCAGAAAGGTCTCGCCAAGTAACCCAATTTCCCATACAAAGACGTCTTTCCATTTCCAGATATCTGCAGAGTTAAGAATACTAACACTGTAAGCTTCAATTCAAATTCAACCATTCAAAAACCTCAGTGAATTATTATCAAATCCATAAGGAACAAAATAGATAGCTTCACAGATGAATTCGAAGAAGAAAGAAAAACATAAAGTACGGAACTTTAAGAAACCTAGATCAAAAACCCTGAAACTTCGATTCCAGTACAACATAATAACCCAGATTCAACCCATGGGTAATTTCAAACCCTGTTCCATTTTCGAGAAGTATTAACGATTTCAGATCCTAAAAACCCTACTTTTCTACAAGAAAACACAAACGTGATTTATCAAGCAAAAATGAAAATCAAGGGATAGATACATACGGATTTAAACGCAGATACGGAAGCCGTTTGGACTTCACGGCGGCGAAGGGACCGTAGAAGTGCGACGGAGGCCATTTGATTTGATGAGAGACGGTGGAGATTTTGAGATCGTAGGGTTTAAGGTCGGAGACGAACAAAAGAAATGTTTGGCTGCTGCTTACGCGTAGGGTTTAAGACCTTATAATAAAGGTTGATTAAATTCAAATTACTATTATAACCTTCTCGTTTTTTAGAAAGTACCGTAGGTTACACGGGGTAATATAGGAACACGAATCAAAAATATTCGTGGGCTACAAGTATATGTTGACTTTTCTGACTAACCTGGACCCTACATGGGCTTATTGACCTCATAGCCAGGCCCGAATTTTTACCAAAATATTAATTTATAAATTAGACCTCATATTTAGCCGTAATTGCAGATATAACAGCAAATTCTACACAATTACTCTCTCCCCCCTTTTGTAAATAAAGGTCCTAAATTTTCCCAACTTTCCATGGATTTCATTTCACAATTTCAGTTCAAAAATTCTTCAACAGACGTATCTTCTTCCTTCTTTGGATTTTCATCAGCCACGATTGTTTTCTTGTCTAAATACTCGTCTTCGATTGTGTCCTTGAGGATGAAAAGCCGCTGAATAACGATTGGTTGGCTCATTTGTTTAGCTTCTTTAATGTCAGTTTCTTCTTTGTTGAGATGGTATGCATCAAGCATTATCTTTATCCACTTATGCAGCTCCTTTGGCGTCCTGTGTGTTCATCAGCTTGATTAGAATCAATGGTTGTGGTTAAAGATGAAACATTAAAGGGTGTATCTTTATGTTACTTACGTGTATAATGCTTTAGGGTCCTTAGCTTCATGGTCATCGCCAGGAGAGAATGCTGTTGCTAGAGCAGAGAATCGTTCTTCGGGGTCTGTTATGTTGAGCAAGTACTTTAAAAGTTTGATCTCTTTCGGTGTGATGCTTCTAAGACTGCTCTTTGTAGCTTTGTATAAATGATACATTACGTCTTTAGCCTGTTCATGAAATACGATTTTGATATGAGAAAGATTTTAAAGATCAAGGCTTTTCTACTTTTGGTGATGCGATTACCTCGTTTGTAACAGTTTGAGACTCTTTAGCTGCAGCGTAAGCACTGTTTATTAATAAAATCAGTGAAGAATCTAGCTCCTTTGACTTGGCTAAACTTCTGATCTTTTCGCAAGCGGCATCCACGGATGGAGAGTTTAAAATATCATCAAACTTTGCTTGAGCAGAATCTAGAGTCTCAACACTCTCCAAAGTATTGTCATAAGCACTCACAGCAGATAAACATCTAGTTGCAAGCCTCGCGACAGCTGCTCAAAAAGAAATAAACAGTCATGAAATTGTGGTAAACAGCATATAAATATAAGCAACAGGATTAATGTATAAGTACCATCTCGGTCTTCTAAGCCATCAAGAGTTTCTGATAACAAAGCGACATAGCGGAAAAACTCTCCCGTGAAGTCTCTGCGTCTCTTGGCAGCGATTGCGTTTATGTCAGTCGGGTTTTCTTGAATCTCCTTCAATAGGTCATTGTGCTTCTCCATTTCCTCATCTATCTGAAACAATACTCACTCCTATAAGTACACAACAACAATAAACTAACCTCAAAACCAGAGTTCACTAATAAACACAAAATACAACACTATAAATACCTTCTTGACTTTACTTTCCAAAGATAACAGCTTCTGCTTCAATATAGGATCAGTTTCGGAATCAGCTCGGATTCTGCAACGCCTATAGAAATTAACACTGTACTTGTTCCATTCATCTCTTAAAACCAAATACGTCTTCCATTGTTTAACTTTAGGTTTCTCATTCAAAAAAAGATCAATGATCTTGTCACAGAACTGAGCCATAGTGTAGCCTTCAGCAACCTCAACTTCCATAGGATCCTCAACAAAGCTTTTTACTTCCGTACCTAAACACAACAATTCTATCTTCAATCAAAAAAGCTTCTCTAATTAGACAAAATCCGAGTCTATGAAAAGGGTTTAGCTTTCTCTGCAGAACCCTTATCTAATGGCGACTGATAATTCAAATTGGAACCTAAAGGAAAGGACTTTATTGGTAATTAGACAGAAAGATGAGAGATTTAGGGTTTCTGAGCTTACTGGTGATGCTACTGTAAGTGACAGTGTCGGAAGCAAAGGTGATAGTTGAGCTTTTGCGTATCTTTCTTCCTCCATTGATGAAAGCAGAGAAAGGGAGAAGATGGGTTTGAGAATTATGAGACGAGAATGAAATTAATTTATCAGCCGAGGAGAAGAAGATTGATGTTTCCAGTAAATTCGCCATTTTTTGTCCCTCACTTTGAAGGAGTCTTGTTCGTCTTGGTGACGAAACGACGACAAACGCCAGAGGATAAGAAGAACAGGGTTATGTTTGTAATAATTAGGAAATGTTGACAAAATTCAAAAAGTTTTGGGGCAAAACTGTTTGAACTAATAAGTTTTGTATCATTTTGAAATTTTTGTTTAAAGAGTTAATTAAGGAACATGAATGAGCAAGACCAAAATTGTGTTTTGACATTACATTTTCACATGATCTTTAGACCTTACATTACACGAAGAGACAAAGATACTTAAATTTGATTATTACAAAAATAATTATACATATCTCATGATATATACATATGTTACTTTGTGATATACAAAAATTTTAAAAAGCATGCTATAAAAAAAATTTCATTACATGATTACAAATAGAGTTGTTTCACTATGCGTCTTCTTGAGGCTGACCATCTCCACCACTTTGAATGTTATGGTATTGAATTGAACACGAGGCTTACCCATACCGAAATTAAGAACTCTTGCATCCATATTGTATTGTATTTCTCCATCAAACAACATCTTCCTTGTGTAATATTCTATATTTTCAAATAAATAAAAAAACTTAAAATTTAAAAATATTTTTAAAAAAAAAACAAATGTTAAAAATTTAATTATGTGTAAACCATATTGAACCTAGAACACCTCTTAGGGGTTTGGATGTTGTATCCAATTAGTTTACACAAAATTTAAAAATTTAACAATTATAAAAAAAAAAACAAAAAAAAAACATTTAAAAAAACATAATTGTTAAAAATTTAATTAAATGTAAACCATATTGAACCTAGAACACCTCTTAGGGGTTTGGATGTTGTATTCAATTAGTTTACACAAAATTTAAAAATTTAACATTTATAAAACAAAAAAACAAAAAAACAAAACAATTAAAAAAAACATAAGTGTTAAAAGATTAATTATGTGTAAACCATATTGAACCTAGAACACCTCTTAGGGGTTTGGATGTTGTATTCAATTAGTTTACACAAAATTTAAAAATTTAACACTTATAAAACAAAAAAACAAAAAAACAAAACAATTAAAAAAAACATAAGTGTTAAAAAATTAATTATGTGTAAACCATATTTAACCTAGAACACCTCTTAGGGGTTTGGATGTTGTATCCAATTAGTTTACACAAAATTTAAAAACTTAACACTTATAAAACAAAACCAAAAAAAAAAATAAAAATAGATTTGAAAAAAACGTTTAAAACCTCTAAAACCCGTAAAAAAAAAAAAAAAAAAAAACGCGGAAAATAATTTTGTACTTTTGGGCAATTAAGCCACCAGTCGGGCCTTCGTGGAAAGCCCATTACTGTTTGTTTGTTTAAAATGCAAATGGATAGTTTTATTTATAGGGGTCATAAATTAGTAAATGTTTATTCTTTTTTCGATGTGGGACTCAATTGTTTCTGAAAACGTATAGGGCTTTTCGGCGGAAAGATATGATTGGCCCTGTCGTAAGCCCAAAAGTTAAAAAAGACATTTGATTATTAGTTACTAATATACCCTTGAATAATAGCTGTGGCTGGAGCTCATCATCTCTGATTCTCTCAATAAGCTTTGAAATCGAATCAACAGATTGAATCGCGACTCTGATTCTTGAATGAAGAGGTAATTAAGGAACATGAATGAGCAAGACCAGAATTGAGTTTTCTTTCAAGGACACATGATCTTTAGACCTTACATTAACACCAAGAGACAACTATACTTAGATTGATTATTACAGAAATAATTATACATATGTCATGATAATATACATATGTTACTTTGTGATAGACGAGATTAAAAAAGCATGTATATAGATATCTCCATTACATGATTATTAATAGACTTGTTTCACTATGCGTCTTCTTGAGGCTGACCATCTCCACCACCTTCAATGTTACTAGTATTGAATTGAACACGAGGCTTTCCCATACTGAAGTTAAGAACTCTTGCATCCATATTGTATTGTATTTCTCCATCAAATAGCATTTTCCTTATGTAATGTTCTACGTCTGATCCTATCAATCTTAATGTGTACTCCGTTAATGGTGCTCCCTGTCACAAATACAATATTGTAAGGTCTTCTTGAAGGAGTCTTAACTTTTAGATGAGTTTTTGTTTGTTAATCGTTATCATTTACCTCGTAGTGATCGACGAGTTCTTGGAAATAAGAATAGACCTTGTTACAGCTTTCATCATCCCATACAAATTCTTCAGTAGGATCAAGAATTAAAGTGAGTTTATCCATTTGTGACTGGTCAAACTCACAAGTCTCGGGGTCGATATAAGCAGCGTAGATCCTAACGTGACGTGTGACACTGCTTAGCCACTGACCACCAAACTGGCCCATACCTTTGCTCTTCACGTTCAGCTGTTTCTCTACTGGTCTCAATGGTGTTGGCTGCTTCTTCATCTTCTCTGTTGATTGCTCTTCTTTGATTGGCTCTGTTTCTTGTGTCTCCAGAGTACTGTCTTGTTCAGGATTTGTCACTACGAACGTCTTCTGTGTTGTTCTTGGCCGGATTTGAGCAACCATGGGAGGATGTAATAGAGAGAACTTGGTGCAGGCAGTGTAAGAGAATGATGCAACCATTTTTCTGGCTTAGAAATGAAAAAAAAAAAGAACAGAACAAGTTTTGATATGTTGTCCGGTTACAGAACCATATTATTGTAAAGAGATTTGATGAGATTGAGAAATGACCACAGCTTATGGATGAGCTTCTCCCAACTTCTAGTTTCTTATTTATCTCTTTCTCGTTTTCTTGGTATTTTGTGGTTAATCTCAAGTCACTTGTGAGCTAAAGACAATCTTCTTAAGGAATTCACAGTTTTGTTGTATCTGTTAAATCGTTTTTCTTTTCTTTTTGAGATTATATTCCTTTTGATGTATAGATATCAGTATATAACAGAGATTTTGCAGATCATTATTTTTCGCATAGGGTAAAATAGAGTTTTACATGTATCATCTATACATTCCATGGGACTTCAAAGCATGATAAAAAAGACTTGTGGGATAAAACAGTTTAGTTCTTGTACTTCATGGTTTCTTTCTCAAAACCAATTGTTGGGAACTGCTTAGCGAACTCCTCAACTTCATGGCGCAGTTTCGCAATCTCGGATTGAATGGTTGAAGAAGATTCCATTGCTGACACAAAATCCTTCAGCTTGGTTCCTGGTTTTAGAACATAACAAATGAGTTCAATCATTGTTTATAAGAACAGAAAACATAGCATTGTTGATCAGAAAAATGAAAAACCTTGAGCTTCAGATTTGACTTTGAGAGCCAACGTCACAGCTTTGTCAAAGTATTCAGCTACTTTGGCAAAGTCTTCCTCAACAAAGCCTCTGGAAGTGAGAGCAGGAGTACCTGAAAATAACAATGGCAGAGAGTTTCAGGCAAAACTACATTCGCGTACCAAAAAGAAGCTTTAATATGATTCTTACCCATTCTGATTCCACCAGGAACCATGGCAGAAACATCTCCAGGAACAGTGTTTTTGTTGGATGCAATGTGAACAGCTTCCAACACTTTCTCAACTCTAGATCCGTCAATTCCCTGCAAACAAAAACAAAGAGTTTTAACTAAGTAAAATAAAAGAAGATTATATAAATAAGTATAAAAAAAAAAGATCAAGCGACCTTAGGCTTCAGATTCACTAGAACCAGATGGTTGTCAGTTCCACCAGAAACAAGTTCATATCCTTTCTCCATCAGAGTCTGCACGAAACAACAATGTAACAATTTAGAGATATAATCAAAGTAGATACTACCCCATGTGTTTTTCTTTCCTTCGCTAAATTAGTACCTGAGCAAACTTTGCAGAGTTACTCAGGACTTGCTCTTGGTATGCTTTGTACTCTGAAGTAGTTGCCTGCATTTAACAAACCATTTGAAGATTAAAGAAACCGCAAATCCAGTAAGAACCGTTAGTTCCATTCCGTGCCTCATTGTACCTGTTTCAAAGCAACAGCTAGTCCTGTAATAGTGTGGTTGTGTGGACCACCTTGAAGACCAGGGAAGACAGCTTGATTGATCTTGTCTTCAAAATCATACAAAACCTTTCAAGACAACAAATGAATGACGTGAAAGAGTGTACTTAAATCTAAAACATATTGGTTCAAATTTTGCTTTTTTTTGTTTTACCTCTTTCCCTTGTTTATTAATTTCCTTAACACCCTTTCTGAAGAAAATCATAGCTCCACGGGGTCCACGAAGTGACTTGTGGGTTGTGGTGGTTACAACATCAGCATAGTCGAACGGTGAAGGGATTACATTAGCAGCAACCAAACCACTGATGTGTGCCATATCTGCTAGCATTACAGCTTTTTGCTTGTTACAGACCTGGAAAAGAGTTTGAATCAGAACTCTTGATTACCATACTCAGTAGTCAGTTGTCTTTCTTTCTCGTGTATTTGAATATGCGATTGACTTACCTTTCGGATGCGGGCATAATCATACAATCGAGCATAAGCACTCGCACCAGCAACAATCAGTTTTGGCCTGAAAAGAGTAGCGCTTTTCTCCATCTGCAGATCAACATTAAAGAATTATGTATTGTAAGATTAAACTATATGAAGAGGGGTAGTTATAAACTACTATGATACTTGATCAAACAATAAGAACCTGATCGTAGTCGATGTAGCCAGTGCTCTCGTCCAATCGATAAGGCATTGTTTCAAAGAAGATAGACACAGCAGATATCTTCTTGGTGTCAGTCTGATGAGAAATAAGAAGAAAAAAACTGTTATACATCAGAGTCAGAGAGTTCTGAAACGACATCAATACATAAAGTTAACTTAAAGGCACCTGATAACCATGAGAAAGATGACCACCATGAGGAAGATCAAGAGCCATGATTCTTTCATGCGGCTTTAACAATGCAGTATAGACATGGAAGTTGGCAGGAGATCCAGACAAAGGTTGCACATTCACTGTAATGACAGGAGTCAAATAAGTCATCAAAGGACTAATAGAGCAGTAACATTCGATTGGAACTCAGATACAGAATTCAGATTTCTTGTTTCTCATATACATGAAAGTAATAATTTTACCTCCCCACTTTTCAGGATCTAACCGGAAAGCTTCAAGAGCGCGCTTCTGGCATAAGGTTTCTGCCATGTCTATGTACCTTCAAAGCAAAAGGTACTTGAAGTCAGCATCTTTTTCAATTCTTATAACAGAGATTGGTCAAGCAATTATGTCTAAGATCTGAAACTGAACATATGTGTCTGATACAAAATGAAAGATTGAAAATTTCCTGAACATACTCATTTCCTCCATAGTATCTAGCACCAGGATACCCTTCACTGTACTTGTTAGTCATGACAGACCCAACAGCTTGCATCACCGACACAGATGTGAAGTTCTCAGATGGAATAAGTTCAAGTCCCTTGAACCAAAACCATCACAATTATCAGCTCAACTTACAAATATCAGATTCTGAGTAGTAAACTAGAGACTAATTATAACCTTCCATTGTCTAGCTTTCTCATGCTCAATAATGTCAGCAATCTCAGGGTCAACCTCCTCTAAAGGTGCGTTAAGCTGTTTTGGCCACTGCAACGAATATTAACAAAGACAAGTTTTACTAGATTCAGACACATCAAATATAGAACTCCATACATCAATTTGAAACATACATAGAACTTCATCAATCAAAACCATTGCTTCAACCACAAGAAAATTATCAACAAAACAAGAGATACAAAAAGGGGCTTAAACTCACAGTGACACGAGACCTCTCCTTCTCATCAACCGCTTCACTGGGCAACGAAGACTGTAACGAAACAACAGAAATCAAAAATCGAAAATTTCCAATCCGTTAATCGGAGAAAGGAGGAAACTTTAGGGTTATTACCATGTAACAAGAAGTGGATCTGATAAGAGGACGAATGGGTTTGTCAATTGAAGAAGAAAGCCTTCGAAGAGCCATGGCCATCGCCATTTTTCGCTAAACCTCTCTCTCTCTCTCTCTGGTTTGTGAAATTCTAGAAACAGATTTGAAACATGAACAAAAAAAAAAACAAAATTGGGTTTATCTTGTGGAGAGATGAAGAGAGAATTGTGGCCTCTGCTTTTGGCTGAGCTTTTGGTGGTTGCAGAAAATTTTCGAATTTTTTCCCTCTTTTTTATTTATATTTTCTTCCGAACAAAAAAAAAATGAAATTTTATCTTATTAAGTTGTTGTTTCTTTGTCGTTTATTTCTTCAGGTCCCTGTCTACACCAACCTTTGTGGATTGTGATGATTTGATGACGATGATGATTTATTTCCCTTAAAGACAGGACCTTTATGGTTTCTGGTCAACGAAGTCAACGATAACCGATTCAGTTATTTATATTTAGTTTCCAAACCGGTTAGTTTGGGGGAAGTATGGTGAATATACAAAATAAAACCAACAATAACAAAAGTTAACGTTGGCGAAGACGATTTTTTTAACAGAAAATATTTATTTAAATTTTAGAATTACCAAGTGGTTATATAGGTTTTGAAAACTATTGAACTAAAAATATAGATACTTGAGAGAGTTTTTAGGATAAATCATATGATTTTTCTCTGTTAATTGACGAATCTATGGTTATAAACAAGTACAATATGAGTACTCAAGATGAGTATAACAACACCGGATTTTAATTATATATGTTTTAATTTAATTATATATCTATATATATATATATATATATATATATATTTCAAATTGAAATGCACAAAGAAAAATATGATTATGTTAGAAGATCCATGCATGCTACTTATCGTCGTGGCTTGGTTTATTGGGTTTCCAGTTCAAGAACCTTATCCAAACCAAGCCTTTGGATTGTTCTTCAACATCATGGTATCTTCCAACTTCAATCTGTGAATTATTTTTAACGAGAGTTACATATTTATAAATGCCTAAATGGCTTTTGTGAAACGTCAAAGATCAAATAAAAATTCTACCTTGATGTGGGGTCTCATAATCGGAATGCTCAGGTTGGCTTAGTTGCAGCCGAATCTGAGTGTGTGATTCATCATCCGCGACAGCTAGCTCATGATGTATAAACCCGTTTGTGTTTTCCGTATAAGCCTGAAAGTCGAAACCATCACTTCAAAGCTCTTGTTCTAAGCAAATGGAGTTTGTGTAATATATATGTTTGTTACCTTCTTGTAGAGCTCCACATTTTCTTGATGAATCCGTTGTACTTTCCTAGATAAATCGAGGTTTTCCTGACGAATGAGATTCCTCTGCACCACGATCAACGAAATTCCCAAAATAAGAATTGTAACTTGTGTTCTTTTGGGAAATTTACATATATGGGTAAGAGATATTTGTGTGTGAAAATATAGTTATATATATATTGTAGTGACCTTTTGGCTTAGTTCTTGGATTTCTTGAGTCAACATTTGTTCCTGTGAATCCGGAAAAGCAATCGGTTCTATTGAATTCCATTTTGTTCTATAGTCAATCTTTTAAGTAATACACTCCAAAGCATATAAATACAAGGTAGAGTATATGTATTTATGTACCTTTTTCATACGAATTCCACGTAAACTTATTTCAAGTTGATTTTCAAGACTGTTTAGCTCGTTAACGCTTAAACCATTTAGTTGTTCTCCCATCATTTGCCTGCTTCAAAGCAAACATGCCGCAATCTATAAGTACAAAAAAAAAAAAAAAAAAAAAAAAAAAAAAAAATCTATAAGTACAAGTTTCTTCATTTCCTTGTATGCCTTTCTATCGATATTTTGATCTCATGCTAATTCTTTATACAACATATGTTATAAAAGTTCAAGGCCATACCGATGATTTTCTTGCAAAGCATGCAATTCTTGCCTTAGAACAGCAGCTTCTCTCTGCCAAAACTGTAACACAACACAAGTATAACTCATCAAACTTTGAACTCAGTAAACTAAAATCTCTATTCAAAAATGCCATTCTAAAATCTCAATCAATAATCACATATTCGCATATTTGTCAAGATATCTATATATGTATACCTTGACTTCTGATGCGGGGTTCATTAGTTGTTGTTGCTCGATCTTGCTCTTGTTGTATCTATCAATAACCGACTCCATACTATTCAAAAGATTTAATATTAGTTATGTTCATGATATATAATTCACGCATATCATATCATCTATCAGAGTAAAGAACGTATAAGATATTAATTTTCATGAAGTTTATCCAACTCCTCCATTAAAAGCTTTCACACGTAAAGAAAAAACTCATAGCCTAGAATTTTTGTGCTATTTAGACATTTCAGGCTTTGGCAACATAATTAACACACGCTTGTATATGTATACATACATTCCACATAACATATACTATAAACTTGCACACAGTATTATGAATGTTACACACCCGCACACTTATATAAACTAGAAAAACTATATAGAAACTAATTAGATGTTAGTTTCTTTTTTCAATAAACAAGTTTAACAAAAACAAATGCTTAAATGTCATTTTTAGGGTGTAGATAAGTAAGAGCTTTAACGCAACCCAGTTCTATGAGCTAGAAATAAAAAAAGAAATTAATACCAATTAAGGCTAAGTCATAAATATAATGCATTAACATGGCACACTTTATTCTAAATCCAAGAAAACAATAACATGGTGTCAGTTTGTTTTAAGAATGGTATATAAACTTGACTATATATGCTAAGTATAATTTCATTTATCAAGTGGTTCATAAACCCTATGATATATACATGATGTCAAAGGATAAACATGAAGAATATAATTAGTAATGCATAAGGTTGATACTAATGTAAAATCCCTTATAGAAATTAGAAAAAAATCAGATATTATAGAAATAATCTTTTATTTGGTTGTTTGAACTGATAAATATATAATAATCATATAATTTTTCAAAATAATCAAAAATATTATATGCTTGAGAATTACATGTTCATATATGTTTTCTAATCCATATTATTACAGTGATTATACGTATTTATGAATATATAATCGCAATTAGTTTTTACCTCTACATTGTTTATGTTAATCAAAGTTTTAACAGTGAATAACTTACTTAGAAAAAATATAATAGTAACGATCCAGCAAATATAGCGTTAAATATACAGAGTGATCTGATCGTTCGGTAATGATATATAAGATTATACACAGAAATATCAAAAATATGTTTATGTCTATGAGTATAAATAGATCATTTTGTTAGTAGATTAAACTAAATCATCTTCTAGTTTATTGGTTTTGAGAAATTAAGTCCCTCTACATACCAATTAATCATTCTGTCTCGTGGTCTCCAATTACAATTCTTTTTTAGCTTTCCAATATTGATGTTTGAGCATCACACTTGTTATCTCATCTACTTCTGAAACATTTCTAGATTTGGAAAATGCAGACAATGAGCCTTAGCTATAAGTCAATGTCCATACATATATACGTGTAGAGACACATAAACATATGTTAAGAAAGTACTTCAAAACATACTTTGATGTGTACACATAATTAATCACCCGAATATGAAGCAAAGAAATTAAGAAACTACTTCAAATAATTTTTTTCATCTTCGAAAGTATCATTCTTCTTTAAAACTTCTACCTCATTTTAATCTTTCATTGTTGTAAAAAAATAGTTTGTCGGCTATACATACATCTCTTATTGTACATATACGGCAAAATGTAACATGTTCTACCGATCGCCAGATGCGAAAAAATTCCACTACATATGAATAGATCCCACATAGACATATATCTCAATGAATATCTCCAAGCCTTATAAGCAAAACCGTAGCATAAAATTATGTAAGTAATAGTACACAAACACTTCGGTATATCCACAAAATCAAGAAGATATAATTAAAGATTTCAGAATGAATAATTTTAAAAGAAGAACCTGGAGCTTGCAAAGTCATAGAGCTTTCCGGTGCTAGAGAAGATGATGAGACCGACCTCGGCGTCGCAGAGAATAGCTAGCTCTTTGGCTTTCTTGATAAGACCCTTTCTTCGTTTGGAGAAAGTGACTTGTCTACTCGTTGAATCATCGATCCTTTGGATCACAATCTTCCCTCTTCCCATCAATTTTATCCTCTATTTGAATCTCCTCTGGTTCTTCTCTTTTCTAGGGTTTTTTTTTTTGTAGATCTTACCAAGACCAAAAGGGAAGGGAAGACGAAGATGAACGAATAAGGAGAAAGAGAAAGGTAAGAAATAGAGAGAGGGGAAGGTTGAGCCAAGAGTCAACAATCTATTCGAGGAATAAACTAAGTATATATATGCATATGCACACACACATATATAACACACTCACCTCTTAATTTGAGACATTTTGGGTAGATTTAATACATAGTAAAGTACTAAATTTATAGTCCAAAAATAGTATTTGTGTATGATTTTATCAAACCAACGAAATAGAAAGAAGTTCTTATAAAGTTCCTAGGTTAAGAGAATATATAGATATAGCTTAAATGTGTGTAATATATATATATATATATATATATATATATATATAACTTTAATCACTGATTCTTTTTTATAGTTTATTACGGGAGATAGTGGAAACTTAATGGAATTTTTTGGATAAAAAGGAGTGAAATAATACTATTAAACGTAGTGTGAGTTAGGTAAATTTCCATTATCAATAATATTTCCTTTTTTAACATGTCCGTACATATTTATAATTTATGCGATAATTTATTCTTAAGTCTTTTTTCAGATGTCATGTGGAAATTAGTGAATGGGACTGTGTTTCTCTGACAAAACCCTCTTGCTTTATATGCTGCTTTTCTTATTCATAGGTAATTAAATTTTAAATAATATTATGGACCTTGATTATGGTCATAGGAAAACAATTTATTAATTAGAGCTGTACAAAAGATATTTACCCAAAAAGTAAGAGAATGGATTGAACAACATACATAGTACAACAAATAGTCCATATGGCTTTCTGTAAAAATACGTTATTTTTGTGTCAATTAAATTATTTAAAACGATATGAAGTACACGTGTCAGACAGGAACTTGGAGTTGCGGAGATTCATCATATTAATTGTTTTGTCGTAAGTTACCAAATATGGCAAGAAATTTAATATCAAATAACTAACGCTTAATGCTTTCGATGGCTTAATGCTTAATATCTAATCAAAGCAACACGCATACAAATATACAATACATGTATTCAATAAGTGTATGGTTATCACTGATATGTAGCTTGCAGATCAGAGAAGGCCATATTAAAATCGTAACACATATTATATATACACATATTTCAAGCTTGAAAATACAGTTTGCAAATATACAATCTAAAATGCAATCGTAACACATATTATATATACACATATGTGCATTTTTGACAGGCACACGTGGGAGAAGCAGGAACAGCTCCTAAGAACACCAATTGATGGAAGCCTTCGCACGCTCCACCGCAGAATCCGTACACCTGATCCTTTTAAAAAGATTATTGTGTTTTACACTAGGTTTTTTTTTGGACAAACTTTTTTGTGTTTAAGTTTAGTTTCACTTTTTATTACATTAATATAATTTAATTTCATGATATATTACAAAACAGAAACCAAGTGAAACCAAATACTTTTACTAGTAAAATTTTCTAAAAATAAATATTTTATACATTACAAGTATAAAGAACGTGACAGATTATAATTATTTTTGTTGAAAATTTAGTTTAATTTTATAGTTAATATAAATCATAAATAAATAATAATCTTTCCTTTCATTTTAATAGTATTTTAGAATTTATTTTATTTTATTTTAAGTGATGTTTTCTTTTCTTTGAATATCTAAAGTTATAACTTTGACCAATCCTCGTACTTGCCGTAAATCAACACCCCTAGTGCGAAGGCATCCATCAATTGAATTTGGTTTAAATGTAGCAAATTTCATTTAAACCGAACTAAACCAAACTCAAACCCTAACCAAGTTCGATTTTATACCGTTGCTGTATAAGATTTAGGTGGGGCCCAGATAGATAAAGATCCATTAGGACCACGTGGGCTGGACTGCTTCGAACCAATCACATCTCGAATCTCAAACTCAACTTCAGGATTTGGCTCTTTTTCTATTAAAGAGCTTCCAAGTGACCAAATCCCCAATTATCGTCGTCTTAAGATAAAAGATTTAGTCTCATTCACGCCAGGTGTCAATCATCAGCGAATCATTTCGATTTTACCAACAATAATAATCATTAGTATTATCTTTTGTTCGACGACGGGTTATAAGATAACACTCTTTATTTTACGTTTCAATCTTCTAGTTTACGTTTTGCAGATTTTGACTCCAAAAAATAAACTTCTACAACTATATATATATCAGAGTCTTTGTTTATATTGGTTTTCTTGAAACCCCTTTAACACAATATTTTGTACGTGGTTTTCTTTGCTGTATAAGAACTATTCTTAAGAAATGTTTAGTACAGTATTGACTAAACCAAATATCTAACACATGCATAGAAGATGTAATCCATAAGCTAGTTGCCAAATTGCTACATGTAAAAAAGAAAGGTCTTCTATAATACCATAAAGGTTTCACAGATGACCTTTTCTTTTTTACCAAAACAATTTGGTATTATAGTGTTTAAATAACACACCCATACTGAGTATCTGTTGTTCAAATAGCAGATTTATATTCGTTAATCATAACACTATAGTATATATTATCTACAAACACATTATATTGTTTTATAGAATACTGTTTTTTCTGGTGATTCTTGTAACTTTACACCAACAAAGCATGTTATGTTAGCTATTTGTCACAGCACAATAGCTAAAGGAGTAGTATTCTTTTAAACTTTGAAGTATAATTAATGCTATATTTTAGATTTAACTTTTGAACATGCGTTTATGTCCAATTAGTTTGGCTTGTTTGTCGACAGAGATTGTATTCTATTCTCTTTGTCCCAGTTTATAAGCTGTTCTAACTAAAAACACATCATTTAAGAAACCATAAATGTTTCGTTATTTTACATTTATTTTTAAAAATTTAACTAACATAAAAATAAAAACAGCAGAATTCAACTGGTCATAACATACCAAATAAACATAAATTAGGCATAAAAATATGAAAAAATCTTATAAAACAGAATAAGAAAAAGAAACTAAAACATTCTATAATTTGGGACATGGGGAATACTATATACTCCCTCCGTCCCACAAAGATGAATTTTTTAGAAAAAAAAAATTGTCCCACAAAGATAGAAGTTTTGTGTTTCCAATGTCAAATTTAAAACAGTTTATCTATTTTACCTTTATTAAACAACAATAAATAATATACTCTTTAAAATAAGTTAAAAGGTAAAAAGGTTAAAATTGTCATTATACATTATTTTTTAAAGAATGTAAAATTTTAAAAAATTCTATCTTTGTGGGACGGAGGGAGTACATTTGATTTGAGTACTATAATGTTCTATTATTCTTCATAATTAGTCTACCATTTGACAAAAAAAAATATGATACGGGAAAATGTATAATACATATTGGTTATTTTAAGTATAGTTCTTTTTAATTTTCTGGTTAGTGCTATAAAATTCACGTGAGCGCGTACTCAGAGTGGTAGAGTGTGAATGATATAGTAATAAACCTTATTCGGATTCTTGATCAGACCAAGAAAAGGAGATAAGGTGTTGTCCCTTTTGATGTTTTAAAAATTGAATCCCACATTATCTTTGGGTCCATAAAGTTTTAATTTAAACATGTTCTCAGATTTCCGAAGATAATAATTATAGTTAGTAATTGCAAAGGTCGAGTTTAAAAGATGGCCTTGGAACTTGAAGACTGGTGGAAATTATACTAAATGTTCCAAAGTTGTTGGCCATTATGATGCGTTTATAGAATATTTACTTTTTATGATGCGTTTCTCCTCAGATATGAATAAATTCAAGATTTGATAAACAAAGCAGTCGAGATCAACCGTAACACTAGTTGAAAATGTCATCATAGCTCACTAGTTACTAAATATAATAATTCCTTATATAGTTCTTAAAGTAATTCCGGAGATATAAGAGCATGATTTAAAACGATAGTGTGTAGCATAATTGAGTATACCTTAAAAAGGAATTGACCAGTAATTTTACTCAGAGTGCCCAAAATGTATTTGTCATTTAAAAATTAGTTAATTAAATATTGATCATAAAAAATTCATACTTGTACTAATCTTACCTATCGGAAAGTTTACAATATTTCTTTCTACGATAGATAAATAATTAACACTAAAACGTTAGGTATAAAGTGTAGATGTAACTTTTATTTTCAATTCCGGTAGATGTCATAAGATACCCCCAGTGATAAATGGAGCTACCAAATATCTGAAATCTAAGATCTGAATCCTTTATATATTTGGAAAATCAAAACTTTTTTGTATTTAAATTCAGATAACAAAATTATAAATTGTCATAACTAAACTCGGATATCTTAATTTTAAAATCAAGATTTGTAATCCAGTTTCATTATATTAATATATTTAATATATGTATATTATATATTATTAGATGATGTGTTTTTATTTTTATTAGAAAAAGTAAAATTAAAAATCATATATGAAAAAGTAAAATGTGTTTTCATTCTGGATTTAATCTTATAATTATCTAGTTATTTTATGTTTTCCTAAGTTTAAAAGACTTATATTTATATCATTATTTTTTTCCTAAAAATAGATATAGGTAAACATTATGATTCAACAATATCTGTTTTATCAACACGTATTATATTAATTTAAATCTGGGTGATGATGTATCAACAATAAGAATACAACAAAGTACTATACAAAGCAATATATCATCGTCATATGTGAAAAATCATATATAAAAAATAACTTATCCCGTAGTATACCAATCTAATACTGATTATTATTTACATACTCTCTATGGACCAACGGCATGATTAATTTGCAAGAAATTCCTTATTAGTTCTTATGGCCCAGAAGCCCATTAAACAAGATTAATGATAACTTCATACCGTTACGTCGGATAATTGATTAAAAAAGAAAGAAAGAATGCCAAGTAAATGTTGATTGTGGAACAAATAATGAAGATGTTAAAGAGATTTGGTTTTATGATCTACTAGAGGAAAATTCGGGCTACGCCCGGTAATATATTTAATAATTTTTTAGATTAATTAACTTAAGTTTAAATTCAATTTTAGTTATACATTAAAAAGTCATATGATATTGTATTTAGTATTTTAATAAATATAACCTATATGATACTATTAATCTATTCATTCTAATTTATATTTACAAATTGAAATTTATTTTTTTGTTTCTTATTATTACTTATATAGTTTTTTTTGTCTTATCTATATAGTCTCTAATAATCTTAAGGAAAATGATCTCTTCTTAATAGTATGAAATGTACCTTTAATAATAGTAGTTTTAATTTTGGAGAAATTCCAAAAGCTTTTCAAATTTATATTCTTTAGTTATGTTGTTAAGGATTTGAATATGTGTAATTTGATAACTTGGTTTCTAATGTTATGAAATCTTGAAGAAAAATAACAAAAATATCATTATTTTTAAATAACCAAGCAATGGATTAGCAAGTAAAGAACGATGGTTCTTGTGTGATACTACATCATTGACTTTGATCGTGTTAAGAAGTCAATATTCAAATTCCCTTTAAATGTTTTGATTAGTTTATTTTTTTCACTTTATATGTAAAAGCTAAAACTTTTCTTTCCCATTTTATCAGCGGCTTAAATTTGAAATCACTTTCGAAATTTTAGCAGCCAATTTTTCAATTACTTTCAACCTAATTATTTTAGTTTGTTTGAACAAATTTGACCTAATTATCTCAAAGCTTGAACTGAACGTATCCAACACATTCGCTTCGACATAACGACAAGAGCGGAGTAGGGAAGACAAAATTTTGACCTCATGAATTTTAAAGCCTTGACAAACTTGATATATGATCATATTGAAATAAACTGCAAGCATGTAAGAAAAAAGTTAAATCTCAGTAATATGAAAGTGTATGTAAATGGGTCATTCTTATTATTTATAAAAAAAACCATTGAAACTTTTTGAGGAAAACCACATGCTAAATATTTTTTAAAGGAACATTTTTCATTACACATTTTAATTTTCAATGAAATTGATTCCAAAACTTACGATGAAAGCCATATATAATACTATCAAATCCAAGTGAAAGTATTTTATTTTTGTTCATCACAGTGCGTTGAAGTTTTGTCCTACACATACACACATCATCTAATCACACGTATAGAAACAAAATATACATAGAGGGATGGATCTTTATGTTAGTAGAGCAAAAATACCTCTAAAGCGTGAACTGAGGTTTTTACGCTTCAGTTTTTCTAATCTAAGGGTTATCTTGGGTAGTCGGCTTCGGCAATTCGCTTCCAGGGTGCTGCGTGCGAGCAATCGAGGAACTGAGCAAGGTAAATGTTGGCGGATTCATGATTTCGGAGGATGATGCTGGTCTCTTCCACAAATTTGTATCTACAATTAATTACACTTTCGTAGAGTGAACTTCTGTAGAGTGATCCATTGATGTTGATGACCAAGTAAGAAAGAAGCTAAACGTTGATGTAAGTTTCTTTACAACTGTGATGAGTTTTTAAATTGTAGAGAAGGGGAACTTGAACGCCAAATTCATCAACATTTGAGAAGTAATAAGTGCGATGAATTTTGATTGGGTGGCTTATGGGGAATTCCAAAAGCTGAAGTTTGGGCGAGGGAAATCTCTTGAGTGACCTATTATATACTATGTGTCAATGAGACGTGGATAATTGTAAGTGGTTTTTAAGAGTGATGTAGCATCTTGCAAAATCTCCGCTTACGTGGCTTCCTCTAAAATGCTTTTGATTGTGCTGATGTGGACACATTGAGAGGCCTCAATGAACACTTTTTATTGGTTCTTTTATTAGTAAGAGATATTCTATACTACATGCGAAATAAATAAATCCACTTTTGAAAAAATCCTATATCTAAAATATGAAAATTTTCTCGTTATAAAACATCATCACTTCTTAAAATATCACAATCATAATTCATTGAAACAATAAAAAAATTATTTAGTGAGCACTCTTTTAATGGAAAGCAATAATTCATGAAAAGATCTTTTGAAATCTCCCGAAGACCTCTTAATTGTATCAATTATTCTCATAGAAGAGGAATCAAATTTCAAAACCCTGAACACATGATCCTACCATTATCAATGGTCTCTTAATTTTGGTTCTTAAGAATTTTTAGGATTAAATTTATAAATTTTGGCTCTTAACTTTTTTTTTTTTTTTTAGCTAAGTAACCCATCTTAGATTTAATGCATTTGGGAATTAATGTGTTCAGGGTTTTGAAATTTGATTCCTCTTTCAGGGTTGACAAATGCTATTGGTCTATTACCAATATGTTTTTCTACAGTGTCTATTTAGAACACAAAGCTATAAGAATAAGACATGATAGCATTATATTAAATTCTTATAATTTTATTGTAAGAAAAGAATAAGACATGATATCATATATATATACACTGCATCTTCTGGAAAAATACAGAACTACCTTGGAGTTGGGTTGGGTTTGCTTTCAGAGGAACATGAGAATAGACTGTTTTTGATGAACAATGTTGATTATCATTGATCGAAGGATAAACTGTTACGATTTTGAGACGGATCGGAGTTAGTTATTACGTACGTAGTCTCTTGACGACTGCTTTCTCCAATTTCGAGTTTTATTTTTCAATTTCTTGTTTTTGTTATTTTCTCGCTCTTCAAGTTTATTCTTAATGAGATTTTTTTATCGATCCGTCTAAATTGTATGTATGTATAACATGGTTGATTTTGTTGTGTTTAATCATAGTTTCTACTATATAAAAAATAGAATAAAAATGTGATACATTTGTGTTGATAACTTGATTACGTAAACCATGTGAATTCTGACCAAACAATTTATATTAAAACCACGTAAAATTCAGAATCAGGTCGTATAATTATGTTATAACTAACTAATGTTTTAATTTCAAAAAGTAAAAGGAAAATTAGTGAAGCACGTACACTTGGGCATGAACTCATCCAGAAGTTAATTATAAAAAGATCTATATGTTTTTATGAAAAGATGGAAGGAAAGTTTTGGAAGTAAGATTACCTGTACCTAGTTTCTTAACTTACCCTAGATCTATTTCACAAAATTAAAAGGACATTTTGAGGATTGATTTTTATTTTCATTTCTATCGTGCATGTTACCACAAATATAAATATAAATACATCTCACCGCCTTTGGATCTGATTTATAAGAGATTGTGATCTCTCTTTTTTGTTAATTAGAGATTATAATCTATATTAATTATATGGTAAATTGAGAAAATCAGTAAAAATATTGTAGGAGAGATACAAATTTCTTCACTGGAGAGAGCTCTCCTTCTTCTCCGAGGAATCAAAAGCTGCAATAGAACCCAACAACGAGAAGAAATATGGTTAAATTTTCTAAGTCAACGTACGTGTTTACATATATAAGATTTATTTGTAAAAATATTAAATGTATAAAGAGATTTAGACATTATCGTACAGATCTACCATACTAATTCTTCGCTGGTTACAATTTTATACAATAGGTTGACCAAATTAATAGCTAAGGTCTTTAGACAATTTGTCTCAAATGGGTACAAAAAATATTGTCTTGGTCTTCTTTTTTTTCTTTTTTCTTTTTGTTGTTGTTGAAAATATTATCTCTTCTTCTGATTTCTTTGTCTGAGGTTTAGTAAAATGGACAAGGAATTGGAAAACGGATCTCCGGGAGTGAAGGTGGGTCGGGTCATGACTCAGGTTTTCGTTCTGATTTTCCTTCTTCAAGGTGTTCGTTCCACAACGTCACTGTATGCTTTCTTGTAACTTAATTCTATGTCTTTTCACTGAAACAGGTTCTACAATATTATAAATACTAGATTATTGAAACTCAGTAATATTATCACAAGACTTGTGATCTTTCTTTTGTTTTCTCTTTTTGAGGGACAAAACTTGTGTATTTGGTTTTTGTTTGGTAGATTTTATGTTTTTGGAATAGGTCAAAATGACTCAATCTTGTTTTCTTAATTTATTTCAATTTTCAAAATTCTAATGTTAAAGTGCTTAGATTTATTTCCCCTTTGGTATAATCCACGGTTGAATCTAAACAACATATATACATATTCACGTTAATTTTTTTAATTTTCGTTTAATTGTAAACTTGTAAATCTTTTTTTTGGTTTTTTTAATTGTAAATCTTCTTATTACAGAAACAATTTAAACGTCACAAAACCGGGACAAAAACAATCTCCCCCGGTTACGCTTAGGAAAGTTGGTCATAACCAAGTACGATTGAAACGTCTATTTAATCTTCTGAATCTTTGTTTCAATGATTCTACTATAAGGTACCAAAAATTGTTATGTATATAAGATTTGATATTTAGTTTTTGCATGGTGTTTAAGGTGGTCGTTGATAACGGTATCATCCAAGTTAGCTTCTCGAGTCCAGCAGGCTTAATAACTGGAATCAAGTACAATGGCTTTAACAATGTGTTGAACGACCAAATTGAGAATCGCGGGTACGATACATTTAAATATCTTAACTTATTTAGCTTTTGGAAAAATATTAGGAACGTGGTCTAACTTAACCCAAAAGCTAACTCAAGAGTTAAGGATTGACACATTTTTTATATACTACCCAAAAATCTTAATCCCAAACAATGTGGGACATTCTAATAGGCCTCCTCGAGATGTGGGTGGGAAACGGTCCAACGGGAACAGCCCAAGCCAAACAACTTGGAAATACAACAAGACATGCCACTTAAATAGACCACATAAGTGGGAAACCATTTGTGTGAGAATTTGCTTGTTGGGTCAATTTTGGGCTCTGATACCATATTAGGAATGTGGCCTAATTTAACCCAAAACATAGCTCAAGAGTTAAAGATTGCCACATCCTTTATATACTACCCAAAGATCTTAATCCCAAATAATGTGGGACATTCTAATAAAAAAATATTTAAAATGTTTCGTCTAATATAAAATAATCATCATCATCATTATATAGGTATTGGGACGTAGTATGGTATAAACCAGGACAAAAGTCACTAACCGATTTGTGAGTTGTCGAATCTCTCTTCGTATATTTATGTTCATAACCATACGTATTATACATGTTTTCTATGTATTTCATATCTCTATAATGTTTCAACAGTTTAGTAGGAGAAAAATTCAATATTGTAAATCAAACAAGTGAGCATGTCGAAATTTCTTTTTCGAGAACATGGAATATCTCTCAACATACCTCGGGAGCCCCATTAAACGTAGACAAAAGGTATGTCAATTTGTATTAGAAAAAAATAGTATGTTACTAGAGAGTTTTTCTTGTTTTTTATTATGAGAAGTTAGATATATTTAGATAAATCATAACTGAAATTGTTCTCTTTAAAGATATATCATTCGAAGTGGTGTGTCCGGAGTCTACATGTACGCTGTGTTAGAGAGATTAAAAGGTTGGCCCGACGTGAACATGGACCAAACCAGAATCGTCTTCAAGCTTAACACAACAAAGTAACCCTTGTTTAATTATATTTTTATGCTAAAATTGATGTGACTGAAAAGAAAAGAAAAAAATCATTTTTTTGTGTGTTGCAGATTCGATTACATGGCTATATCTGATGGTCGGCAGAAAATTATGCCTTCTGCAACAGATCGAGATATCAAAACTGGTCGTGCTAGTCCATTGGCTTACAAAGAAGCTGTTCATTTGATAAATCCCCAAAATCATATACTTAAAGGGCAGGTATATATATAAACAAATCCACAAAATTTAGACATTTCGGGCATATACTATTGAGAAAAATGTCATTTAAATCATCAGTTTACCATTTTCGTTGGTTTAAATCATGAACTCTAGACATGGTGATTTAAATTCTTAATTTTATGTTGATTTTCATTTTAATCATGAATTCTCATTGACAAAGCCAATTGAGGCACATCGCTAACTGGTTAAACGGATCAATAAGACGATGTCATCGCATAACTGGCACTTCGAAACCATCACATAATTTTTTTTTTACACCAACATGATTTTCATCTTCCTCTTCGTTTGATTGTTCTGTTTAGACAGTTAACGATGTACTTCAATTGGCTTAGTCAACGAGAATTCATGATTACATTGAAAGTCAACATAAAATTGAAGATTTAAATCACCAGGTTCACATCAAATTGAGGATTTAAATCACCAGGTCCAGAGTTCATGCTTTAAACCAACGAAAATGGCCAAGTGATGATTTAAATGACATTTTTCCCAATATACTATTCTATATAAAGTCTCTTTAAAAAAATTTGTACACGAACCTTGAATAACACCGGCTATACAAATAAGACAACCCTGAATGATTTACTAACGCAGGTAGACGATAAGTACATGTACTCGATGGAAAACAAAGACAACAAAGTACACGGTTGGATATCGGCGGACCAACGTGTTGGGTTTTGGATGATTACTCCCAGCGATGAGTTTCGTTCATGTGGGCCCATCAAACAAGATCTCACTTCTCATGTGGGACCCACCATTCTTTCAGTGAGTTAAGAAAAAAAAAACTCAATTTCTATTTTTCATTGTAAATTGTTACATTAGTTTAAAATTACAAAAAAAAAAAAAAAAGTGATATATGGTTCGACTAACTTGATCCAGTGTTATACTGATTCAAGAAGTATGTATGTCCAATTTCCTGTTCGTTTTTAGACACACTAGTATCTTTATAGATATTCACTTTTGGATGATCTGCATGGTACGATTAGTTCTATATGTATTATTGATTCATTGAGTCGAAATGTATATCTGTTTTAATCTTTTGTCCGATTTTAAGAATATTGTGTTTTTCTAGATGTTTACAAGTGTACATTACGCGGGAGTAGATATTAACACAATTTATAAAAGCAAGGAGCCATGGAGGAAGATGTTTGGCCCTGTCTTTGTTTATCTCAATTCTGCCTCTTCTCGTAATCTTCTCTGGACCGATGCTAAACGACAGGTCTCGTTACCGTATCAATGACACACCAGTATTTCATTCGATTTATATCATCATGATTAATTAAAATGTTTAAACAATTGTATATATAGATGGTTTCCGAGGTCCAAAGTTGGCCTTATGATTTCGTGAAGTCAGTAGATTACCCTCTTCATCACCAAAGAGGAATCGTCAAGGGTCGAATCTTTGTCATGGAGAGGTAAACAAATCTAAGATTTTTCTTAGAACGATTTTCTTGGTTACACAGCTTACAATTTATGAATTTTTGAGTAATTGTGAGTTTTGTAGATACAACAAAAGCGAAACGAACTTATTTGGGAAATTTGCTTTTGTGGGATTAGCCTTACCTGGTGAAGCTGGTTCATGGCAAACCGAAAACAAGGTACTAAACTAATGGTCAGTGTCTGTCAAATGGACTAAACTAACGGCTTTTAATAATCTTTTACAATAAAATCTGGACAAAGGGATATCAATTTTGGACACGAGCAGACAAAGTAGGGATGTTCACAATAGCGAATGTTAGACCAGGGAAGTATAGTCTCTACGCATGGGTTTCTGGGTTTATCGGTGACTACAAATATGAGCGTGACATTACCATCACACCAGGTACGTTTATTTCATTTATCTCACATCCCTTTAGTATACACAACGTGAAATGTGTGTTTAGTGCTGACCCACGTTGATCCAACTAGAGACGCATTAAGGGCGTTATAACTGTTATATGCCACAACTGAAGATGTGATAAGGCCCATTAATAGGCCTAAGTATTGTGGTGCCTATAATTCATGTATGTGTTTGGTTTGGCCGATAGGTAGGGTGATAGACGTAGGACGCATAGTGTACGAGCCACCGAGAAATGGTCCGACTCTGTGGGAGATCGGAGAACCAGACCGAACCGCCGCAGAATTCTATATCCCAGATCCGGACCCAACCCTTTTGACCAAACTCTATCTAAATTACTCAAATCCTCAAGACAGGTAACAGAATAAGCATGTAATTAAATATTGTTTACAATATACTTTTATTTTAATATACTAAATGGTGTTTTATTTAATTTATGTAATAATACAGATTTAGACAATATGGTCTATGGGATCGTTACAGTGTTTTGTATCCTCGAAAAGATCTTATTTTTACTACTAGAGTAAGTGACTTTAAAAAAGACTGGTTCTATGCCCATGTCAACAGGTAATAAAATTTAATTTTTGATGATTCAAAATGTTGTTGTATAAATCACTGATATCAGTCAATACAAAAACTATATGTTTTTTAATCTATAGGAAAGCTGGAAATGGGACATATAAAGCAACAACATGGCAAATTAAGTTTAATTTAAAAGCAGTGATTCAAACTAGAATCTACACACTTCGAATAGCTTTGGCTGCAGCCACAACTACTGATCTAGTGGTTTGGGTCAACCAAGCTAATTCCAAACCCCTATTCATAACTGGGCTAATAGGTCGGGATAACGCGATCGCCAGGCATGGGATTCATGGGTTGTACAAATTGTACAATATCGATGTTCATGGAAAGTTACTTAGGGTTGGTAATAATACTATTTTTCTTACTCATGGTCGGAACTCTGATTCTTTTTCAGGTGTAATGTATGATTATCTTCGTTTGGAAGGTCCTTCCGGTGTTTGATAAACTAAATATGTATAAATAATGTGTAAGTGTCGATAGGAGGAATTATTTTCTTTTAGTAGTCAAAGTCCAAATTATAATTAAAAAAATCTGTTTTACAATTGTTAAATTTGTTACTTGTACATCCAATTATAGTTTTTCTTTTGTTATTAATGTAGAACTAATTCTTCGTTAATGTCATCAAGTTCTTAATATTTTTAAGAGTTTTTTTATATATAAAAACTCAAATGCCAAAAATGATATGTAAAGCATATAACTATATCAAATATTACAACATTCACCATGCATGATGATGATATTTGTTAGTATATAAACATAATAAGTAATATTTTTATGTTAAATATGTTGAGAAAAAAATACATATATGAAAGTCAACTGTTGATTGGTATCGTATGAGAGACCTAAAGTCAACGATATTTCTCACACGAAACGGCAACGTTTAGATCCATTTCTATTCTCGCTTCTATATAAAAAGAAAGGTAGTCTAGGTCGCTTAATTGTTCGAAAATAAAGAAATAAAAAGAGTGAGAGATGGAGAGATTGTCAGGAGAGAAAGAACAGAGCGTAGAGGCGTTTGGATGGGCCGCAAGAGACTCCTCAGGCCATCTCTCTCCCTTTGTCTTTTCTAGAAGGTAACGATGATGGTGTTACATGATGGATCGATGATTATTGTAGCCATGATGATAATCATAATCATGATGATGGTGATGGTATGTGCAATGTGCAGGAAAACAGGAGAGGAGGAAGTGAGAGTGAAGGTGTTATATTGTGGAATATGTCATAGTGATCTCCATTGTCTCAAGAACGAATGGCATTCCTCTACTTACCCTTTGGTTCCTGGGTACGCAATTTTTTTTTTTTTTAAATAACATTATTTTCGTAAAATTTTCAGTTATGTTAAAAAAATTATTATCACTGTGTCGGTTAGATTATAGTCCCAGTAAATTTTGTTTTTTATTTGATGTTAAGACGACTAGTTTTCATTCACATTACAATTATAAACAATGTAAATTTTGATCCGAAAAAACCGAAATTTTGCTTATGGTGATTTAAATACACAAGGATTATTATATTGGTTTATTATAGGTGAAATGAACTTAACATGTATGTTTCAGGAAATATTAAAAATATTGGATTTGGTTGGTAAAATGCTTAATTATAAGAGATCAAAATATAATTGAGTGGAAGTAAATGTGGCAAGTTCTTGTTTGTCCACTGTTTATAGTGGAGCACTTACTTTTAGTTCTTTTCTTTCGGCTAAATTAAATATATTTGAATAAAAACATTTTAGGCAGATAAATTAATTATTACTCTGAAATAAGTTTTGCAAAAAAATGAGCACTCACCTCCATTGTTACCATCATCACTTAAAGTTGACTATTACTAGCTTCTACCCTCTCTTTTCCTGTTGTGACAAATGATTTCTCATATAGTGATGACATTTTTTTTCTTTTGTTAAATTCATTTAGTAACTTTATTATAAGTAAATCCACACACACACATATCAAAATTGAACGTTATGAACAATGAAGATATTTAAGTGCAACACAAACTAAATACATGGGTCACTCTTTTTATATTGTTTTAATTTCAACTGTCTAAAAGCTTTTAAATATTTTTGATATAAATAAAGACACGATAAACATTAATTATAAATTTTATTTTGTTATTATTGCTAGTTACATTTCCAGATTAATGTAAGAAATATATAAACATGGGGTTGTTTTTAGTACAGTCACGAGATAGTTGGAGAAGTGAGTGAGATAGGGAGCAAAGTAAGTAAATTCAATCTTGGAGACAAAGTCGGTGTGGGATGCATAATAGATTCATGCCGCACTTGCCAAAGTTGCCGTGAAGATCAAGAGAACTACTGCACCAAAGCAGTCGCGACCTATAACGGAGTTCACCATGACGGAACAATTAATTACGGTGGATACTCCGACCACATCGTCGTTGATGAACGTTATGCCGTCAAAATTCCACACACATTGCCTCTAGCTTCAGCCGCACCTTTGCTTTGTGCAGGTAATTTAAATCATATATGGTTATACTTTAAAAATATATATACAATTTATTATTGAATTATTTTAATTAATTTAACGTGTCTAACGTAACATATAGGCATCTCGATGTACAGTCCTATGAAGTACTTCGGATTGGCCGGACCGGATAAACATATCGGAATCGTGGGGCTAGGTGGTCTTGGACACATTGGGGTGAGATTTGCTAAAGCATTTGGGACTAAAGTCACGGTGATTAGTTCGACCACTGGGAAATCTAAGGATGCTCTTGAAACTCTTGGAGCTGATGGATTCTTGGTTAGTACTGATGAAGACCAAATGAAGGTAATCTTAAACCATATATTATGCATATAAAACGTAAAAATTGTTATCAGATTTCAAATTTATGTTAGGCCGCAACGGGAACTATGGATGGCATAATTGATACAGTTTCTGCATCGCATTCGATTTCACCTTTAATTGGACTACTCAAATCCAACGGTAAACTTGTTCTACTCGGGGCAACGGAGAAGCCATTTGATATATCTGCATTTTCCTTAATATTGGGTATGCATATATAACGCTTAAGTAATAGAACGTTATATTAGTTAATTTATTCAGCCTTTCACATCTAGACTATCGAGTATGATGAAACCATGATGCGACAGGACGGAAATCGATAGCGGGAAGTGGTATTGGAGGAATGAAAGAGACACAAGAGATGATTGATTTTGCGGCTGAGCATGGCATAAAAGCAGAAATTGAGATCATATCCATGGATTATGTGAACACCGCCATAGATAGACTGGCAAAAGGGGATGTTAGATATCGATTTGTCATCGACATTGCTAACACATTGGCTGCTACTCGATCTTAATTAAAGTCGATCTTCTATCTATATACGTATTCAAAATCGTCTCTGGATTTCAGTCCCACGAAACTTAAGGATATAATAGTCTGTTTTATATAAATGGAGTATAATCAAATAAATGTAATTCGAGTGAATATGTTTCGAACGAAAATGACTTACATTTCCAAAAGCTATGAATTTTCAAATTCAGAGTTTTTTTGTTTGGAAGAGGCATTGATGAAATTGGCTTGTATCAACCGAACGTATCTTATGTTATATTGGGTGGACTTAACTAAATGTATCAACCGAACGTATCCATGTGGGGTCGATTGAACACGTTTTAAATATGAACGTATATGTTATGTTGTGTGGACTTAACTAATTATGTTGTGTGGATGGATCTTTAAAATTTTGCTGTAAAAATTAGATATACATAATTCTCTTCCTACAATAATTGTAACTGATGGGCCATATCCAATATGATTCGTAATAGAAATGTACTTAAATGAGTTACGCTTTCAATATTTCGAACGCATTATTTCCAAATATTTCCATTTTTTTTTCAAAAAAAAAGTTGTTAACTGAAATTTGACAGGAACTGCTTTTGTGGCAAGAAATTCTATAACTTCTTTTTTTGGTGAAATGTTTTTTAATCATTTTCTTCGAAAAAAATTGCATAACTTCAAAATTTGTTTTAAACGGGAAATTGTTGGATAAATGATGTTTTAGCATGAACACTATATAATGTTTTTTTTTTTTGTATGAATGTAAAATTGTATTCACCAAAAAAATAGAATGTTTTTTTTTTCATGCAGAAAATTGCAAAATCTTGTCTTTGGCAATAAATTACAGAATCAGTTTCTGTTTGGCTGAGATTTGAGTTATCGCATGTTTAGGGAGGATAACTCGCATTATTTATTAAATATAAATGAGGAAAAAGTTGTTAAATTAAGAGAAATGACGTTTACTGCACTACAACCATAGCTTTAAATCAGCAGAATAACCAATTGCATTATTGATGAACACATCATTATCAAATAGGTTGGTTGATATGAGCATGATGACTCAAGCCATCACACTACTACCAGATCGAGTAACCATTAGGGACCATCGATTCACGTGGACGTAGTGAATATGGTCCTTGTAAATTAATGAGTACGTAATTGTCCTCATTCACATATCGATCGGTTCCACAGACAGACCTTTCCTGTATAAAATTCGACATCTTTCCTCTCATTATTATCTCTACACTTCTCATCTCTCAATCCCATTCGCTTATTGTTTATCCATATGGGAAAGGTTCTTGAGAAGAAGGCGTTTGGATTGGCCGTGAAAGACGAATCTGGAATTCTTTCGCCTTTCAGTTTCTCTAGAAGGTTTCAATGTTTTTTAAAACGAATATTAATTAGACCCTTGTTAGAAGTTTTTCATATTTAAAGTTTGCATGAAAATGTAGAAACGTTTATTTTTTTCTTGAATATAATTTAACATTAAATTCAAAAAAAAAAAACGAATATTAATTAATATCTATCGATTTTGTTTGCTATGATCCGATAAGCTGTTTTTGTTCTAATGATGATATAAATGTATATAGGGAGACGGGAGAAAAGGATGTGAGGTTCAAAGTCTTGTTCTGTGGAATTTGCCACACTGATCTGAGTATGGCCAAAAACGAATGGGGATTTACTACTTATCCTCTTGTCCCTGGGTGAGACAAATTTTCTATATATACTCAAAAATAACATATTTTGTTTTAAAATAAACTATCAATGCTAGCAAACGTGATTATTATTATTATATTAAATAGTATCAAAGGCTAATGAGACATGTTTTTTTTTTTTTTTTTAATGAGACATGTTAATTTAAGTGATGACATTTAATCGGAATTCAATTGTTTCAGGCATGAGATTGTTGGGGTGGTGACTGAAGTTGGAGCCAAAGTGACCAAATACAACGCTGGAGACAAAGTCGGAGTTGGCTATATGGCTGGCTCATGCCGGTCATGTGACAGCTGCAGCGATGGCGAAGAGAACTACTGTCCAAAGATGGTCCTGACATCCGGAGCCAAAGATTATGACGATACCATGACCCATGGTGGTTACTCCGACCACATGGTGTGTGCTGAGGATTTCATCATCCGTATTCCTGAAAATCTCCCATTAGACGGTGCCGCACCACTACTCTGTGCCGGGGTCACGGTCTACTCCCCGATGAAGTATCACGGGCTCGACAAGCCCGGTATGCACATTGGTGTGGTGGGACTAGGCGGTTTGGGTCATGTAGCAGTGAAATTTGCTAAGGCTATGGGTACTAAAGTTACGGTTATTAGTACTTCAGAGCGTAAGAGAGACGAGGCCGTTAATCGGCTTGGTGCGGATGCCTTCTTGGTGAGCCGTGACCCGAAACAAATGGAGGATGCAGTGGGGACTATGGATGGTATAATTGATACCGTATCTGCAACCCATCCGCTTCTTCCGCTGCTTGGTTTGCTTAAAAATAAGGGAAAACTTGTTATGGTTGGTGCACCAGCGGAACCGCTCGAGCTCCCTGTTATGCCTCTCATCTTTGGTATGAACCTATTCGCCAGTCATCTTTAAACATTATCAAACGATATAGCCAACAAATTTGCGTTATACAGTATATCGATAGTTTCGAAGAAATCGGTTATAGTAACAAATCCGTATACTTTCAATCGATAATTAAATATAGTGATTTAATATCCGTCGCTAAATTATTTTATCACAAATCTAACCACATTTGAAGAGTCAAGTCGATAAACGTTGAGAACATGTTTTTTTTGTGTGTGTGGTTGTATACATATAGGGCGGAAGACGGTGGTGGGAAGTATGGTAGGAGGTATAAAGGAGACGCAAGAGATGGTGGACTTGGCTGGAAAACACAACATCACGGCGGATATTGAGCTCATCTCTGCGGATTATGTCAACACCGCCATGGAACGACTTGCAAAGGCTGATGTTAAGTACCGATTTGTGATTGATGTTGCCAATACAATGAAGCCAACTTCTTAATTAGAAAGCTAAAGAATTGAATTTCCCCAAAGCTTTTTTCATGTTTTTTGCTTGTTTGGTTGATGTTGTTTGCTGACGACTTTTTGAGTAGTACTACCAATGCATGTACTTTATCAATTCAATAAACTTGAATATTGTATTTAATAAGCTATATATATGATTAGATTTTGGGGAAGTTTAATTAAAATTTACTCGGATTGAAGATTCTAATTGGCCATATTGTAAGATTGCAATAATATATATATATATATATATATATATATATATATATATATATAATATATTAGACACTTTAATTAAAATGAATAGGTTGAAATGTGTTGAGTATGAATGATAGAAGCAGTGATGTTTGACCGTCAGGAGAAATTAACGAGAACACTATGGTAAATGGATGACTAGAAGGAAAAGATGAGGTTTTCTCTCTCTTCTCTCTCCCATATCCTTTAGAGAGAGAAACACTTTTCCTTTTGCCGATCGGATGTTTGTCCGACGTTTAGCCGTCCCAAGTGACTTGGGCTTTTGCCCGGTATCCTCCAACTCCGTTAGAGGAGATAGCCGGTTTTTGTCCGGCAAATCCGGCTTCCATAAGCGGTTTTGGCTGGCTTTTATCCTTCCTCGCCGTCGATCGGTTGTATACCGATTGCTTTTAGGTTCCTTTTTGTTTTCTTTTAATAATTCTATGGATCTGAGTTGGTAATTAGTCTTTAGGTGATGTTTGCTTAAGATTAATGTCTCCGACTTGTGTCTTTAGAAACCTTGATTTGCAGGAAATAGTTCTCAAGTGATTATTACATCTTTTCCAAAGGATTGAAGAATATTCCGAAGCATATTACGATACCCTTTTGTCGTTTTTTTATATTGAGCTCTGTTCAGATCAAATTCGGTGGTAAACAAGGATTCTTCGTGCGATGTTTCGACGAGGCTTTCCTCACCGGATTCGGTGCTCGTCGGCGACGGAGATTGATGTCGGTAACCTTCTGATGACTCATCAACACGCGTTGCAGTTGTAATCTCAAGATGACTCGTGATTTCGATAGAGTCCAAAAATTAAAACTCCTTTTGCTTTCGATGTAATTTTGGTAGGCCCTTGTTGGGCTTCACTCTTTTAGTTCTGCAAAATCAGCGTGGCCTTTTAGACATTGTAACCAACTTTTGGTTTGTTCAATAATAACACACTCTTGGGAAAAAAAAAAAATGGATGACTAGAAACTACGAAGATATTTATTGGTCAGATTTCGTAGGACTGATTAAATCAAAACTAGTTTTTTTTAGACAAAGTGCATGTATCTTAGAAAATTTTCAATGATTCCGATTTTTAGCAATGTAAACACATTTTTATTATGGAATTCGTTACGTGGACGGAACTGAATTGAGTTTCCGAATGGAAAAATATGGACCACGTGAACAGATACATATATGGTTGAGTTGAGCAAAGTTCAAAATGGTCAGTACACACTGACTAATTGTCAGTATTTTAACAACGTTAATTTCGTGGTCCACGAAAACAAAATGACTATGTGGTTGCACAAGGTCCTTGTATATTGATTTTCAATGTGCTAACCAAATATATGATTATATGCGCAGAGATAACGATTGAAAATTATTGTTGAAATATAGTATTTTTAAAAAAAATTGTTGAAATTTAATATATGTATGTGTTGTATATTGTATATTTAAATTCTTAGACCAAAAAATATTGTATATTTAAATTAAAATTTTATTATTTTCATAATCGTTAGTATATAATTATGTCACATCTAATACAATTAGAAGACAAGTTCGACTTTTCATAATAAAATAAAACATATATTTGATCTAATAAACATTTTCCGTAGGTGCCCACCAAATCCGTAGCACCATCAAATACCTAAGATTATACTTTCGATTTCTAAAAATCTTTTGGTTTGATTTATATAAATGATAATATTAACACAAATGATTAGGCTTCAAGTGTTGGTCGTCGCTGTTTAAGTTTGATATACTATTCATGTTCCGTGACAATTTTAAAACTGAATACATGAAACATGTTTTTTTTTTTTTTTTGCATTTGATTTTAGTAATTGAAAAGAAAAAAAAATAACACCAAAAAAGCAAGAAACTAAACAAGGAAGAAATGAACGGTCGGTGAGGAACTCTCGTGAAAGTCTTCAAAATACTTTTAACGAAAAAACAAAAAACAAAAAAAAACCAAAAGAAAAAACAGAAAAAGAAAAAGAAACTCTTGTGAACGTAAGTGCATGGACCTAATTGCACCCGCTCACGTCGGTTCCACAATCCTCTCCTATATTAAGGCCTTTGTCACTCCTCCTTATTATCTCAAACTTCTCATTTATTAATAAGTGACATTTAAACAAAAAAAAATCAAATCAGACACTTACTTGTGAATCCATTTCTCTCATTGTTTGATCGATTATGGGAAAGGTTCTTCAGAAAGAGGCGTTCGGGCTAGCCGCGAAAGACAATTCCGGAGTTCTGTCTCCTTTCCGTTTCACTAGAAGGTTTTAAAATTGTTTTTATAATCTTTATCGATTTTGTTTCAATGAATTGAACCTAAGTTGTGGTGGGATTAATGTGTAGGGAAACAGGAGAAAAGGATGTGAGGTTCAAAGTGTTATTCTGTGGAATTTGTCACTCTGATTTGCATATGGTCAAGAACGAATGGGGAATGTCTACTTATCCTCTTGTCCCAGGGTAAGACATGTATCCTATTAAATATTTTCTTAACCAGAAGTTGTCTCTTAGTGGTAAAGGACCTCCAGCTGGGGGTACCGTCACCTGAGTTTGATTCCTGGCCACTGCGGAATTCACATAGCGGCTGCAGGTTTCCAGGACCACGTCAGTTCCGCTTGGACACTACGCTAGTCGGGCCACTTCGGTGGGACCGGACACCTAAGTTATAAAAAAAAAAAAAAAGTGAAAATTGCGAAAATTATACTCAAGTCCGGTCTGATACTACTTGAAAAAAAAAAAAAGAAAAACCTATATACTAAACCCAAAAATGCATGGGTAAGCTTTTTAGCAAAAAAAAAAAAAAAAAGAAGATCCACGATAAGCTTCGTCTGGCTCATGTTTTTTTTTTAACAAAAAAATCATGTTATTAATTATCAAGGCTCAAACCGGAGTGGGCTTGGGCCTGAGTAATGTTTATCTCTACTCTGTCCTAATCCGTCACATTTAATTCATGTTTATTCTTATTTTAGTTGAAGTTAAATCTAACTATGTCCGGTTTGATTATTTTGATTAATCCCAAGGGAATTATTTTCTCCTCTAATGCTGATATTAAATCCGAATGTTTTTCAGGCATGAGATCGTGGGAGTGGTGACTGAAGTCGGAGCCAAAGTGACTAAATTCAAAACCGGAGAAAAAGTTGGAGTCGGGTGCTTGGTCAGCTCATGCGGGTCATGTGACAGCTGCACCGAAGGTATGGAAAACTACTGTCCAAAATCGATCCAAACGTACGGATTCAAGTACTACGACGACACCATAACATACGGTGGTTACTCCGACCACATGGTTTGCGACGAAGGTTTCATCATCCGTATTCCCGACAATCTCCCCTTGGACGCTGCCGCGCCTCTCCTTTGTGCCGGGATCACGGTCTATTCCCCTATGAAGTATCACGGGCTCGACAAACCCGGTATGCACATTGGTGTGGTAGGATTAGGAGGTTTAGGTCATGTAGGAGTTAAATTTGCCAAGGCTATGGGTACTAAGGTTACGGTTATTAGTACTTCGGAGAGAAAGAGAGACGAGGCGATTAATCGGCTTGGTGCGGATGCTTTCTTGGTGAGCCGTGACCCGAAACAGATTAAGGATGCAATGGGGACTATGGATGGTATTATTGATACCGTATCTGCGACTCATTCGCTTCTTCCATTGCTCGGTTTGCTGAAGCATAAGGGAAAACTTGTTATGGTTGGTGCTCCGGAGAAGCCACTCGAGCTACCGGTCATGCCTCTCATATTTGGTAAGCTATATTTGTAGTAACAAATCCATATATATATGACTTGTGCTAAATTGGAGTGTTTAGTCAATGAGGCGTGAAAATAACATTGAAATTGTGTTTTTTTTTTTTTTTGGTGTGTGTGTGGTTATGTTATTGACTTATTGTGTATATATAGAGAGGAAGATGGTAATGGGAAGTATGATAGGAGGGATAAAAGAGACTCAGGAAATGATAGATATGGCCGGGAAACACAACATCACCGCGGATATTGAGCTTATCTCTGCGGATTATGTCAACACCGCCATGGAACGGCTAGAGAAGGCCGACGTTAGGTACCGCTTTGTGATTGATGTTGCCAACACATTGAAGCCTAATCCTAATTTATAACTCTTAAGCATTAAATTTCCTCAAATCGTGTTTACTTGTTTGGTTTTTCGTAATAAGTTTCCGTGTTGTTTCTTGATGAGGTTGTATAACTATATACATGTGGTATGCTAAATTTTCTGGTTTTATATAACTTAATTAAAGAATACATAGTTTATATAACTATATTTATGTGGTATGCTTTAATCCAATAAATGAATAGTATATATTATGATAAGATTTTGGGGGTAAGCCAAGAGTTATATATTAGTATCTAAGGTTTGAATAAATAACACTGTTAAATACCAAAATTTAAAGATGAAAGAATAAAAATCAATTTACACTGTGAAAAAATCAGTTTATCATTAGGTGAGAGTTATCAACCTGATATTAAATTATCATGCTAAGACCACTCACAGTGGCATATGTGTGGGTATAAGTGTTAATAAATTTATATTGTTATAATAAAAGAGAGAGAAGTCCAACCAAAAAAAATAAAAGAGAGAGAGAAGAGAGAGATAGAGAGAAGATAAATGATTCTCCACTCATAACGCGCCACGTGGCCGTAACACCCGAGTCTTATGTAACACCCGAATGCAACATTCTCAGCCACTGTTTGCTTATTTTCGAATTTTTTAATCCTCACACCCCACAAAAAAATATGCCACTGTGGTTGCTCTAATGTTTAAGAATTATCTATCTTCATATTCGATGATGGAGCAATGGAAGTGAAAAGTCAAAGAGGATAATAAATGAAACCGTACGATTTGTATTGCGTTTCTTCCAACAAGAGAGGAGACAGTGAAGTTCGAGTTTGTTCCCAATGCGAAAGCACTCCATTCCTTGATATGGCTTCTCTTTCTTTACCTCGTACCTTTTACCACACTTCTCTCTCTCTCTTCCCTAGGTCGATCCTATCTTGTCTGGATATTATATTACATCGTATTACATAGTAATATATATAAGAGATTTTTTGCTTAGGAACATGATTTTGAAGGCATTAATCTTTTCTCGACCAAATGAGTTTACCCACATTGAACTATATATAATATATGTTACTGTTTTTTATATTTCAAAATCACATATCAGTTTAAAATTTTAGAACTATGTAATTTAGATACTCAGAATTGGTGAAATTTTCAACTATTTAAAACACTCGCAAGTAATTCTGTAATTGTAGCCATTTTATAATAGAGAACTTGGAAAACTCTATTTTATATTAGATTATACACCTGTTTAGACACATTTGGTTTGCATATATATATATATATTAATATATATATTAATATATATATTAATATATATATTAATATATACATAGTAAACAATAAGCATGCATGTACATATAATATATATGTAAATACACTTTTATATACGTCATTGTGTTCATTAGTTCATATATATACATACGAAGATTCATGGAAACCACAAGAACCAATCTCTCCTCTCTTGCCCCATATCCTTAAGAAACAAAAAAAGGGTATATAATTCATGATGACGTCATCCCATCAGAGCAACACCACCGGCTTTAAACCACGGAGGATCAAGACGACGGCGAAGCCACCACGTCAGATCAACAACAAAGAACCATCTCCGGCGACGCAGCCGGTACTCAAGTGTCCGAGATGTGATTCAGTGAACACCAAATTCTGTTACTACAACAACTACAGCTTGTCTCAGCCACGTCACTACTGCAAGAACTGTCGCCGGTACTGGACACGTGGCGGCGCCCTCCGTAACGTCCCCATCGGTGGCTCCACTCGAAACAAGAACAAGCCTTGTAGCCTCCACGTCATCTCTTCTCCTCATTTGTTCTCGAACGTGACGTCATCGTCGTCTCACGAACTTGTAAGAAACCATCCTTCGACGGCGATGATGATGAGGAGTTCCGGTGGATTCTCCGGCTACATGTTTCCGTTGGATCCTAATTATAACCTTGCATCTTCTTCTATCGAGTCTTTGAGTTCTTTTAACCAAGATTTGCACCAGAAGCTTCAGCAACAAAGACTCGTCACTTCCATGTTTCTCCAAGATTCTCTTCCGGTTAACCAGAAACCGGATATGTTTCAGAACGTAGAGTTGATTCCTCCTTCGACGGCGACGACGGATTGGGTTTTCGATAGATCCGCCACAGGAGGAGGAACAACAAGTGGCAATCATGAAGATAATGGTGATGGTGAGGGTAATTTGGGAAATTGGTACCATAATGTTAATAATAATGCTCTGCTCTAATTACCATTATCATTTACTATTATTAGTCTCTATTCTCTAATATTGTAGCTAGCATGCAGCAGCTATAGCTGAAAAAACTAGTAATAATTTTCCCTTTCTTGTAATTTTTAGCATAATAAATAGTTTAATTTCCAAGAGAAAAAATGAACTTTTAAATCTAATCATTCTTAATTTCTGTGTAACTGCATAGGCATTATAATTGTAATATTATATACATATAATAAGGTGAAGAAGCGAGAGGAACGTGAAGTAGAAGAGGACAAGTTCAGCTTTAGGCAGAGACATGTGAGAAACTCATGAACTCTCTTATGGTATGTGAGACATTCTCATATATGATGATCATGTCATACATACATCATACATCCATCATCATTGGTCTAAAGTCATGAACTTCTCTATAGAACTTGATCCTGGAACCTTCGAGATACCTTTTACTTTCATCAACCTCCTGATTCTCGAAACATCATCCCATCTTCTATTAGCAGCAAAGATATTAGACAGTAACACATAAACACCACTATCTTCAAACTCCATCTCTAAGAAACTATCTAATATCTCTTTAGGAAGCTCCATTAATGTCCCTCTACTCTTACAAGCACTAAGAACAGCTCCACATATTCGTACATCCGGTTTAACCGGCATTGCTTTGATGAGTTCCAATGCTTCATCTAACAATCCAGCTCTACAAAACAAATCAATCAAGCATCCATAATGCTCTAGCTTAGGAGATAGATTGTATTCTCTAGTTTTCATTTTATGGAAATATCTTCTTCCTTCATCGACTAAACCTGTGTGGCAACAAGCGTTTAAAATCGCAAGAAAAGTTACCAGGTTCGGCTTAAAACCGAGCTTAACCATTTCTTCGAAGTATCTAAGGGATTCATGTCCATGTCCATGGATAGCTAAACCACCTAACAGAGCATTCCAAGTAAACACATTCTTTCTTCTAATTCCGTTGAAAATCTTTAAAGCTGTTTCGATGTAGCCACATTTTGCATACATATCAACAATCGCAGTTCCAATATGCGTATCCCATTTGATTCCAGCGCTTAAAACATACTCATGAACCCATCTTCCATAATCCACAGCTCCTAAGCTAGCACACGCAGAGAGAACACTTGTAAGTATATGCCCATCTGGTTTTATACCCGAAGACGTTTGCATCATAGAAAACAATTCAATCGCCTCGTTAGATCTTTCACAATGAACCAACCCACTAATCATACTATTCCAAGAAACTTTATCTTTCTTTTGCAATTCACCAAAGACTGTCATCGCATCAGACAATTGCTCACATTTCACATACATATCTATAAGAGCATTACCAGTCTCCAAGCTAATCAAAGATGCCCTTTTTAAGATCAATCCATGGATTCCTTTCCCTAAACTTAAACACCCAACCCGCCCACTCGATACCAACGCACAAACATACGTAGCCAAATTAGGCTCAACATCCATCTTCGAAAACGTATCCAAAGCTTCCTTATACAAACCAGTCCTCGTGAAACCAGTTATGATACCAGTCCACGAAACTACATCTCTCACAGGCATTTGATCGAACACTTTACATGCATTCCTTGATTCTCCACACACACCATAAAAATGAACAAGCGAGTTTTGCACATAGATATCATCATAAAAACCCATTTTCGTGACAGTTCCATGAATCTGTTTCCCTTCTCTGATCCCTGAAAACTTCCCACAAGCCTTGAAAACTGGAGGAAACGTGAACATATCCGGTGAAAACCCATTACTCACAAATACTCTGTAAACAAAAATCGTCATTCTTGGTTTATCACAGACTGCGTAGCTTGATAAAAGCGTGTTGTATGAGAAAGAGCTCAACACAGAACGGATACTGTGGAGAATTACAGAGCTGTAAGTTGCGAAATCTGCGGATTTACCCAGAAAGGTCACGACTTTGTTGATGAATAATTCATCACGAAGAATATCACGAGATATCAATTGAGTCTGTATCTGTTTGAAAACGCGAAGAGAGCTACATCGGCTGATCAATTCCAGAAGAACTGGTTTCTCCGTTAAGTACATCACAAATTTAGTCGCAAACAGTGATCACTTGGAGTGGTTTCTATGTTACTCTGCATTTGTAAGACGAGTTCAGTGACTGAAAGAACCAAATTTGCAGATTCATAGATGAAGAAGAAGGGGAAGATAGAAACAGAGAGCAAACAGAGAGAATGACGAAGAGGATTAACCGTTAAAACCACTTAATGGGCCTGTTATTGGGCCTGTTATTGGGCCTTTCTACATAATATGAAATTCTTCTCTAGTCATCATCTTCTCCGCGTTAGCTTCACCGGCGAAAGAAGAGAAATCGGATTAGTTGCAGAAGTGCAATGCATTGCGGATGTGCTTTCGCTTCGCAATCTGTGTCACCACGTCTCCCATTTGAAATCAAAGCCTCTGTTTCAAAGCTTCGATCTTCATCAGCTCAATTACCGAGAACCCAGATTCAGATAAACCCTTCCGATGATCTCCTTGTCAACAGTTCAGATAAATCTCCGGCGACTAGAGTTTCGTTGCCGTCTCATGTAAATTCCATCACCAGCACTACAAACCCTTTTGTCAAACACTGCTTGAAGCTCCGCCAAAGCTCCTCTTATCGCCACGCTCATGGCTCTGTTCTTGTCGTCGGAGCTATCCCAATCAGGTATGTATTAGTGATCTTTTACTCTCTATTTCGTCATTGCTACTGAGAGAATTGTGTAAAGTAGTTTCCTTTTTCTTTTTTTTTTTTCATGTGAAATTGAGTTTCAAGGAGATAACTTTAAGGCATTGTTCACAGGGAAGTATGTATGTTTCAAATGAATAAGCAAGGAATCACAAGTGAAATTGAGTGTCTACTTCTTCATGAGGAAGCTCAGATTCCACAAGGATTAGAGAGTCTAAGTATCCGAATTGTTCGAGTAAGTTCTTTAGTGATGAAGAAACTCTCTGGAGTGCAATCTACTGAATCTGTTGAAGCCATTGCCTTGATGAGAATCCCTAGCAGCTTTATTGATCTTAAAGATGATAAAGATATCATAACAGATTGCAATAAATGGTTCCCTTCTTCTGCTCACCGAGTTCTTGTTCTCGATAGCATACAGGTTTAACCGCAACTTCTTATCCTTATGAGCTTTTGCTGGATTGTTTGGGGAACAAAATCTTGACGCTTAGTTTAGTGATCATGTCTTGATCAAGGAAGGCAATTTGGATTGGTAATATTTGTCTTTCGATGTTGTTGCAGGATCCGGGGAACCTTGGCACATTAATCAGATCGGCTATGGCTTTTCATTGGGTATATATGATCAGCCTTTCTTCTCGATTCATTAGCAGTTGCGTTTTAGATAAATTTCTAATGAGAGGATCATCATTATCTGGTTAATGTTTTTGATAGGATGGTGCATTTCTGCTTCCCGGTTGTTGTGATCCGTTTAACGACAAAGCTCTTCGAGCAAGCCGAGGTGCCTCGTTTCAGCTACCTATAGTTTCCGGCAATTGGAACCATCTTAAGGTTCTAGAACATGAGTTCCAGATGAAGCTATTAGCCGGTCATCCAGCGACGAGTACTCAGAAACCGAAACTTGTCTCCAAACTTTCCGTAGAGTTTGCTCAATCTGTAGCAGAGAAGCCTTTATGCTTGATTTTAGGTAGCGAAGGGAACGGTTTGTCTGAGCAGTCACGGAAAGTATGCGAGCTTGTGAGCATTCCCATGGCAGGTGACTTTGAATCTCTGAACGTCTCTGTTGCTGGTGGCATTTTCTTGTTCATGCTTCAATCTTTTTCCGGTTCTTAAAACCAAAATATAAACTTGAAAACACTTATAAATCTTAGAATGCTTTAATCCAGAACAATCAAATTCAAAATCCAAATCAATTTCATAAAATTTGTTTGTCAAAATAAATCAAAAACTCAGTGAATCTCAAAAACCTTTTTTGATCTACACAATTATGATCTCCTAACAAAACCAAATCCTAACTACTGTATGATTCTAATCTCTAGAAGGCTCTTCTAGACGAATGTAATCATACATAAGACCTTCAAATGGTCCTGTTGCTTTAGCCTGTCGAAGATAAATCGTGTTGGTCCCGGTTCTTAGCAACCTTCCAGGCACATTGATGCTATAAAGCCGGTACATTCCATGGATTCCATGTCTTGCTATAGCATTGTCTTTTCCAATATTACCCGTTGAGAAAAACGGCCAAGAGTTTTGGGTATTGATCCGAACTTGTAGATTAGCCCGTGCAGCCGAGGCTAAAGCTAGCTGCAATGTGTAGCCGCCTTGCCAGTTTACGTATGGAAGGTGAAACACGATCTGCCATGTTGTTGGCACGTACGTTAAATCACCGGTTTTCCTGCAGAATAAGCGAATCAAAATTAATTTTTATTCAAGAATTCACTCAAAGTTTCAAACTTTTTGTTTTCATGTAACTTCTAACCTTGTGACTTGGGCGTAGAACCAGTCTTGGCTATAGTTACTAGCTCCAACTGTGTAGACGAGATCATGAGTTGGATATAACTCTGTGTATCGTTGCCACAATCCGTACTGTCTAAACCTGTGAAACAAACCAAACCGGGATCATCAGAACAAAAACCGATTTCGGAACAATGTGAACCCGAATTATGAGGATTTGAGACTTACTTGTCAGTGTGGTTTAGGTAAGGATTCATTGTATTCTTGTATGGCTCCGGTATAAAGAATTCTCGGGCGGTTCGATCCGGTACACCAATCTCCCATAGCGTTGGACCATTCCTAGGTGGCTGGTACACGACTCTACCAAGACTAATATGTGAACCTGCAGCTACGTTAACACGGTTTTGGTATCGAAAGTCTCCGATAAAACCAGGAACCCATCCATACAGATTGTAAGTTCCCGGTCTAACGTTTTCTATCGTGAAATAACCGGTTTCGTTTGTCTTGGTCCAAAACTGATATCCCTGGAAGAAAAAGAAAAAAAAAATCAACGATCAATACATGTAATTGATAATTCAGTTACATTAAAGAAGAGAGATCAAAGTGTACCTTAGTATTTGTCTGCCACGAACCAGCTTCTCCCGGCGGTGCTAAACCGACATAAGCAGATTTTCCCGGCGTCAAGAATCTGAAAATATTCGCCAAAAAAAAAAGATATTCATAAAAAGGTCAAAAATACTTTTTGATTTGTTTAAATAAATAACTATAGATAAAATATACCTGTCGTTGACTAAGAGACGACCGGTGACGATTCCTCTTTCTCGACGAGAAAGAAAGTCAGAGGATGCTACAAATTCGTACGGCCATGCTTTGACTTCTTTTTCGGTCTGGAAAATAATAAAAGTTAATTAATGACTATTCTTTGTAAATGACTTTAAATTAATAAATTAAAGACAATTAAAAAAAAATTAACCTGTTGTTTAGCATCTTCCCATAACAAATCTTGAGGAGGATTGTTGCCGGTAGAATCAGAGTTTAAGTAAATAAAAACAGGTCCCAAGACCTTTTTCCATGCTTCACCAGGTCGGTAATGTGCCTCCATGTCCGCACCAACATAATGTCCACTTATAAAAGTCTGCATATGCAAATCAATTAAGTAACTAAATGATTAATACTACTATAGTGCTATAGTAAAAATGTATGCTCAATAACTTTGTATGGTTTCTTTACCGTGATGGCCGTGGGACCGACGTGAGACGTGAGCTCCTGTTTGATTGGTCCACCAGAGCGATATTCACCGCTTGGTGAGATGATCCAAAAGCCGACACGGGACTTAGTTGAGATCCAACCGTGCACTTTGTTGTCTTTGATCTCACATGTGTACTGGTACTTATCATCCACCTAATATATCATTCAAATTTAACAGTCAAAATTCGAGATTTCAGATGCTAGAACAATTAAATATTGAATCCAAAACCGTATACAAAAGATTAATTACCTGGTTTTTGAACATGGAGTTATGAGGATGAGTCAATTGTACAGCCTCTTTATAACCAAGAACCTTGGCATGACCACGTTCGATGTCACGGTCATCTTCCGTTGGCATTTCTCTTTGTCGATTATCCGCCACCGCCATGTAATGAAATCTACAAACATATTTTTTGGTGTTTAGGTAAACTCTTCTTTATAAAACAAAAAAAAAAAAAAACAAAACATTGGAATCTTATAATTAAGATACCTGTCAGGGTTGAGTTTGAAAGCGATTCGGATTAAACCCATGTCGAGTTCTGGCCATTCGGGAAGTCTCTCGAAGATTCCGTACATGTAGATTCCTGAAGTATTTCTACGTATAATATACCTCTTGTCTACGTTTAATGGAATATGACCATCCTCCCATGTTCTAGAGAACGATATCTCCACTTGTTCTTGGGTTTGAGTGATGATTCTAAATTTGGTTCCTTCGATTCTGAACCAAAAAACAAATACAAGTTTATCAAGTCATATTTTATAATATTTATGAAAGAAAACATGTATAGTTCAAAAAATTTCTGCCTAGTCTGATTATTCTCCGCTTAATCGCTAGGCCCATCCTATCCGTCTCGATTAATGACTAATCTCTTAAAGAAATCAGTTATCCGATTACTCTCCGCCTAATCCGATTACTTTTCGCCTAATCCGATTACCTCCGCCTAATCTTACATATCCCGATTATTTTTAGATTTCAAGTATAAAAAAACTTTTTATTTTTGTTATTCAATCATTTAAATTGGGAGTTTGTGATGTTTTACAATAACTTATGTTCAAATTTTAATAAAAATCATAAATTTGTAATAAAAATCAAAAAAATTTGTCTCAAAAAATATAGTTTTATACTGCAATTATGAAAACAATATTAGATTAATATGTTTTAGAAATATTAAAATAACCCAAAAACTAATCCCCGATTAATTCCCGATTTTAATCCGATTTTCCGATTAATCGCTAAGCCCATACCGAACGTCCGACTAGCGCCTAGCGATTTTTCAAACAAAGTTAAAAGTAATCTATAAACCCGGCCCTAAGATAAGTTAGGTACATGTTCTATAAATGTGAACGTGTGTTAGTTTTATTAAATTGACAAATCAGACAAAGTATTAAGTAACTAAACTAGTTTAATTACCGATCTAAGCCGCCCTGACGAATGTTTGTTCCTTGCCATGTTATGTCCCAGTACCTAGATTAAATCAAAGTAATTAATCAGGAAAATTTTATGTACTTACATAACATAAGCTTTTTGAGATATAATAATTACTTTCTACAATATTAAGCTATTGAAAATTACTCACCCTCGAGCTCGGAGATGTGGATGAAGAACATTGTCAATTCCTTTGTATTTGATCCCAGTTACAAGTCCTTGAGGATTCGAGAAACTGACTCTGATAATCCCATTGTCCACTATCACCTGAAAACCATTAGTTTTATATATACGTTAGCATGTATAAATCTTTTGATTATTGATTAAAAATACTATTGAATATCATTAAATCTATATACCTCTCTAGTCCCATGATGTCTGTTTCTTATCTGCTGCACTGTTGGAGCTCTTGCACTTATTCCATCTAAGTTTCTGTAGAATTTTAATAAATTACGCATAAATAAAGCCGATGCATTGAATATTGAAAACGCTCACTTTAATTAATTAAGTTAATTGTAACGCAAAGTGAAAGAGAGAGAGATTAATTAGAGTTTGTTTCTTAAAAACAAGATCGGCTCTTACAAGTTAATACACACGTTATAATCCTAAAAACAAACTTCTTAATTTTATATGCATCTAAAAGGTTTTTTTTTGTGTTGATAATCAAATATTTAATGTCAAAATCTAGGATATCTTCAAACTCATACGAGAGTAATCAAAATTGCTAGCTAAAAACACCAACGAAATATGTATGAGAATTGAGAAACATGTGAATTTTGTGCACATACAAATAGATATTGATATATGTATATGTTTGACTGAACCAATATAATGAAGAAAAAATAATATAAACTGACCTTGTCGGCTTAGAAAAGGAGAGTGGAAGAAGAAGCAACAGAAGGAAACAAATAATTAACGAAGCTATCTTCTTCTGCAAAACCATCTTTTCTTTCAGAAACTTCAGATTAAAAATAATTAATGTTTAAGAATAAGATCTTTGCTTCTATGCATATATTTATATGCGTGTGTGTTGTATAATTTGTTAAACAAAGTCCAAGACTAAACGGGAAGAGTAGGTGCACCAAAGCCTAACTAGGAGTTATTTTGACTTCTGAATTCTGAAATTAGGCTTCCAATATATGACTTAGATTTATAGAAGAATATGTCAAAGATTTAGTTTCTGAATTTTCCATTTTTCTTTTGTGTATATCCTTTTTTTGTTTAATGGAAGTTATAAATAATACAGAGGATAATAACGGAAATTTTCGTGATGAAAAAGTTAATATTTTTCTTAAAGTTTGATAATTTTGGAGCATATATATATTGTGAAGTTTTGTGTTGCATTGTAACGTTGGTTGGATTGATTGCATGAATTAAATGATATGACAAATTATTTGAGAATGTAATTATGTAAATAATGTTTTCTTGTCCTACGTATGACATATATCATCTATACATGAATGACGTCCATGGCGGTTAGATTTGAATAATTGAAAAATACTACATGATTTTGCTTCAAAAATAGATTGACATACTCCGAAACACATAAGTATAACACACATTTCTGTTTTTACAAAAAAATTTCTTATAATAAGACCGTAAAATAGCCAATATCCGAACACTAATACAAAAAGTAGAAAGAAAAAACTCTTAAAATTAGAACCATTAACAAATCTTAGTAGAAGTAATATACTCCCTCTGTTCCTAAAACAATGATGTTTTAGTTTTACACACAAATTAAGAAAAAGTAACTTTTATATTTTTAATTATTATTTTGTTATTTTAATAATATTAGTTTTACTTCCTTCCTTCTACTATTGGTCACAAACAAAAATAATAATGATGTTTTTACAAAACATAAAAAACCCAAAACATCAAATAACTAGAAACAAAGGGAGTAGTTAATTAACCACACACATACACACAAAATCTAGACATAGTTAGATGATTCTACCTAATACAAAAACCTAGACATCATTATATGACTCGTCGTTTTGCTAAGTCTGAGTTCCATCATTTAGGAAATTTGTTGTGGTATTTTTTCACTGTAAAAGTTTTTAAATTGCTAAAATACCAAACTTTCTACAAATATAGAGATTTATTATATTTCTACCCTATTTATGAGTTTTTGTTTGAAAAATACATTTTTCCCTATTTTCAATAAAAATACAATTTTTAATATGTAAAATGACAAATATTGTCCAGATTTAAACTAAAAGCTGTATTTTTTTATAAATCAAAACTAAATTCGAAATTTGGAAGAAATAAATAATTAACTAATTCGAAATATTAATTATTATTTTAACTATTTTAGAGATAAACGCAGTTTATTTATTTTATATATTAAAATTTAACAAGATAATATCTAAAAATATTCTAAAGTGTTTCACTTAATATTTGTCACGTTATATAAAAAAATCAATCTCCACAGGTCCAAGATAAAAATCGTAAATTATTTAAAAAAAATATTTAAGATAAAAATTATTTTAAAAATTGTTAGTTACATCAAATATTAATTTAAAGATTAAATTAATGGATTTTTTGTTTTAAGTATAAATTATTTTTAATTATTACTAAATTTTAGTGAGACAATTTTAATAATTTTATATATTAAAAATAGATTTTAAAAGAGAAAAAAGATATGATATTTTTCAAACAAAATCTTATGAAAATGGTATTTTTCTAAATTTACTGTGAAACAAAAAAATTGTAATATAAAAATAGTTTTAGTAAATTAAAAAATAAAAAACCCATTAAAAAAAAAGCATGTGAGCTCACACAAAAGACAGCTACAAGAGCTAAATGCAGAGAGATTGATTCATCAAGTTTTGCAATCAGATCCGACCGAACCATGACGATCGTTAAACCGTCGCAGTTCTCCTTCTCCGGCGGCGGATCTTCGTCGTTATGTTCACTCAAAGGCTCACTCCTCACCGTCGCTATTCTCACTTTCGGTTCCCTCTTCTACCTCTCTCTCAATTCCATGCGCACTTCGCCGCCGTCTCCGGTCATCGTGGTAACGCCGATTCATGTTCCTCAGACCTTTGTGAATGAAGATAAGACTGATAACGACGACGGCGCAGCACCGACGACGGAAGCAGAAACTTACTCCGATGTTTATCACTCGCCGGAGGCTTTCCGATTGAATTACGCCGAGATGGAGAAGAGATTCAAGGTTTATATTTATCCCGACGGCGATCCAAACACGTTTTATCAGACGCCGAGGAAAGTTACCGGTAAATATGCCAGTGAGGGTTACTTCTTTCAGAACATTAGAGAGAGTCGATTTCGAACCCTAGATCCAGAGGAAGCAGATCTCTTCTTCATTCCAATTTCTTGTCACAAGATGCGAGGCAAAGTGAGAATTTACTTACGACTTTGATTCACTGAGAATTGCAATTTCATGAATTCGATGATTTGAAGTGTGATGGTCTTTTTTTGCAGGGAACATCATATGAAAATATGACTGTGATTGTTCAAAACTATGTTGATGGATTGATAGCTAAGTATCCTTATTGGAATAGAACTTTAGGAGCAGATCACTTCTTTGTTACCTGTCACGATGTTGGTGTTAGAGCATTTGAGGGATCTCTGCTTCTGATTAAGAATACAATTAGGGTTGTGTGCTCACCGAGCTACAATGTCGGTTTTATTCCTCACAAAGATGTTGCTTTGCCTCAAGTTCTTCAGCCATTTGCACTCCCTGCTGGTGGAAATGATGTTGAAAATCGGTAAACTAAGCTCTTTTTCTTTCTCTTGTGTCATTTCGCATTCAGTTGTCTTCGGGTAAATATTACTGATTCCGCAGTTTTGTGCCTTTGCATCGAGCATAAGTCCTCTCTCTTCGATTAGGAACTCTGGAAATGTTCAAGTTTATAGCTTTGCTGTTTAATTCCCCTGGAATGAAAATCATTTAGAATGGCTGGATATTGTGATTGGCGAGAGGCTTTTAAAGGTTCTTATGCTAGGTAGATCCTAGAGTTGTATTGTTGGCTCAATGTTACTGATACTGTTAAGCGGTGGTGTTACAGGACGACCCTTGGTTTTTGGGCTGGTCATCGAAATTCCAAGATACGGGTAATACTTGCCCGTGTGTGGGAAAACGACACAGAGCTTGATATTTCAAACAACAGAATTAACAGAGCTACAGGGCATTTAGTGTATCAGAAGAGATTCTACCGGACAAAATTCTGCATATGCCCCGGTGGTTCTCAAGTCAACAGCGCTCGCATAACGGACTCGATCCATTACGGATGTATTCCTGGTACATGTTTTTATACTCTTTCTGCACTCCTCAAAATGCTATATCGTCAGATAAACTGAACTGATACATCTTGTTGTTTGGTCGGCATTTATTCTTGGACAGTTATATTATCAGACTACTACGACCTGCCTTTCAACGACATCCTGAATTGGCGAAAATTTGCGGTTGTACTCAGAGAGCAAGATGTTTATAACCTTAAGCAGATCCTCAAGAACATACCTCACTCAGAGTTTATTTCGTTGCATAACAACTTGGTCAAGGTAAAGAGAAATTTTCACCATCTTCTCCAGTATTGTATACAAGAAGCTGATTGGTTTTATTGTTGTGCAGGTGCAAAAGCATTTTCAGTGGAACTCACCTCCAGTCAAATTCGATGCATTTCACATGATCATGTATGAACTATGGTTACGCCACCATGTCATCAAGTACTGAATCAAAGACTCTTTTTTTCTTTTCTTCAACCGCGTAGATACTGTCCCAAGCGGAAAAAAAAGCTAGCATGTACACCTCTTGTAAGTTTAAATATCATAGCTTATAACAGTAACACGAACAACAACATTTCATTCTTTGAGGAAAATTCATTTTTTTTGTGTATTGTGTACTCTGTTCCATCCTGTGGATTAGTTAGTTCCTTTTTTTTCATGAGAACTTTTTTTTCCTTATACTAAGAACATGTCGGGTCTGTGTAAGCTAGTGAAAAAATGAAATTGGATATTAAACATCTATTATCAACATCCGCAACCAAAAATCCGAGCAACTTTTCTTGGCAATGAGTAATCAGCTTGCAACTCAGGGTCCATCTGCATGTCCTCGGCTCTTGTCCACGCATACACTCCTCTCTCTTCCTCACTACCCGGTACAGTGTTGTCCAGTACGAAAGCCAGTAGAAAGGTTACAACCATATTCAGAGATAGCACCGCATTCATTGCAAAATCAAGCTGCAGTTTGCATAAGAAGAGTCACTTGGTCATTGTCCAAGAAAATGCTAATCAAGGCAAGAGAAGGAAAGTGGCTTACTTGCTCGATACCCGTTTGGAATGGTCCACTTGACGCAGCTCCAAAGGGGAGATAATAGCTAGGTAGTATTAGACTGGATAGAGGCTGGTACTGCTGGAAGTAAGCAGGGATGGATAATCCAAGAAACAGTGAGACTCCAACTATGGTTATGTTCCTAAAGCTTGCTGTTTGAGTATACCGTAGATTCGATAGACCTAGAGCTACTGTAAGTGCCCATATAAAGCATAATACTGAAGCAGCCAAAGCCTGTGGTATTGAAGCAAGAATTGCGCCTAACTTTCCTGTCAAATTTACAGAAATAACAAATTGGAGTAACAGGTATGCTAAAGATTTTACCCTTTGGATTTCATTGGATGATGCTTACCTAAAAATGACAATACTATTAAGAACATAGCTCCGATCGCCAAAGCTCTTCGGCTAGCCACCTTGGTGATGTTGATCGTATGAATATTTTCAGTTAAAGTAGTTGATCCGGTACCCGAACCCCAGATTCCAGCCAATAAACTGCAAAAGCCTTCTAATGCAATACCTCTACTGACAATTCCCCGTGTCGGACGCTTAGCATTAACTAACATAGATGAAGAATGATATGTTCCAACCTACAAGTGTACCAACTCCAACATTTTAGCCGCAAGATCACACCTTTAGAGGAAAAAACAGGAAGGGCAAAGAGTAACGAGTACCTACCGAATCCACTGATGCAACCAAAGACACAAAGATCATAATGATAGAAGTTTTCATGTGAAAATTTGGAAACCCCCATTGAAATGGATAAGGGATTCTGATCCAAGAAGCAGTTCTCCAAGCATTTGAAGCATCTGTTCTGCAATGCTTCATAGTATACACATGCTTCTTACATTCATCTATCAATATGTTAGAGCTCGGTATGTCGGCATTGCAGCCTCTGTAGTCATATGCCCCACCAACAGTTAAAAAGAATGCATATGTCCATATGATCAGAGCACTCAGTGGCACCTGGCAACATGATAGCAAAAGCAAACGCCTCATTCCTTGAAATAAAGATTGAAACTTGACACTTCACTGTTACAAAGGACAAACTACATACCGCGTAAATTCGGAATAAGCGATGCCCAAAGACTGAAACTCCGCGGAGATACTGAAAATAGTTATATAGAAAACAAGCCCTTATCAGAGAGATAGAACCATGCTTCTATTATTCAAGCTGAGGTAAATTCTTACCAATGTGAAAATGAGAAGCAAAAGTATTAAGGGAACACTGATCTCAACACAAGTGCCGGCTTGCGGAAATCCATAGCTAAAGAATGCTAATCCTACTGCAGCTACGGTTGGGGCTACTACCACAGGATTAATAAATCTGAAAGTAAAGAGTTCAAGAAAACATATCATTAAGAGGTCTATTCTGATATCTGTGAAGTCTACTATACCAAGAAACTGCGGTTTCCCGGATTCTCGAATTACCTAAGAAGGAGAGACATGAGACCACTGGATCCTAATATGCACTGGAATAATGAACCGACAATTATAGCCCCCTGTAGTTCTCTCATTGTGTCCTGAAATTTCTGCGCGGAATTGAAAAACACCAGTTTATCGCAAAGTTCCAAGAACTCAAAATCCTCCTTTTTGATTTATATTTGCAAACTTACATGCTCAGTGAGGTTCCTAAACTCCTCAGAGTTGATGATAACCAAAACCGGGGCCAAGTAAACAAAGGAGCTTCCTTGAACCAACGGAAGCCGAGTACCGAAATAAGAGTGAAGTATAGTTGTAACTCCAGTAAGAAGCAGCATTGTCGAAATCACTGAGGCAGTATCTTTCTACCATCATAAAAAGTCAATTACTAATCAAAGAACAAAGCAAAGAAGTTCTCACAGAATAATCCATGGAAGAAGAAGAAGAAGAAGCTTACATCGGAACCATCCATGGCTGGTACAATAACCAGAGGTATAAACACAAGTGAACCAACAAGTGACAGATAATGTTGCAGACCATAATAGATAAGTGGAACTGCATTTCAATTCAACAAAAAAGAATCTTCCTTTATCATGTGTTTAGAAAAGAATCTTCCTTTATTTTTCACCAGAAGAAAAACACACAAAATGTAACCGTTAAAAGAAGCTGAGATTGAAAACTAACCAAAGCCAGGATTATCTCTAAGACCAAACTTCATCACAATTGGTTTAGGCCATTGTCCATCTTCTGATGATTCTCCTCCACCTCCTGGATAATAAAACCCATTTTCCAAATCCTTATTGATTTTCCCGCCTTCATTCTCAGTCTCCGACGTTGCCTCATTCCGGTTTAGTCTCCTCTCTTCTTCCTCTCTAAACCCGGGTTCAGATCCGGTTACGTGTTCGATTTCGGGTCTCTTTCGTCCCAAAATCGGGTCGATCTCGGTTTTGTGAGATGACCCGGTGACTATTTGATCTCTACCTTTACGCAAATCAAAATCAGAGCTTTCACCAAACTTAGTACGAGTACTGGTGCTCGTTTCACCGGAGTAATCGGAGACGAAACCAGTTTTCTTCGCCCAAGATCTTAAGTCTCTTGGATTCAAATCCTTTTTAGGTAAAAAGGGTTCTACTCTCTTGAAAAAAGCACCGAACTTTCTCTCGCCATTACAATTACCACCACCACTTCCTTTGCCCTTATTACCAGTATCCGGATCCAAACCCGACCCGGAATCCATTGCTTCCAAAAAAGACTCAAAATTTAAGAAAAACTAGAAGCTTGTGAAGTGTGAACTTGAGCTTTTAAGTTCATTTTCCAGCTTCTTCTTCTTCCTTTTTTGGCTTTCAAGTGAGAAACAGAGCGTAACGTTACTTCACTTTCTCACTCATGTCGACATCAGCGGTTTTGTCTTTACCTCTACTAAATGACTAAACTACCCTTGTTATGTATGAAAATATCTTATTATATCCATGATTAAAGCCAATAATAAAGTTTGCTTTTAGATTAAGTATTCAATATTAGCTGCCTAATGATAATTTACCACTTGACGGTGGGTGCTTAACTACCATAATTCCGAGATATGGACCCCTGAGTCCTTTAGTCTCCAGACGACCAGACCCATTGATGCATATATGTACAAGAAAAACAGAAATTTTTGTTCTTTTATCAAATTTGTACCTTTTTATTACTCTTGAATCATAAAATAGATCCAAAGCAATATCTCTTACTTATTACTAAGAATGTGGACAAAAAGTTAAGAGAAATTCTTCATGCAATATATATACAGAGAAATTTAAAGAGAATTTCAATGGCAATAGTGTTTCTATATACAAAAAAAGATCAGTGGTAAGTTAATATTACATACAATCTACAATCACCTCAATCTCAGGCTTGAGGAGGTTATGATACAGGACAAGATAGATACAAGAGTATATACATCACTCTTTTTTTTTTTTTTTTTTTTTTTTTTTGTATTTACAAGACTTTACATGAATTTTCAAATCGATTGAAGAATCCCATTCACACCATCAATTTGATCATCTTGATATAAACCCTTAGCACTGCTTTCGTATTACTTTCTTTCCGGTTTTAATCCTTTTCCAGGATCAATGTAATTTGTTACCCACCTTCACTTCTTGGATTTCGATCTGTTTTCTGAATGTAACCAATCTTAAAGCTGCTTCTTCTCCATAGGTTTTCCAATCCCACACTCTTTTTTTATACTATTTTTCAACCTTTTTCTTGGACTTGATCCGTTTCCACTTGGATCAATGTAAGCAAAAGATACCCATCAATCTAAACCATAAAACTACTTGTGCTTCTTTTTTTCTTGTTCTCTCTTTTCTTTTCCCTTTTTTCTCCTTTTTTTTTGGGTTTTCAGGATTAATGTAGTAACCAAAATGATTCTTCAGAGAGCGTCTTAGAGAAACTAAAACTAATACTAACTAACTACAACAGGAAGGGACCTGGTCAAAGGTTTTGCAGAGATGAAAGCCATTGCTCCATGTAGTTCTTCCCATCTGCACATTTTATAAAAAGAGAATCAGGAAAGTTTCCACTTTGGTCAGGACAAAAAATGTTAAAACATCAATAGTAAAGACTGTGGATCATTGAACAAAGCAATCAACATATGAAAAGAAACCTCTAAGAGAGCAACTATGGAAGTTTTCTAAATCAAAACCACAAAAAAAAAAGCCATGCTACATATATCATATTCTAGGCAAAAATAAAGATTCAGAGCAAGTAAGATCAAGAGCTAAACACAAGCATTATATCATTCCCAAGAGAGAAGCTATGGTAATTCACTAAACCAAACCAAGACCACAAATTAGGGGTGATCATCATGATTCATACCAGGAGGCAAACCGTTGGGAAGATTCTTGACAGCACTCAAAAGCTGGTTGTTATTACTAGAACCTTCAGCGACAGCTCTATAACAAGGAACCAACACTAAGAAGCCACCATCATCTCCTTCATCATCACTTTGGAAATCAGGTCCATGTGGCTCAGTCCATCCAACAGACCATTCAGGTCCATCACCAACACCAACACCAACACAAGCAACAAAAGCTACAGATTCTGAGCCAGACGAACCAAAGCTCTCAAGTTCAAGCTCTTTCCTCTTATTAACTCTAGTTATATTTTTAGGAAACTTAAGAGCTTCCCTTTCTTTCTCTTTTCTACCTCCTAATAACCACCATGGCCAACTCGGGATCGGTCTCTTCATCATTTCAAGAATTGGATTGTTTCTCTCAGAAATTTCACATTAATCTGGTGAAATATCACAGAAACAAACAATTGAAAACCCTTTTGGTTATAAATCAACCTCTAATGAATCAGAAGAAATCAATTAACGGTTTAAAGAATGAAAAACACAAAATCTAAAAAGGACAAAACTTTAGCAGAAAAAAAAGATGAAATTTTCGTAAATCTTAGCTCAAGATCTAAGCTTCACCATTGAAACCCGGCGAAACAAAGAATGTTTCACCAGAATTTGAAAATGAAATCAACTAGAAATTTTAAAACCCCAAAAACTCGGTGAAAATTTTCAAAAGGATCGGACAAGAGAAACCCTAGAAACCCAAATTATCGATCATCTCCTTCCATTATCCTTCCGACCAAATTCGTCCCTTGTACTCAAAGAGCTAGCCGTCTTCTTCTGCAATTTATAAATTCGATTTCTCCTATCTTTTGGATTTAGTTTGATCCAACGGCCACAAATTCACGATTGGTCTCTCCAATCATTAAACTATAATAATAATTATGATTGATTGATAGAGTTTCACAAAACATTTTTATTATATAAAAATTTAATTAAAAAGAAGGAGAAGAGTTCTTATCTACCGTTGATTCATGGACAAGTGGCTTTTTACAACCGTACAAAAATTGATGATGATGATGTGTTATAGTTTATCCAATCGCCTTGCGTGTGTATGAGGCTCAAGTTATTGACACGTGGCTTACTCATCTGCCTTTGGTTCTTCTGACTTTAATCTCGTGGAGATTACTAGGAAAATCTTATGATTTAGAGATAAGAAAGACTAAATAATTTAATTAGAGGGATAATATACTTTTGATGAATGTTCTGGAAATTGTGTTGGTTAATTTTGTTTGTTTAGTCGTAATAGATAATTATCCTTTTTTAAAAAAATTGATTTTGAGTTGACCACACAATTTGATTTGTCTTTTGCTTCTTTGTAATAACGTGGGAACTAATCTTATCAAACTGAATCTAGTTTAACTTGTCCGGGAAATCTATTATCTATTATCAACTTATAAGACTCGAAATAGAGCATTTTTGTTGTGGTTGACTTTGATGGATTGTGTGAATAGTTTAGTACAACAAAACACAAAATTAAGATGTTTATAATTCGTTGACAAAAACTCATATATTTTCATAGGTTTTGTGAAGAGATTTATATAATTAAGTTTGGTTGGTTATGAATGATAAAGTATTGTCCAACTAATCGGCGCGTGTGGATAAGTATTAAGTATTACAAATTACAATCGTCGTATACTTTATTGTTATATAGTTTTACCTGTTTTAGATATTAACATGATTTGATTTTGTATAAAACGTTACTCTATATGTGAACCAAAAAGAAAAGAACTTGCAAACAAAAATAGGTTTTGTTTTTGTAGGACATATTCTCTCAAATACATAATAACGTTGACGTATGTATGTAGGAATAAAATACATGTGCACGTAAACGTAACGATCCTTCACAAGTTTATTAAATAATAACGTGGAAGTTGCAGTAACATCATCTTCTTGCACAGGAATTTTTCTCAATGACGTCGTAGACAGTACCATAAAATCAACATAAAATTTTAAATTCCAATACAATTTTTAGACACCACATGATTTATTTCACTGCCTAAAAATATGAAAATAAATAAATATAAAGTTGAACGGAAGTTAATTAACGGCGTTAAACTTCGATCTCCGTTTGCAACATTTTAAAATTTAAAAGTGTCGTCCCCTTTCTTCTCCAACGGCTCCTTACGATTGTCTCGGTTCTTCTCTCCTCTCGCATTTTCTCTCTCTCTAATCCTGAAGAATTTGAGCAGGTCGATCGATTTCTTGATGAAATTTATGGTTTGAAGATTCAGTGTTCCCCAATCAGGTACTTGATTTTTTAGATTGTTTCGCTGATTTTGAGTGTTTATCAATTAGGGTTTGATTCTCTGCTGCAGTTTTGAGATTGATATGTCGTTCTTTATAGGTTCTAATAATTTGGCTATATCTTGCTTTATTACTTTCTTTAGATCTGTTGAATCAAAAGTTTATGTTTCGATTTCGATTCTGATTCATTGGTGCGTAGTTTAAAAAAATAATGGACAAGGTTTATGAAGAGCTTGATGAAGTGAAAGCAGCGAATGAGAAGCTGAGGATTGACTATAGAAACAAAACGGAGCTTCTTGAGAATCTAAAGAAGGTTCAGAAAGAACAATTAGTTGAGATTCGAGAGGCGAGATTGGTTAATGAGAAGCATGGTTTTGAGATTGAGGAGAAAACTAGAGAAATTTCCGAGTTGAAGCGAACGAACGAGGATCTACGACGTTATTTGAGAGAGAAGGATTCTGTTATCAAGCGTGTGAATGATGTGAATGATAAGCTTAGAGCTAGCGGGGAAGATAAGTACCGGGAATTCGAAGAGGAGAAACGGAATATGATGTCTGTTTTGGATGAAGCTAGTGAGAAGAACATTGATCTTGAGCAGAAAAACAATGTCTATAGAGCTGAGATTGAGGGGCTCAAAGGGCTTTTAGCTGCAGCGGAGACGAAAAGGATTGAAGCTGAGAAAACTGTCAAAGGTATGAAAGAAACGAGAGGAAGAGATGATATAGTGGTTAAAATAGAAGAGGAGAAGACTCAAGTAGAAGAGAAGCTGAAATGGAAGAAGGAGCAGTTTAAGCATCTTGAGGAAGCGTACGAGAAGCTCAAGAGTCTGTTCAAGGATAGCAAGAAAGAGTGGGAGGAAGAAAAATCAAGGCTTTTTGATGAAATCTACTCTCTTCAGACCAAACTGGATTCACTAACTAGAATCTCAGAGGATCTACAGAAGAAGTTGCAGATGTGTAACGGTGCGTTGACACAAGAAGAGACTAGAAGAAAACATCTTGAAATCCAAGTTTCTGAGTACAAAGCCAAGTACGAAGATGCTTTTGCAGAGTACCAAGACGCAAGAACACAGCTTGATGATTTAGCTGGTAAAAGAGATGAAGAAGTTGCAGAGTTGAGACAATCCTTGAGCATGAAAGAAGCATACTTTAAGGAGATGAAGTATGAGAATGGAAAATTAGAACAAGAAAACCGGGAGTTGCTGGGTTCGTTGAAAGAACTCCAGGAAGCTACAATTCAGGGATCAGGAAATTCTGCACTATCAAAGCTGAAAAACAAGTTCCGGAACTTGGAAAACATACACAAGAACTGTTCAGCTAATTTAAGAAGTAAAGAAACTGAATGGAGCTCTCAAGTGGAGAAGATGGCAGAGGAGATAAATGATTCTAAGTTGCATTTGCAAATCAAGGAGGCAGCATTGAAAGAGATTGAGTTGGAACTTGAAAATTGTCGTTCTTCTACTGCTAAAATGAGACTACAATATGAAGAGATCTCGATTATGTTTTTAGTGCTAAGTAGGACAGTCTCTGAGGCTCAGTCAAGGCTTGCGAATGTTAAGGATGAACAAATCAAGGATGAGAAAAGAGAAGGAAAGAGCTATTCTCTATTGATGGAGCAGCTAGATCAAAAGAATGCTGCGCTGGCCAAGGCGCATCTAGAGATTGAAGAAGAACGTGAAAGGGTTGCGTGTTTGCTGAAAAGAATAGAAATGCTGGATCTTTTCGAAGACCAGAATATTCAGATGCAGAAAGAGGTAGAGAGGTACAAAAAAATGGTTGAGGAATCATCTAGATTCCAAACTCAGATGAAAGAAAAACTGAAAGAAGCTGAAAATGATTATGAAGAGAAACTTCTACAAGTCTGTGATGCACTGGACAACACAAACATAGACCTCGTTGCAGAACGTGAAAAGGTGGTGGCTTTGACAAGGCAGATTGAGTCCTTTGGTATTGTCAAAGAGAAGAATTTAGTGATGGAAAGAGAAACTCAGAAGTATAAGGAGATGTTGGAGGAATCAGAAAAGAGTCGGGTGCTTTTAGAGGAGCAGATTTCGCAGCTTGAAAGTGATTCCAAGGAGAATATTAGAGAACTCTGTAGCAAGGTGGACATTGCATATGCCAAGTTGGCAGAAGAGGTTGAGAAGACTGCTTCATTGGTCAGAAAAAGTGAGTCAATTGATCTAAATGAAGAGCATAGGCAACGGGAGCTTGAAAATTACAAGGAAATGCTTGAGGAGTCTACCAAAAGTCAACTTCTGTTGCAAGAGAAAGTTGTAGAGGTGGAAAACGACTCGAGAAGGAAACTTGCTGACGTTTCTGAGGCACTTGAAACAGCAAATTCTGAATTGTCTGATAAAACCTCTGAAGTGTACCAGATTGAATTCCAATTGTGGGTCTGGAAATCTATTGCTAAGAGGCTAAAAGCTGAACTCGAGCAAAACCAGAACCTGCGCAAAAGAGTAGAAGCTTCTCTTCTTGAACAGGTTGGAGTTGGAGAAGCCATGAGGCAAGATAGGAATGAGTTGATGCATAAGCTAAAGGCTATCAGCTCTGCAAGATCGTCTGATTCAGAGAAAGAATCCCTTATGAGGGATAAGGACGAGATGTTGGAAAATCTACAGAGAGAGGTAGATTTGTTGGAACTAGACTCACTTAGAAGGGAGCTTGAGGATGTTGTTCTTGCACATATAATTGCTGAAAGGGAATTGCAGAACGAGAGAGAGATTTTTGCAGGTGCTTTACAACAGAAAGACCAAGACTTATGTGAGGTGAAGCATGAATTGGAGGGTTCATTAAAGTCTGTATCTTTGCTGCTGGACCAGAAGCAAAACGAGGTTAACATGCTTCACAAAGCATGGGAGAAACTTGCTGCTAGGCAGATTCTTAACGCGGTAGAAACAGAATCGGAAAAGATGATGATCATAGAGCTTGAAAGGGAAATCTCTAGTCTCAGCCAGAAACTCGAAACATCGGATGAATCTGTTTCTTGTTTCAGACAAGAAGCAACAAAGTTAAAAGCTGAATTGGAGACTAAGCAGAGAGATTTGAAAGAAGTAACCACACAAATCCAAGAGAAGGTAAGAACCTCAGAAGTGGAAAAGACAGAGTTAGTTAACGAAATCGTGAGTTTGTCGTCAGAGAAACGAAATCTTTTGAGTTTTATCAGCGAAGTGGAGGATGGAATGTTGAAGCTGTGTGATGGAGACACGAAGCTGATGAAAACTTTGGAGAGAGTTACACAATGTTGTGATGGATTTGGTAAAGAGAACAGTAATGGTGAAACTATTGGTTCTCCAAGATTGGCAATGAAGCATGAAGAAGATGTTGTAACTGAAGACAGGTCACCATTTAGACAACTTAACCATTAGTTTGATTCATTCCACAGAAGAGAGAAATTTGTTTTTTTCTTTAAGAGAACTTTGTTTGTAGTGTTGATGTATCTTGAAGCTTTTAACGAAACCCTTTTTCTAGAATAGAGGTTTTGCTCATGTAATAAACAAACTTGTTTAGGTTTTTTGGTTGCTAAATCCTAATTATTTGCACAAATACAAAACAAAATTAAAACTCATATAAAGATAATTTATCTCAAATTAATCAGATATTGTTGTTTCTTGCCATCAGGATTGAATGCCAAAACAGTAAATCCGTATGAGTCGTATTAAATTAACATTGTCATTTTAGTGAAATATTTACTGGTCCAAGTTTGGGGTTTAATAGACTTTTCACTGAACCTGGATTCTGTTCTTTATTGGAATTTTTATTTTAAATTAAGTTCTGAATTTTTTTGAATATGATTAGGAAATAACCAAGAAGCTCCAAATTTTCAAATAATAACTTTTAAGCACAATTTTAACCAAATTTATTTATGTATTTATAGTAAATGTGGAAAATTTTCTATTTCAGTTAGCTGTAAATGTTGACTACGAAATGTATAGAAAGATACGTTAAGAAATACAACAATTACAGTCAACGGCATTCCAGCGAATTAAACGGTAAATCAACATTATAAAATATAGTTACCGTCAAACTTTGTATTACATAGTAATATTCTTTAACCTTATATAAATGGTAATTAATATCTACAAAAATAGGTAAATCATGCAACATATAGCTATATATATATTTTAAAAAGATCTAAGAATTATATTCAAGGCTACTCGCCTGAAATAAACGGTATAATTAAAAAAATTGCATAGAAACAAAAACATTCAGTGAATCTAATCCCAAACACCTGGATAATACATTAATCATAGTTGCAAGACTAGATTCTTTACATTAATCATATTAAATCAAAAACTTAATATAAAACCATAATATGTATGACACTGAAGTTGCATCATAAAACCATCATTTCTCATCTGAAAGACCAAAACACCTCCTCCCTCCGCTTTCACTGTTCGTTGTCATGTCGTCCGGAGAAGGTACTTCGCACAACCGCACATCCCTCGACAAGAGACCGATCGAAACGTGCCATAAAGATTATCAGCGTTCGGTATATCAGCGTTCGGTATATCATTCAAATGAATCAGTTGGTAAGAAGTAAACGGTATGATGATGATCAGTTTGAGCAAGTGGAAGCCATCTGCGACGTTCTCATCGCCGCAGAGAACCGGCTTCCAAACGGGTTAAAGGATTATTACGGCATGATTAGGGCGAACCGATTCGGACCGGTTTTATTGGAGGACTTCGAGAAATTGATGAAGCTTCTTGATAAGACGCATAACCATTTCCCATTTAGCCAAGAAGCTGCTGATAAAGCCTCGCTAGCTTGGTCTTTGCTGTCTAAGCCACCCATCAAGGCCCATTACGATCTCGCTATCTTCGCATTTTGCGGAGAGTGTAGCAAAGGAAAACGAAAGATGGGTTTTCATGAATCCTTTATCCCCAAGAAACAAATTGAGGTGGTGGTTATTTCTGATGACGATGACGACGACTACGACGATCGAGTACGGCCATAAGATTATTTCAATGGCTCGAACTGCGAGACTATGCGTAGTTAATGGAAAGAGAGTGAAAAGGATACCATTGAAGAAGAAGAAAACTTAAGGACAACGTTTAAGTCCTGTCCAGCCTTAATCCTAAATTTTCTTTTCAATAAATAAACTCTTGAGGTTGTAATTTCACTTTTCTTGATATCGTTTGTTTTAGTTTTCAGATTTTCATGTCTGAAAATCTAAATCATTATTATTGTTATGATTATAATCTCATCTTGGTTTATTAGTTATGACAATATATTCTCGTGCTTATATCTCATTAATCACCCATTTATTATTACGTACCTTTTGGAATCTTCTACATATCTTTCTTCTTATTACAATGTTTTTTTGTCTTTATATATATATAAGCACACAACAAATTAACATTCCCTCCATTGGTCTGCTGTCTCCTTCTTTCTGTGTAGCCATGGTTTCACTTCACCATGTAAGTCTCTCTGTTACTTCTTTTCTCATCAATCAGAATTCATCTTCTCTGTTTTCTTCCTCCTCTGAATCAATCCTTTGTTTGTTTCCTGTGTTGTGTGTTTAATGCAGTTAGAGCAAGGGATGCGTCCGATTTCACGATGCTACAATCCAACCGTGTATTCGACAACAATAGGAGGAAACTTCCTCGCAGGTGCAGCCACAAGCAGCAAGCTATTCTCCAGAGGTTTCTCAGTCACAAAGCCAAAATCGAAAAGCGAATCTAAAGAAGTCGCTGCAAAGAAACATAGTGACGCAGAGAGAAGGAGACGGCTTCGGATTAATTCCCAGTTTGCAACTCTCCGCACCATTCTTCCAAACTTGGTCAAAGTAAGTATAGCTCTGCATTCAATTACACAAAAGGCATATACAATGTTTCGCCAGAGAATTAACACTTTTTTTTATTATGTTAATGAAATTAAACAGCAGGATAAAGCATCTGTGCTTGGAGAGACTGTCAGGTACTTCAACGAATTGAAAAAGATGGTTCAGGACATACCAACCACACCATCTTTAGAAGACAGCATGAGATTGGGCCACTGTAATAACAACAGAGACTTGGCAAGAGTTGTGTTCAGTTGTAGCGACAGAGATGGGCTAATGTCGGAGGTTGCAGAGTCGATGAAAGCAGTGAAAGCAAAGGCCGTGAGAGCTGAGATCATGACAGTAGGTGGAAGAACCAAGTGTGCCTTGTTTGTTCATGGTGTAAATGGGAATGAAGGATTGGTCAAGCTCAAGAAATCGTTGAAACCTGTAGTGAATGGTAAATCATCATCAGAGGCGAAAAACAACAACATTGGAGGATCGTTGTTGACTCAGCAGCAATGAGTGTTTTGTTTATATACTTGTACATCTCTGTTTCTCCTAGTCCATTAGAGAAGGTAGATGTAAAGGTATACGAGCCCATGTGTTATTGAAATTGGGTGGATACTTACAAGAGTCTATATGAATAAAAATGATGCAATTCTTTCTTCGGAGATGGTGTGAATGTTATATCAAAATATGAATCATGTGAAAATATTTACCCATCTTTTTCTTACCCAATTGTGCCTTTTGAGATGAAATCCATGGTTGCTTCTAGTAGATAGCTTTCTTCTGGGAAACAAGGATTTGGTTTGATAAGTTGAACCAACGAATAACTCTTCAAACTTTCCCCACCAACTTTTCATCAAACTTCCTTATAAATAGAGGGTTCCAGCACAAGTCTCTTCCTCACTCAAACCAACAAGAACTAGTCAAAGCGCAATACAGCAGAAGTAGCACCATGGCTCCTCTCAAGAACTCCTTTGTAACATCTCTGGTCATTGCACTAACATTTACAAGCTTCTTCACCAGCCTATCCGCTCATCGTCACCTTCTCCAATCAACACCAGTGACTCAGCCTCCAGCTTTAACATTCCCACCTCTGCCCAAAACCACTATGCCACCACTTCCTTCTCTACCAACTCCAGCACAACAAACGTTGCCACAGCCACAACCAACTCTGCCACAGCCCACCGGGTTGCCAATGCCACCAATTCCGAGCACACAGATACCTTCATTGCCCAACCAGGTGCAGCCCACAATCCCTAACATTCCACAGGTCAACTTCCCTAGCAACTTCCCCTTTAACTTTCCTTTCAACATTCCTTTCCTTACTCCACCACCTTCAAAGTAAGAGAAGTGACAAGCTAGCTCTTTAGCTGTCACAGATTATTATCCTTCTCTCCTGAGACAGCTTTGTATCACACACTCTACTTTGTGTCAGTTTGTATACAAATATATGCATTCTTTTGCTGTTGTTTGGTGTCGTCGTCCTCTTTGTTGTTGCTTCCATGAGTCAGTTCCTTTTGTAATATACAGCTTTTTTTCTAATGAGTGATTTCCTTCTTTTTCTTTGGCTTGACCTCTGCAACTCAACAGACTGAACCAGTAGGCTAATATATCATCATCAAACGTAAAATACTTTGAACAAGGCACTCTCATTCTATTACTTAACAAAAAAAAATAAGCTTTATTCTGTAACGATTACATGACAATGCTTAACCCTAAGTTTTGTAAAAGACAAGGTCTCGTCTACAGTTTGATTTGATAGCATCCTCTAATTTATCAACCAGGTCAAATTCAACCTTGAAAGAAACCATTGCAGTACCATCTTTACCAGTATCATAGTCTTCCTTGATGTCTTCAGCGTGACACGATTGCAGCTATGACACATATATAAAAGATCCATGAGCATAGATTGACAACGCACTCAGGAAATCTCAAAAAGTTCACAGCCAGAATCTCTCACCTGATTGTAAAGAACACCTAAAAGATCAAATGTCACCTCGACTCCCATTTGAACCTGGAGATGTTAATCATCAAGTTGATCAAGAAGACCAACAACAACAACAAAAGAGATAATAAAAAAGACTTTTACTTTGGACTTGACAAGACAAGTAGGAGCAGTTTTCAAGCAATCAGATGTAACACCACCATATGCTCTAACAAGACCTCCAGTTCCAAGTTTGATTCCCCCAAAATACCTATAATATGAGGAGGAACAAGAGATTGTATTCTCAAAACTTGTACAGATTCAAGATTCAACAAAGAAACTAACCTAATGACAACAACCATAACTCTGTCTAATCCAGAAGACAGAATTGCAGACTGAATCGGCTTCCCTGCTGTGCCTGATGGCTCACCATCATCGCTACATCGATGGTGTTGATCACCGATCTTATAAGCCCAGCAATTGTGAGAAGCGCGAGAATCACGGACCTGAGAGAAGAACATTTGAGCGGATTGCTCCGTGGAGATTGGGCCAGCGATTGCTATGAACTTGCTCTTCTTTATCTCTTTCTCCACGGATACGATTTCTTTGATTGTCGTGAATGATGAATCTGAACCCGAATTCGAAGCCATTGAGCTCTTGCCGGATGCAGCCACTATCACCGGGATTCTGCGGCGGAGAACGACGGCGACGGTGGTTCCTGCTGCTACCGGTACTCCCACCCGCATCTGATTGTTGTCTTTTTGCTCCTGCAAATTCTCCTCGTTTGTAGATTCAAATGACAAAAACGTTGCCGTTTGGTTAAAACCAAAAAAAGTAATATAATATCACCAACATGTTGTTTAAGTAAACGAAAACAAACGGTTGACTAAATCTGTTAAAATCAATATAGTTTTACGTCTAAATATAATAGTTTGTGTAATTTATTTGTATTGGTTTAAAATTGAAGTTGACAATTATATGTTTTTCTTTTGTTAAAATGTAAAAACACACCGCACAATTTATTCGGATTCAAAAACACGGTCTTTCCTATGTCTTAAATTTTAATTACATCTTAATTAAAATATTAGTTGAGGGTTGATACATTTCTATTAACACCATACACAAGGATGTAATAATTGTTTATTACTAAGATTTTATTTGTGTGGGGAAAATATGTCGTCATCAGAATACAACTTTTACCCAACATTTTCAAAATGACAAGTAATCAAACCAGCGATACCTCCTTTCTGCCACTAAGGCTTAATGGCAGCAGGGTTCAACAATTGCTGCATTCACAATATCTTCCTTTCGGAGTAGCTCGACAGTATCCAAACTCAAAACCTCTGAAATAACCATTGTCAACTGGACCCATACATAATTTTCGGCATAATTTGTTTCCATTTTGTACATTACATGTCCCAGGCGGCGCCTTCATTCGTGTGGGATTACAAAGATGTGGCCTTTTGCCCTCTATCTTTGCTATTCCTGATATAGTAATCATCAAAGAAATATTGAAACTTTTTTTTTGCTAAAATGGATAGTTTAGTTTTAGTTAGGCCTTGATAAATAAGCGTGAATCAATGAGTTGGGATTCGATTGTTTAAGTCACTTGTGTTTGAAAATAAATCAAAACCTAGTTCTCATATTTGTAAAAATAAAATATTTTGTTATTAAATATCATGAATGCATATTACCTGTCGAAATTAACAGAAAGATCATCACGACCAAAGTGATGAAGAAGCTAACAAGTTTCACAATCTTAGCCATTATAATTTGTCTTTATTAGTATCTCTCTTTTTAAAAACTTTTGATAGGATATTTTATGTTTGTAGGATCATAATCGGACTGTTAATACATATAAAGAGTTTATCATTTCTATGTTTAGAAAGAAACTAAAAAGATAGTCCGTAAAAACATCTACGGAATAGTTCCAACGTCACAACAAAATAACTGATCGGAAGAGTGTTGACCTCGTATTTGGACCATTCTCTTTTGCTTTTTTTTAGTAAGAAATAATATTAATTAGCAAAAATATGATTTTCTCCAATATTTTAAAAGTTGTTTCTCAAAAAAAAAACCTCTTCATGACTAATACGTGGAGTTTAATAAGAATAATTAATAAGTAATCAATGCAATAAAAACACTAGGTTTCTCTCCAGTGCTGACACCTCAGCTTTTTGGATTGCTCTGGACATGACACATCATTCAAATCATCATCCAATGAAAACATTTGGATTAATACACATCAGATTTTTTGGCCAATAATCATCCCTTCTGCTTTTCTTAATATTGTCTCATTTGTTCTTGGGCTCTAACATAGGGGAAAAGGGGATTTTCATACCCGTACTATCTGCACCGTGGATTTTCATACCTGGACAATTTCGTAGGGTATTTTACAACCTAAACTTCAATAAAATTTGAATCTCATACCTATACTTGATACAACGTGCAAAAATCAGAGTCAATCTAACGGGTGTTAGTCAACTCCGTTACGGTGCTGAGTCATCGTACATGTGTACGCTGACGTGTATCAAAACGACGTCGTTTTCATACCCGTACTGTCTGTGCCGTGGATTTTCATACCTGAATAATTTTGTAGGGTATTTTACAACCTAAACTTCGATAAAATTTGAATCTCATACCCTATACTTGATACAACGTGTAAAAATCGGAGTCAATCTAATGGCTATTAGTCAACTCCGTTACGGTGCGTATCGAAACGACGTCGTTTTGATATGTGTTCTCAAAGTTTTAATTTTTTTTGCAAAACTGGGGACTCGAACCCGCGAGCTGTAGTCACATGGGAAGCACCGAATACCAACTGATCCCACAACGTTCATCGAGTATTCCTCAATCTTTTTAACTTATAAACCCAAAAAGTTGTGCGAAGCCGTAGTCACATTGTAAAACTTTGTTCATGCCTAATTTCTGAGAAGAAGAAGAAGAAATGAGAAAACGATTTCTCAATTCGAAACCCTAGTATTCATAATTTCCTCCCAATTTAAAACGATTGACTACGCACCGTAACGGAGTTGACTAATAGCCGTTAGATTGACTCCGATTTTTGCACGTTGTATCAAGTATAGGGTATGAGATTCAAATTTTGTTGAAGTTTAGGTTGTAAAATACCCTACAAAATTGTTCAGGTATGAAAATCCACGGCGCAAATAGTACGGGTATGAAAACGACGTCGTTTTGATACACGTCAGCGTACACGTGTACGATGACTCAGCACCGTAACGGAGTTGACTAACACCAGTTAGATTGACTCTGATTTTTGCACGTTGTATCAAGTATAGGTATGAGATTCAAATTTTATTGAAGTTTAGGTTGTAAAATACCCTACGAAATTGTCCAGGTATGAAAATCCACGGTGCAGATAGTACGGGTATGAAAATCCCCTTTTCCCTCTAACATAGGGGCTTAATGTTTTAGAATAGGATTGTTGGACTTCAATTTAGGGCTTGATTGGTTCTCCCGCCTAGCGGTTGTTAGCGGTTGGTTGCGATTGTTAGGGGTTGGTACCAATCATAGAAACTGTTCCATACCGCTTCGAACCGTTCGAAATCGCTGGATTTTAAAAGCTCATTTCCGCAAGCGTTTGCGGTTGCGGACGGTTGCAGTTGGTTTAAAAAAGGAAAGAAACTAAAAAAGAAAAATGAACAAATTTAAATATATATGATCAAGTCTTATATATATTCACGTTAATTCTAAAAAAAAAAATTTATCTAACTTTAATTTTCCAATATTAATAATTATTTTTGTTTTCAATATAAAATTTATTTGAATAATTATTTATGGTTTTTAATCATTAATCATGTTTAAAATTTATATATTTTTTCATAATTATAGTTTTTGGTGTTTTTATACTTTTTATAATCATATACTAAATTTATTTTGGTAAATTTTGGTTTAACCGCTATTGTACCCGCTGATCAACCAGTCGTAAATCTCCCGCAAACGTATTCGTTTTTAACCGCTAAACCAGTCGGTCATAATGCTAAATAATGCTTGAAACCGCAACCGCCCATTTCCGCAAACTCTCACAACTGTAACCGCAACCGCTACGTTTAAACTAGTCAAGCCCTTACTTGTAATGTTTACCCTTTGGATAAAATTGGATACAAATCGAATTAGTTAAGAACTATTGCAATAAAATATTATAAGATTTATTAAGCGTTATCATAGATCTTAATGAATAACTAAAAATCATTTGAGTAACGTTCTATACTCCTATAACAAACAAACAAATCTCTTAGCCTTTTACGCCTCTTCAACATATAAATCAAGTATGCATATGGAACATTAAAATCAAAGATGATCATTTCATATAACATATTTTCAAGTATCTAAGTCATGAGTTCTATACAGCTATGGCATGTCCATATACATATAAGTCCGATCGAATCAAATATCATAACTTTTGTCAAAAAATAAAAGCTCAACGATTTCATCGACGATATATTCAAATCGGAGAAAACAAAAACGGAAACTTGAGAAAAAAATAAGAGGAAAGAAAGATATTTACTTGTGGGCAATGAATTCAGATTCCAATTACATCAATCACTGAGAAAAAGTTGTAGGAGATTTAGAGTTCGATTGCGGAACACCGCCATATCTCCCCCGCACTCCGGCGATAGAAACTCTTTTAGACATACAGTGAAACAATCGTCTCTTATTGGCTGCCATTAGTGAAAGTCTTTCAGATATGAAAGCAAAGGTCTTCCTTTTTTTTCCTCTCCGTTTAACTGTTTATCTAATCTATCTCTCTCCTTTGTTCATCTGTTTTTTCCAGAAAAAAATGATCGTTTTCTGACTTTTTCAAGATACAAATTTTATTTGAATACTAAAATTGATTTACGGTTTGGTCTCAGTTTAACATTCAAATTTGATTTGGTTCTTTTTTTGCCTTCAAATTATTTAACATTAAATATTTAATTAAAATCATTTCTCCAATTTAAATTTCTTCAATATTAAAAAAATCATTTAAAAATATCTCGCGGCGGAGCGCGGGTTTCGACCTAGTTGCTTTTAAAAATATTAGTTTACGTCAAACTCCATTTAATTAGAGGATGTAAACTTGAGAGTATCTACACTCGATAAAAAAATGTTTGTAGACAGAATCCATATTTGTTCGAATTTCACATTCATGTGTTCTTAAATATTATAATGAGGCAACATAATTAACATATAGAATTTGATACTATACATATCTTAAATGGGAAGGGAAATTGAGATTTTAATGTGTGACCAAACACGAAAACATATCAAAACTATAGATGGTGAATCGGTGATGATCGGTGAATTTATATAATGGATAAGAGAGCTCTAAACCTTATAATATAACAAGTTTCACAGTCTTAGCCATTCTAATTTCTCTTTCTTAATATCTCTTTTTTAATTTTATTTTTTATGGATAGGATGTTTTATGTATGTATTCATGTGACTGTTGATACATATAAAAAGTTTATCATTTCTAAGAAACTAGAAAAATAGTCTTCAAAATCGTTCATAGAACAGTTCCAACAATAAGTACAGAAAAGTTTGTAGACATAATATATATTCATATTTGTTTCACAATCATCTGTTCTTAAATCTATATATAATAGCAATCTAAAAAATATCATTTGCACATCTGAACGGTTGCGTCTTTTTATCGTAACTTTTCGTTAATATTTTTATTAATTAAAACATATATTTTACGGTTATGTTTTTTTATAAATTGTATTCTGAATGTTTTCTACGGTTGCGTTTTTTATTGTAACTCTTCATAAACAGTTGAAACCGCTTATTCGAATCATTGCAATATTTAGTTTATTTTACGAACAATTGCAACCATTGGTTTATATATTTAGTTTATTTCACGAACAATTGCAATTTTTGGTTTATTTTATAAATAGTATAACATTTAATTATCTACCGGCGCGTCTCTCGGTGTAACTTTTCATAAATTATTATTTTAATTCTTAATTTTTAATTATTAAAATTTATTTAAATGAGATTGTAACTATTTAATTGAACTGTTTCAACATTTGGATTATTTGACGAATTGTTGCAACTTTTAGTTTTGTGTTACGAACCATTGTTATCTTTAGTATATTTGATGAACTATTGCAACATTTGGTATAATTGACGAACCGTTGCAGTTTTTGGAATATTTGATATCTATGGTTGCGTTTCTCGGATAAGTTCGTCATAGTTTTTAAAAAATATTTAAATACTAAAATATATTTAAATGAATTGTTGTTACCGTTTAATTTAACACAATAGCATTTGGTTTATTTGACGTTGAACGTTTTGGCTTATTTATCAAACCATTGTAATATTTGGTTTATTAGTTTATGCTTTTTGCACTTGGGAATAGTTTTTAGTTACAAATTATTATTTTTCTAATATTAATATACTTAATAAATGCTTGTGAGGGTTTTCTTCATCATAATTTTTAGTAAAATATATATTCATTTGTTATTAAAAAAATTCAAAATTATTACAATTCATTATGATTTTTTCGTTTGATATTTTTTTAAATGATTTTTGAAATATATTCCCCCGCGACATCGCGGGGGTCCTGAGTCCTAGTATTATATAATGAGGCAACAGAATTGACATGTATAATTTGATATATCTTATAAAAGGGAAAGGAATTTGAGATTTGATATGTGACCAAACACGAAAACATATCAAAATTGTAGATGGTGATGATTGGTGAATCATATATAATGGATAAGAGAGCTCTAAGCCATTTATGTTTTCTTCGTAATCTTCAGTTAAATTTTTTGAAAATGATATAAAACTTAACATTCATACCAAAAGAAATACAACTCTAAGCACCCAGCGTGTAAACCTTATAATATAACCGGACGCATCGCTTAATAATGGGTTTCGATCGAGATGGGTCAGTAAGAATCAATTGGATGGGCCCGGGTTTTGTGAGTTAGCCAAATGGAAGTGATTAACGTTTTGTATCACACTCACACATCACTAGATATGTTGGCGGAGACGAGTCACATTTTTAAACGTTTTAGCGTTTAACTCTATCGATTACAAGTTGGTCGTAAGTATCACGATCGGTTACTTTAATGAGGCTGAAACGTGGAGTTGGACGGCATGGAGCCTTTACATCCTTGTCGCTCTAGACAAACATATGTAATGTTCGTTGATATTATTAAATTCACATGCATCTTTGTTTTAAGAACTGAACATTACAAACATATGTAATGTTCGTTGTCGCTCTAGGCCTTGTAAGCCTGTCTGAGATGATATTAAATTCACATCTTTTATAAAATCAAATGTAATGGGCAAAAGCAAAATATGGAAGTGATGAAAAGTCAACAACATAGCCATTCTTTTTTTTGTCTGCTAATTAAAATATTTACAGAGAGTTTTTTCTTTCTTCATGAATGTAAAATTTATTAGCATCAACAAATATCGAAAATAAAACGGAAAGCAAAGAAACAAACAAAAATAATCTGCGATGATGACGATGACGAGGAGTGTGCCCCACGGCAACCATTTCTACACATCCTTCTTCTTCTTTGTTTTTCAACTCGTTGTGTTGATCCCTTCCATTGCAAGCTACGATTCTACATTTTCACCAACAAGACCTCTCAGGATCACAGAGAACGAGACCATTGTGTCCCCTGAAGGCATATTTGAGCTTGGTTTCTTCAAACCTGCAACGAGATTTCAAGAAAGAGATCGTTGGTATCTCGGAATTTGGTATAAGAGATTCACGACGAGAGTCGTATGGGTAGCCAACAGAGACGATCCTCTCTCCAGCTCCATCGGAACCCTTAAAGTCGATAATAGCAATATTATCCTCCTCGATCAGTCTGGCGGGGTTGCGTGGACGACGAGTCTGACAAAGAATATGATCAATAACCAACTTCTGGTGGCAAAGCTTCTGGATAACGGTAATTTCGTGCTGAGATTCTCCAACAGTTCTTCATATCTGTGGCAAAGCTTTGATTTCCCGACGGATACTTTACTCCCGGGAATGAAGTTAGGCTGGGATCGCAGAACGAACCATACGAAAAGCCTTATATCATGGAATAGCTCAGATGACCCCTCAAGTGGAAGATATGTATACAAGATTGATACTTTGAAACCTTCGCAGGGTCTTATTATATTTGGAGATGATCTGCCAGTAAGCCGCCCCGGCCCAAGCTACAGAAAACTATTCAATATAACAGAGACTGACAACGAAATCACCCACAGTTTGGGTATCAGTACAGAAAATGTCTCGCTATTAACTTTGTCGTTCTTAGGATCACTGGAGCTGATGGCGTGGACAGGAGAATGGAATGTGGTATGGCATTTCCCAAGAAACTTGTGTGATTCTTACGGTGCGTGTGGCCAAAACAGCTATTGCAACATTGTCAACGAAAAGACGAAATGTAACTGTATCCAAGGGTTCCAAGGTGATCAACAACATGCATGGGACTTGCTAGACTCGGAAAAAAGGTGTTTGAGGAAGACTCAGCTGAGTTGTGATAGCAAAGCGGAGTTTAAGCAGCTTAAGAAAATGGATTTCCCAGATACTAAGACGAGTATTGTGGACACTACAGTTGGGTCAGAGGAATGTAGGAAGAGTTGTCTCACGAATTGCAATTGCACAGCGTTTGCAAATACGGAGTGGGGTTGTGTGAGGTGGACCAGTGACTTAATTGATCTTCGGAGTTACAATACAGAGGGTGTAGATCTTTATATCAAGCTGGCCACTGCTGATCTTGGTTAGTTCGGATCCAAAATCTCTGTATATTTTTTTATGGGATACTATCCTAAAATTATTATCTTGAGTTATATTTTGATACGACTTGTAATTTGTGCAGGGGTGAATAAAAAAACGATCATTGGATCAATTGTTGGAGGCTGTTTGTTACTTGTTCTAAGTTTCATCATTCTCTGTCTCTGGATAAGGAGAAAAAAGCGAGCAAGAGCAATAGCTGCGGCTAATGGTAATTTTTATATGCTTATACATTCTTCTTATATATGTACATATTTTGGTTTTAATGTCTGAGTGAATGAAAACAGTGTCACAAGAGAGAAACCGAGATCTGACGATCAACACAACCGAGGATTGGGGATCTAAACACATGGATTTTGACGTTATTTCGACCGCTACCAACCATTTTTCGGAGCTTAACAAACTCGGAAAAGGTGGTTTCGGTATCGTTTACAAGATAAAGAGAAATGAATATGTAGATACAAATTATATATTTTACTCATAATTTGTATAATTTGTGAGACAGGGACGGTTATGTGATGGGCAAGAGATCGCCGTGAAACGATTGTCCAAGATGTCACCAATAGGAGTTGAGGGGTTTACAGTTGAGGCGAAACTGATCGCCCTAGTACAACATGTTAATGTCATCCGGCTAATCGGATTTTGCTCTAATGCAGACGAGAAGATATTGGTCTATGAGTTCCTAGAGAATTCCAGCCTTGACACGTATCTCTTCGGTTAGTGCCTTTCCCTAAGCTATATAGTCTAGTCGAGTTGATTGTTGTTGAAATATATATAAGTTGTTGACATGATTCTTTAGCAGATTCAACCCCGAGGCTCTGTTCTAAACTGGGACACGAGATTCGACATTGCAAAAGGTATTATTCGAGGCCTTGTATATCTTCATCAAGATTCTCGGTTTAGGATCATTCATTTAGATCTGAAGCCGAGCAACATTTTGCTCGGCAAAGACATGGTCCCAAAGATCTCGGACTTCGGGATGGCAAGGATCCTTGGAGGGGATGAGACTGAAGCTCATGTGACGACCGTGACTGGAACATTGTGAGAAATTATACCTAGCAACAGTATCCTCTTTCTATTCGAGAAACACAAATTAAAAGATTTTTATATTAATCTTTTGTCAAGCAGCGGTTACATAGCACCTGAATACAGGAGCGACGGGGTATTATCAGTAAAATCAGATGTTTTCAGCTTCGGAGTCATGCTTCTTGAGATAATCAGTGGCAAGAGGAATATAGATTTCCTTCATCTCAACGACGGAAGCACTCTTCTCAGCTACGTAAGTTTGTCAACTCATTTTTATATATTTCTTTCTTTCTTGAGATTGACAAAAACACTTACTACAAGCTTTTGATATGGCAGATGTGGAATCATTGGAGCCAAGGGAACGGCCTAGAGATCGTTGATCCTGCAATCAAAGACTCATCATCATCATCGCAGCAAATATTGCGATGCGTACAGATCGGCTTAATGTGTGTTCAAGAACTACCAGAGGACAGGCCAACGATGTCGTCGGTGGGTTTGATGCTCGGAAGGGAAACAGAGGCAATACCTCAGCCCAAATCGCCGGTGGAAACTGGGTCTTCTTCCGGAGGGCAACAAGAGAGCGAATCTGGAACAGTTCCAGAAATAACCTTGTTCATTGAGGGTCGCTAATGGTAATTTATCTGCCTTAAAAAGATGTATGATTCACTTCTTAATTACGTACTTTCTACTTTGTTCTTAGTCCGTTGAAGCTATATATCGATCACAACATTACTTAAATAATAAATTTCTATGGATAGTTGAATATCTCTCTTTGTAGTTGAACTATTCTCTGGTGCATGAGTGAATGATTTTCTTGTTAATAAAAAAATTCTAATGCTCTGTTTTTGATTTTTTTTATAATGCTCTGTTTTGGTTTTCTCGTGACCAACAAAAAAAAAAAAAAACATTCGAAATAGAAATGGGAAAAATGTCATTAAAATCCCCAACTTATTAAAAACGTTGATTTAAATCCTCAACTCATGACGAAACGAAATAAATATCAAACTTATGTTGACTTTCCAAATAAATATTAAACTTATGTTGACTTTCCAAATAAACACCAAACTTTCATTGACTTTCCAAATAAATATCAAACTTCCGTTGACCTGACCATATTAGGTACGACGTTAAGTGGGTTAATAAATACTCAACTCATGACAAAACAAAATAAATATCAAACTTATGTTGACTTTCCAAATAAATATCAAACTTATGTTGACTTTCCAAATAAATATCAAACTTTCGTTGACCTGGCCATATTAGGTACGACGTTAAGTGGGTTAATAGATCTCGTTAGCGGAGGTAATTTTCTGTTAACATATATGTTAATTGATAACGACATTGTTTCATATAACAACAAAACGACGTCGTTTTGTCGTAACGATTGAATTAAATCCCTAAAGACAATCTTAGATCCCCAAATCGAGCAAAATCCCTAACCCTAAATAGAGTATGATTTTAAACTCGGGATTTTATTGAACAGTTACGACAAAACAACGTCGTTTTATATTTAGAAGGAATACTTGTTAGTGTTTTGATCAACAAACGAACTCTGTTTTAACAGAGTATGAAGAACAAAACCAAAATGAAAAATAGAGTATGAAAAAACTTGATCTTTATTGATAAGATAAAATGTATTACACACAATGATGTTATTGAGTTTGACTCGATCTACTTATACAACACGAAACAACGTGTACGTACATGTGTTAATCGAAAAGACACAACTTTACGAACAGACACAATTATACGTACGTATATTCGTGACTCTTACGTAAATAACTAATTTATATGAATACGAATTTAGGTTATATGACTTAGATGAGATTTGATTATAGTTCAACAATACTGTCATTTTTAATTAGCGGGTCTGTTAACAGAGAATTAATCCCGTTAACATTGTCTGTTAACTCACTTAACGTCATGCCTAATATGGCCAAGTCAATGAAAGTTTTGTGTTTATTTGGAAAGTCAACATAAGTTTAATATTTATTTGGAAAGTCAACATAAGTTTGATATTTATTTCGTTTCGTCGTGAGTTGAGGATTTAAATCAATGTTTTGAATAGATTGGGGATTTTAGCGACATTTTTCCCGAATAGAAATATATTACTATTACTATTAGACGTGACCAACAAAAAAAATAAAAAATTGGTTTGTTATATAATTACAAAAAAGCCCATTCGAAATAGAAATATTGCAATATGCTAATAATGTTGCGACGAGCCTGTCGTCGTCTCTTGAAACCCAAATTTGTTGTTACTCTACGAACAATCTCATCTTCTTCTTCCTCAAGCTACGTCGATCGTCATATTAGTGTGATTCTCTGCGATCAGTCTTTGTGTAAACACAACGCTCATCATCGGAGAAAACTCGGGAAATGTATGTCTTCCAGAGTCTTTAATTTGGTTAGTCGGAAGAGATGTCTTTCTTTGGTCAATTCCGGTTACCAAAAGATAATTGGTTACCGGAAACCCATTTTATCAACCAATTTTGGTCAATTCCGGTTATCCCAAGATAATTGGTCACTATGTGAACAAATGTGTGTTGGTGGCCTTGGTTCTTTTGGGGACACTTGAATTGTGTCTCCTTACCTCTTTTTTTGTTGTTTTTAACTAATTTTATAAATAACAAGAGATTTCAATACGTGATTTGTATTTAAAATTAGTGATTTTTAAAATTTAATGGTTATATATTATATATATATAAATTTGCAAATTATATCATTTATAAGATATTAATATTTTATAGTTTACAATTTTTATTAAGTAACGATATACGACAAGACAATTTTTGTTTTATACAATTTTACTTTAATCAGGATCATTCGATATGTCTAATATTGGTGGTGTTTAAATAATAAAATGAATATTTAGCCCGTATTGAAGCAGCGAGTTAATGATGTTTTAAATCTTTTTGATTCAAATTTGTCCCGTCATATAATCTCGTCCTACAATATAATCCCGTCCTGCAATATAACCTCGTCCTACAATATAATCGTCCCATGTTATTTTAACTCTTTATATATGTTCAAATATTCTTAATATTAGAAACTTTTTATTGATTTTAAATATATGAATTATAATATTTAAAAATTCTTAAAAACTTGTCTCGCTAATAACTCCGTCTAGCAATATAACCCGTCTCGTGTTATTATAACTCTTTATACTGTATATGTTCAAATATTCATAATATTATAAACATTTTATTGATTTTAAAACTTTATAAAAGTTTAAAATTTAACATTTCCGGTAAAATTAAGCAATTAAACTAAAAAAACCGAATGAAACGGTACATAATATTAAATTTGGATGCTTTTTACACGGTATATAATTCTCTTGTTCATTCGGATTTGGATTCATTATGATCTTATTTATAATATGATTCTGAATCAATATCTAAACATTTTAGACGATATGGGATGTTGAACACACACCTTTTGCATAAAATGGGTAATATATATCTGTTTTAAAAATTTCGAATCCCAATATATGCAAAAAAAAAAATTAAGTTTTTTTAACTTTATGTATTATATGGTGATTCAAAACAGTTAAAAAAATGTTCAAACAAAGATGATAGGAGAACTGTATTTCTAAAACTTAATCAAATTTTTTAAATATGTATATTTTTAAATATGGAATATATGGTTCATAATTTCAGATATGTTTTGACCGGATCCAAAAAAGATATGAAATATCCGATGTAAAATTTATGAAAAAATTTTTTTATCGGGTCGAGTACCAAATTTGTCGGATAACAATTCAATCCACCCGCTAACAAATGTACTTTAAAAATACTAGTATAGATACTATCCAATTAACAAATCTGTATAATAATTATTCAAATATATTATGTTTGAATTTAAAATATACTAGGGGAGGTCCCCGCGCCCGGCGCGGGGTTGTATGTTGATTAAAACCAGAATTAGTCATTTAGGGTTATATGAATCTACACCAATATTTTTAGATTCATATACACAATATTTTTAGAAATAGAAGTTAAATGGCAGTAGTTAAATGGTTGAATCATCGGCAGTAGTAGCTGATATGAATCTACACCAATATTTTTAGAAATAGAAGTTAAATGGCAATCAACAATTTACTTGCTCATGTGCACTATGCATCTTAGTGTCAATATATGTTAGAGATTTTCTCTTATCAGTATGATTGAATGGAAGAAAGTGAACCTCTTGAACGCCAGCTCGTGCCTATAGAAAGCAGTATTGAGAGCATGTGCAGTGGGAGTTTCTCTCAAAGTCTCTCAAAATATATTATTATAATATACATAAATTAGTTTAATTGTATAATTAAATTTTAAGTAATAAATATTTTAAAACCAATCACATGTTGCCATGTGTGACATGAGTCTCTCAAGAGGTTCTCAAATGTTCTCATATGAGAACTCATGCACATGTTCTGATGAAACTTTAGACTAATAATGTAGTTCTCTAGCAAATTAAATAAAAAATATATGTGGAAAGACCATAATTCAGTCGTAAGTTATTAGTTAATTTGATTATTGTAATTAAATCTTGCTTGTTTTGATTATACGCATAATGTCAATGTTATGACAAAACCGTGGGCTCAATGTGAAACTTGTCTCGAGAAGTCAACCATACAAAAGGATTCATTTGAGAGATGCCAAGGAGTTGACCCGGAATTTTCAAATCGTTGGAAAATATAATGCTAATGCATGTACTCCAAAATAATTTCATGTTATGATATTACAAAGAAAATAAAAATCGTATAACTTCCTTTTAACACAACCCTTCTATAATTAACACGTTTACCATAACTTTCTACTACTAACCTTCCCATCCTAATTCACATTTTAATAACCTTAAATACTAAATAAATCACCCATAAAATATTGGTCCAATGAGTCCACCTCACACATATCACAACTTTTATAAATTCCATTTTACAGCCGTATAAGTGCATAAGAGCACCCTTATCCATGGGCTCTTATATAAGAGCTTTTAGGTTTATATTTAAGCTTTTTCTTCACAAATCTTACCTTAAGATTTGGCTAAGAGCCCATGGATAATGGTCGTCTAACGTTTCTCTTCATCCTTCACAATTTTTCTCTCTCCCTCACAAGTTTATTTATTCTCCTTAAAAATTTAAACTCGCCCTTCTCCATTTTCGTTCACAAAACCTTGTTTTGTATAACTTATACTCATGTAAGTAGTACTTTTCCCTTCATGTCTGCTACTAACTCTGTAATAACCTATTTGTTCCTTGACGAAATAGTCATTTTCGGACAAGATTGTTTATAGTTTGAACTCACTAATGTCGTCGCTTTAATTTTCCTCGTCCCTTCTTGTTCGTTACTTGCTCTGTTTTATTTCTTCATGAAAGCTCTGTTTCCTTATTTTCTCCTTTAACACCATGCCACAAAAAAAAAGTTTTTTCAAATAAATACTTTCCAATTTTTATCCGTTCTCTCATCAATCAGAAATATCAAATCGATTTCGTTATTGCACCTTCCTAATTCAAAGACGGGTATGTTTATATTTTCATAGAATTAGCTTTTATTTCGAAACCAAGGAACAAAGTTTCAATTTTGGTTTAGTCTCCGTTTCTATATACTCTGTTTTTCCTCTCTTTTAAGGCTAAGCTTAAACCAAAAGCCTTTACATCTTAAAGGAAGAAGGAACATGGCTTCTTCCGTATCATGACATGTCTTAATTAAATTTTCGAACATGCTTTTTATTAATTCTCCTTAATTAAGACTCTTGGTCGCTTAGTCTCTGTTTCTATACGCTCTGTTTTACCTCTTTGTAAAGGAAGAATCTAGATTGTTCCACTTCATGACGTATTAATTAAATTTTCCAACATGCTATTTTTACATTTCACGGAATCGTTTGCTTCCCGGAACAGTTTCCTTCAAACATTGAGAAAAAAAATCATCATTATTTGATGTTCTAAAACTGAACAACAGAGCAGATGCAGGTATATCATGGATATTGAGGCTTAGAGTTGATACCAAGTTGTTTCTGAAAGATTTACCTTGCTTTAATTGCAGAAGCAGCAATGTTGATTTTAGTCTTTTCTCTCTGTCACATTTCCCCTTAGCACTGTCTGTTTTCTAGAAGTAGCAGACACAGTCAAAGGTGTCTGTCTCCTTTGAGCGGCAGAGCATAATGAAATAGATCTTTCAAGACCGTAGATCTTCTTCTTAGTAGGATTAGTCATGGCTCGGTTACTACCTAGACAGATCCGTGATGCTAAGTTTAACATGTAAAAGGAGTTTTGGCTATATTCCCGAGGCTAAAAAAACAAACAAAAGGGTTAGCATCGCCTGCGGTTACATTCAGTGAATCATAAACTTAAAAGGAACTCAACAGCAAGAAAAGTATACCAAGCATGTGATCAGCAACGTCTGTTGCATCCTTTTAAACAATCTTTCAGCATTCGAGTGAGTTTGCTCTCCCGATATGGCACATGGGATTCATTTCCGTTGAGAGCATACATGACATTCTGTAAAGCATATATCAACTTATTAACTCTGGCAATCTCTAGAGGAGCTAGAGCACTGTTTTGTTTCCTGGAATCTGATAGGAGTAGTTTATAGAAAAGGGTATTTCATAGATTATCAAGACGGGAATTACAAGGACTCGAGACTCCCCCTAAGATTTCTCCAATTACTCGATAAAAGACCCTCACAACTCTCTCAGACATTATATATAGACATAGACCAAACAAGAAAAGCTAAACCAACTATGGTTTACCCTCATAATAAACCTTGGTTAAATTGAAACCTTAGTAAATAGTAATTAGTCTTTTAACTGGTTCTATCAGAATCCTCATATCCTATCAGAGAAAGATAACACCAATCACATGCTGACATAAGATCATCAAATAGAAAAGACAATTAAAATGTGATATTAAAATACTCAACCTGCCATATCAAGAAAGTTCATCCTCCCAAGGGAGCCTGGATTGGCGTTGCCAGTGGTAGCATGTATCATCACACCTTTATGGAATTCTGAGAGTGACTTCACAGGTACCTGAAAGCAGAAACATTGAAATATTAATGATGCTAATCTGCAAAATACATATGACGTTCCAAGACTTAATGATCAAGAACACTAAATGACTTGCCTGAGGAAGTCCCTTTAGTTGAATTTTCCCTTGTGCACCTTCCAGTACAGCAACCACTCGCTTCTCTTGGTCTAAAAGGTCATACACGGTTTCCTGAGAAACCTCGTAAACTGATACAGAAACTGAGTCTCCTCTTTCCTCAGCCATGGATAGTATCTCAGACATTGTAAGAACGGTTAAACCAAGCTCCCTATCATTTCCCTACAAACCATGCGATACAATAATTAGCATTTTTCATCTATAGTATCATGTCTGTTAATCAATACCTTAATGGGATTGCTTTCAATACATGTATGAGATGTGTTTTTCTGCAATTTCGTGCTCTGTGGGCGATGACATTAGCATCTTTACCCTCAAAGACAGTAGAGATAAGAGGCTTTATCTCCTTTGATAGAATTGAACCTGTGATTCTGTTTTCTTTGTAGCAATAGTCCAATTTATATGAATTTTCGAACTGCCACAACACAATAGTTAATATGGCTTGAACCGTTGCTAATCCACAACAGACTGTGAAAGATTTAACTCAAAACTCAAAAGTATATTCTACTCGGTGAGAACATTTTTGTAAAATTAGAAAATCGATAAATTAAATATAAAAGATCAATTGAAACATCACCTGAATCTTCTTCATGCATCGTGGTTGCTTTCATTCATCCAAAACATACAATCGTTTAAAAAAACAAACACTATTAGAATTTATAGTAACGAAAATAATATGTATAGCTAAAAAAGAAGAAGATGAGCATACCAAGGCTCCTCGGAGGCAACGATGGGTGTCTGAAAATTTTAGCAGCGTTGTGTCTCTTGTTGGTTGGAATTGGAACACCAGCTGGTGTATAAGGATCACACATAACCTGCATGTATCAATAATCAATAATTTCTTAGATCTGATATTGTTCCAATTGAATTTGGTACACTAATCAGATAAAACAAACCAACCAGGATGTTGTTGCCTTTATTGAAGTTTAATATAATAATTGATGATTAAGCGTTATATAGATGGATAAAGACGTGACAATAAAAAAAGATAGATAAAAACAAGCTTTACGTTTTTACACGCCTTGATTCAAGGCAAGACACCGAAACACGCCGTGAAACGAACCATGTTCATACCTAAATGAAAAATCCATAAAGAGATCAGTATTTAAAAAAAGAGATAAAACTTCTGATCGCATCAATACAAAGAAATAATAATAACTGAGACTCCTGGTGAAAGATAATCAGAGAGAAGCAAGAGAAAAGGAAGAGTCCCAGAGCCGGACCAATCAAATCCGGAGCCCCATTTAAATTAAGAAAACATAGTATTTTTGTCTTAAAAACTATATAATAAATAGTAAACCAGTTTTAAAAACTATTGTTTTCCAAACAAAGTACAATAATATTCTCAGAAAAACAACTACTTGTGGTTATGAAGAAATTAAAAAGAGTAATTTACTTTATTTATTTATTTAATTGTATATAAAATTTATAACTATATAAATATTTTAGCTAAAATAAAATTTTTGTGGAGCCCCTAAAAATTGGGGGCCCCATTGTAATGCTTCATATTAATGTGTTGTCGTCCGGCTCTGAGAGTTCCCAACGATTATAGTCTATTAGGGTTGTTGAGAGGCCGTAATTTGCATTATGATGGAACCAATAATCAAACTGATATCAAATTATGTAAATACAAAATCAAAGCTTCCTTTTTTTTAGTGAAGAATATGGTAAATACAAATCAAAGCTTCTCTTTTTTTTAGTGAAGAATATGAAATCTAAGCTGCTCACAAAATATTATGAGAAAGCTTATAGATTTCTCAATACATCCAAGCATAATTTAAATATTAAACATGAAAGTACTAAAGTGAATAACTCACCATATGTTCGATTGAATCAGCAATTTAATTGTCCTGGAATTGTTTAACGACGTTGCATCCGTAACCTATAACCATACATAAACACCATGAATTAATATGTGTAAAGCCAAATAAAATAAAACGCAAAAAACTAAATAGAAAGCAAAAAAAATGGGGTTAGTTATGATTTGAAAGTGAAACCTAGAGAAGGTATTTATATTAAACTGAAAGGCGGTGTACGATCTAAATTTTTTAATTTTTGAAGATAATTACAACAACAAGAAAGGAAGATTTATATATTCTGTTAGATCGAATCTTTATCAAAACAATTCGAATCTTTATCAAAACAATTAATATTCCTAAAAAAAATTAATAACTACTATGGATATTAATTATAAAGAAATATTCCTTATTTTATTTGTTAAAAAATGGAACAATAACATAATTTTATTAGATTTACAATTATATTTGACATTTATTTAGATACACCATCATTATCGGTATAAAATATAAAAGAAAGTTTCTTTTATTTTATCAGATTTGTGAATTTAAAGAATATATGATAGTTGTTTTGATATTATCGGCAATATCTATATATTTTAGAAAAGTAAATTTTACTTTTAAAAAAAATTGGCTCGTAATTATCACAACATAAATTTATCATTAATATATCAAAAATATAATTAAACGATTAATTATGAGACACATCTTTTGTTGAAAAAAAAAAACAAAAAGAACCAAAAAGGAAAAAAAAACACGGAAAAGGAAGAGAAAAGAAGAAGACACGACCAATCCTTTCTCCGACGTAGTTGTATGTGACTCACGACCATGATTAGATTGGTGGAGATTAATATACCCGTCGATTTTGTGCATGCTCCAAAACGAATATCCTGAAAATCTTTCCCACGAGACTCATTAGTCTCTTTATTATCTAAGGTAATTTAAAAGAATAGTTTGTTTGATTGGTTGCAATTGTAGGATGCAAGATCATATCAATATGATGGTTTAAAGACAAAGGATGGCCAATATGATGGTTTTCTATGATGATTCAACAGATCAAAAGGTGGTTTTCTACCATTAAATTGCCAAATTTCTGTTATTGCTATGAATATATGTTTTATGGTAGGGTAAAAAGTTCTTGGTGGTCATTGGATGTTCTTGGTCGAACGATAAACCGTCATAAAAAAAGGTATGTAAACTACATTTGATCCAAATTTATTTTTTTTTTTCATTTTTTCGTTTTTAAGAATATTACTATTTTTTAAAATGTAAAATATATCGAATATTTATAATTTAGGGTCAGTTATTTATTTTAATATTAATTAATATTATAATTAATTTAATAGAGGGTATTTAAGTAATTACGCAAAATCAAGGGCTCAACAAGAGCCGAGAGTCCGACACGTCCGCAAAAACACTTCTCAAATATTGTTATTTATAGATAGATAAAAACAAATTGATGTAAGGAATTCATTAGAAAAAGTATAAATCATATCTTAAGATAAACAATTACATTAGGGGTCGCATGTTTTCGGAAATGATGGTTCGAGTTGAGATTCACAAGTTGCATACGCCGCAGTAGCATTGACGTTGCCTTCCTTTGGCGCCAGATATACATTTTCCAGCCATATAGTCAGTTTGAGAGTAGCAAACTTTTTGGCATAATTTATCAGCCTCATAGCGATTTTGTACATTGTGGCATGGCTCTTTGATGTTCGATGGGAAACAACTATGAGGATGCAGACGTGGCTTAATTGACTGTGGATTTACTGATATACTAATTGAAATCAACATGGTGATCATCGCAAAAGTGATGAAACTAACAAGTCTTACACTTTTACCCATTTTCTTATCTTCGTAATATATCTTTTTCGTTTATTTTTTCTGGTTTGATGGAATATTTTATGTATACAATCTATTTATAAAGAGTTTTCATCTCTATTTTAAGATGTAAACAAGAATAGTAGTCCCCGTAATAAAATGCAACGGATACCATGACCACAAATTTCTTTGCTACTTTTAGACTTTTATTATATAAGAAAGAAAGAAAATTAGTTTGCAAAAGTTTTTCTTTGATGCTTGTGGTTTGTGGCTTCTAAATATTTTTATTATTATTAAAAGAAGATTTTTTATATGCTCGATTTTATAATATACTTCCTCTGTTTCACAAAGAGTGTCATTTTAGAGTTTTGCACACAGATTAAGAAAACATTAAATTTTTTGTTTTTTCTAAACAAAAACATCATTAACTATATACCTAAACATAATCTGCCCAATAGTAAAACAATCTGCAGAATACTAATAGTCATAAAACATAAAAAATCATTAAATTTTGCATTGAAAACCTAAAACGACACTCTTTGTAAAACAAAAATAAAACCTTAAAACGACACTCTTTATGAAACGGAGGGAGTATAAAACTTATTTAGCCTTGGATTTTATGATTCGTACTTCTGACGTTGTTAGTTGAACATTGGAAAAGACACATAGCATCTAATTTAAGTTACTTGGAACATTTCTAAAATCCAATCATCAAAAGATTCTCTCTCCACACTGCCAAAAAAACTACCCAAAGACATAAAATTGTTTTCTTAAAACCCAGTGGAAGAAAAAACTTGTGGGGAACAATTTCTACAAGCAAAATAAAATAGCAAAACTACTCACTCACTATCAGACCCAAGAACCTGTTTTTTGATTTCACTAACTTTTGTCTTGAGTTCTTCTCTGTTCCTCTGCAAATAAAGTGAATGGTTTTAAAAAAACAAGATGAATTTTTAAGTTTTAAACTCAGTAGATTAAGCCTATATTTAGCTTACCTTAAATAGCAGATAACGGGTACTGAACCAGAGTGTGTATCCGAGACCAACCACTTCCATTAGCTTAGGAAACTGTAACATCAACTATGAAAGGTTACTTCAAATATATTAAACAGAGTTTGTTTCAGGGCTAGCTCAAGAGTACTAACCAGAGGGATTGCTTCGAGTGAACTGACGATTGCAGAAGTTAAGTAGAGAGCAACTATTGCACCGCTCCCATAGAGCAAGATTGAATATGTCTTGTCTGAGTCCAGCTACATTGACAAATCACAACATCAGTCACTTGTTAGATTTCTGATATTCATGTTGATGAATCAAAATTTTATAGGAATAATGTTTAAAGAACTAAGCATTTAAATCATAGCAACCGCCATTTGAGAGACATATTGAAAACATCAATCTTAAAGAACTACTACCATAGATGAACTGAAATGGTTTCACTATCTAAGCATAACCAGCATTTATTAAAATTCCCATAATCTCAAGATAATGTTAATTAGAGATACCTTAATATCGTTCAAGAACTCTAGGGCTTGAGTTTGGTCATCTTCAGCTTGAGAAGCTTCACTATTCGAAGTTTTCTCTTCGACTGCAACAACTACTCCATCACGATCCTCCAGACCAAACTCATTGACTCCTGTTGATGTTTCTTCAGAAACTGTTTCTCCTGGAAACTTTCTACTACAACGCAACGTGCCTAGACCATGGAAAAGAACCATGAAATCTACTTAAGCAAGCAATCAAACTATTGACGAAACGCAAGAAATCAAAACTCTATACTAATTAGAAAATTAAACTCTGAAAACAATCCAATTCGAAAAGAAGAAAAAAAAAAAAAACTGAATTTACTCATCAATTTAGGGCTTTGAAAAATTCAATTACGCAAAAGTGAGAGAAATGAGTGAATCACGATAGCACGAAGCAAAAACAGGAACCTAGGGTTTCTCAGTTCTCGTACGGGATTGAAGAACGAGAGACGCAACTTTTCGATGGAGAGGAAGTAGTGAGATTCTATGAACAGATTTTCCCGCTAGATATCCATGGCCGTTGTTGCTCCAAGGGAGATGAGTGATGACGGTGGTTGACCTGGTGCAGAGCTCCATTTTCGTACGGACGCATCAAAGTCACTTCAGCTTCTGAAAATCTGAGATTTTTATAAACAAGGCTTCTAGGGTTTCGGCTAATGGGCCATGATTAATACTTGGGTCGGCCCAAATATATAAAACTTAAAAAAAAACGGTCTGTTATATAGTAATTTGGTTTACCAGCCTGAGGGCCATTTTAGTATTTATTTAAACAAATTAAAAAGAAAAATCAATTAAAAAAAAAAATCATTTACTGAAGATGGATTGATCTTTTCCCAAGCCGAAAAAAAAAAAAAAAAGATCTTTGTCCAAAAAACAAAGAAGGGGTGAGAATGATTAAAATATATAAAAGAAGGGTTAAAATGTAAGAAAGGTGAAAAAGTAGGTGTGGACCGAAGCTTTGGTCCGAAATACGACGACGAGTGTAATGTTGACTGTTGAGTGATAAATAAATCATGATATTATTTTATTTTTTTTTAGGTTTAAAAATCATGATATTATTTGTGAATTAATAATATACAAAGTCCACTGATATTCGAAATCTGAACAGGAAATATATGAAATTTAAATCTACCACTTTCTTGAATACATGGATGATTCAAAATTTAAGGGGGGTGTATTGGATTTGATATTTTAGGAGATTTGGTAGAATTCGATTATTTTAGAATTTTGAGTGCTTTAAGTGAATTTTTAGGAGTTTTGGTTATTTGTTAAGAGTTTTTATATAAAATAAAGAAAAAATGATTGGTGATTTGGTGAGATTTTATAAATTAAAAAAAATGTGATTTTAGGATACTTTTAACCATGATATAGACTTTTTTTAGCTAATGTCACTGTTTTTGTGTTTATAGATTCTACAATTTTTATGATCGACTCAACAAGTCAAATCTCATTGTTGTAGATTTATTATTCTTCTGTTATGTGAAATCTCTATTAGTTCAGACAAGTTTATTATTATTATTTTTATATGAAATCTCTTGTAGTTTAGAGAAGCTTATAGTTCCATTAAAGGGTTTTGGCTCCACTGCAGTATTTGTTTTTGAAAAGTCGATTATAGCTCTTCTCTTGGTGATTTCATCAACCTATAATACACATGCTTAAATTGATTATGGATCAACAACACCAGCAGCTCTTGGCATGCTTTAAAGAGAAAATAGACATTGTGGTTGAAGGAGACGAAGCGTTCAATCCCAGAGAAGGCCCAAAAACCACTTTTGTAAATAAAAACAACCGAGAAGACACAAAACAAGTCTTTTCTTTGTTTAGAGGATGCAGAAAAGATAGAGTGATGACATATATAGCTAGTTGCAGTCACAAAAATTGAGTATGGCTTATGGACATAACACACAGGAGAAACCAGGTTCTCAAAGTAAAAAGAAGGGTGGATGTTGACCCACATGACGAAGAGGCAAATTTCGGAATGAAACACTTTAGGCTAGAGGAGAAGGGCCATCATCATCGACAAAATAAATCATGGACCAATGACGAAGATTTCAGCGGCATCCGAACTCCAGAAGGATTGGGGATTTCAAAATTGACGAAGATTTCAAGAGAAATCAAAAGAAACAACGAAGGATTTTGGCTTATAGCAATTGGAGAAGATGACATGGAGTGACGCAACGCAAGAAAATTCAATGGAGCAAGAAAAGAGATGGAAGTCACAAGCTCAATTCAGGTATAATCTATAAAAGTAAAATTGTGAATCTGTAGATCTTTGGTGAAGCGATGTTGCAATATCTTTGTTAGTTGAGGTAACTTGCAGAGATGGAGGTAATTACAATATCTCTGCAATTGTTTCTCGATACAATTTTTTAAAGTCATTCAAAGTTCTACCTCTAGGGGTGTAATTTTTCTAGTCATATTTTTCAACTAAAAAGGTAAAAAAAGTCTCATGAAATCATTTTCAGTAGCCTACTCTAGAAAAGTTGTGATTTTTTCGATAACAGTAGATTTCATATGAGTTTTACAAATTGTTGATTAAATAACAAGAGATTGTGAACTATTTTAATTGATTTTACATCAATTCCAAGTTCAATAACATAGGATTTGAGAGAAATTTTAAAAATCACCTATTGAATAACAAGTGATTTTAAAAGTCACCTAAAATTCTCTAAAATACCAAGTCCAATACACCCCCTAAATCTCGGTCCAAAAATCCATCAAGAAAAAAACAAAGACAACATATTACAGAGTACAGACTAAAGAAAGACTTCGAGTGGTAGGAAATTATAAAAACAAATTGCATCACATCAAATCAATCACGAACGAACTCTTTTGTTGCCAAGATTTGGAATAGTTAAAGTAAGCATTTTGTACAGGAACTTAAGTCTTGAATAATGATAAGTTTGGACAAAGCGTAGTAGTAGAATAGTTTCTATCAATTTATTCATTAGTCAATAGGTTTATTTATACAAAGATATTACTTGCATAGCAAGTTCTTTACATTTATGATAATAGTAAATTTACCTATTTAACAATAAGAAGATATACACAAATGTTAACTTTCCTAATAATAATAGGGAAATATATTCAACTCGATCTCGTACTCCCGAGATCTCTCATCCACCGTCGATCTTCCGATCTACGCTTCTCTTTCTCCCAATAAATAAGGAAGAAGAAGATAGATTTTGCTTCAGTTTTCTTCCCGAATGTTAAGTCGTGTGCTTTTGTTTTATTCTTCTGAAAAAAACTCTAAAAATATTTAGATAAAATCAGGCTGACCTGTGGAAGTTAAGCAACGATGCCACATTCGACTATTTGGATCAACCCACTTCGCATAAGCAATGACTTCAGGGATCGGCAAGTATGCATAATGAGTGTTGAACCTGTGACAAAGATCAAATGTAATTGAAGCATTTCGTACAGTTTTAGTTATCGAATAAAAAATGTTGTTGAATTTACAGCGTTTTGTCCTAGAACTGTGCAGAGATCGCTGAGATCAATCGACGCCGTGTTCTGATGCTGCGCCGCCGCCGTTCAATACCGCAAGGAATTCGTCGGGACTCTCGCTTCCGGGAGGATCAACGAACCGAGCCGAGCAGACCAGAACAGAAAGAAGTGCTTGGGAGATATGCCTACGGTTACGGCGGTTGAACCGACGCATATCCATGGGGAGAAGAAGAATGGTCTGATCTTTTGCTTTTACACTTCCAGTATAGAGGACCAGTGGCGGAGCCAGAAAAATGAGTTATGGGGGTCATAATATTTTTTTATTTTGTGAATATTAATTTTATTAGAAAAATATCATTGTAAATATTCATTTTAAAAACATTTTCTAAAAATTGTAACTGAGCGTATGATTCATCTTTAAGATGAATATATTTTTTTTGGTAAAGATCTTTGTGAATATTTGTAATGACATCTTTAATTTTTATGGCTACAAATATTTATTTTAATGACATTTTTGGAGAATTTTATTATCGACATTTAGGGATTGATTTTTTTTAATCAACTTATTCCGAGAAATATTATTTCTTAATTAAGTAATTAAGCAACAAAATCAATTAAAATTTCGTTAAAGCCCAACAGTTTGTCAAAAATGCCCAACGATAATGTTAATATGCCAAACAATAAAGAAAATTAGTAGCAAATTTATATTTTAAACTTGTTTTGTGATAAATATTATTAAACTGCAAACTTTATAATGTTAAATATTAATCTTTAAACTATAGTCATGGATTTGAGAGGGGTCAGTAAAATTTGTTAGGGGTGTCAATAACTACTTGGACATGTGTCAAATAATTATTTTAACAAAAGTTAAACTAAAAATCATAATTTCATGGGTGTCACATGACCCCATGATTCTTCATTGCCTCCGCCACTCCGTTCGATCTTTTTAATAACTCTGAGTTTCTGAAATACATTGGGCTTTTATTTATTTTTTTAAGTGTTAAATTTTTAAATTTTGTGTAAACTAATTGGATACAACATCCAAACCCCTAAGAGGTGTTCTAGGTTCAATATGGTTTACACATAATTAAATTTTTAACATTTATGTTTTTCTAAAAAATGTTTTTTTTTTTTTTATAAGTGTTAAATTTTAAAATTTTGTGTAAACTAATTGGAATATTGGATACAACATCAAAATCCCTAAGAGGTTTTCTAGGTTCAATATGGTTTGCACTTAATTAATTTTTTAATACTTATGTTTTTTAAAAAAGAATGTTTTTTTTTTTGATAAGTGTTAAATTTTTAAATTTTGTGTAAACTAATTGGAGACAATATCCAAACCCCTAAGCGGTGTTCAAGGTTCAATATGATTTACACATAACTAAATTTTTAACCCTTGTTTTTTTAATGTTTTGTTTTTAATCTAAATCACTTGTTTTTTAATTAAAAAGTTTTTAAATTTATATTATTATATTACTATTAAAATTGTAGGTTATCTATTTTCCAAATAATATTTTAGATTATTTTTTTTTTGATAAGTGTTAAATTTTTTAATTTTGTGGAAAACTAATTTGACACAACATCCAAAGTTTTTTATTTTCAAATAGTATTTTAGATAAACTGTTTTTTTTTTTTTTTTTTTTGAAGGAAAAAATAATTAAATTTGTGAGAAAAACGAATCCAATATGCAATTAAAGGGAAAATTATAGGGAACTAATAGATGTTATGCGAAAGTATTGTTTTTTTTAATGGGATTTATTTCATGGAACAATGAGAGAGGTACCAACGTAAAAAACTAAAATGATACCTTTTTTTTCTTCAATCAGATATCATTTCAGTTTCTTTTCCGAATAATACAATTTTTGGGTTTATAATGGGCCTGCATACATTCATCACTAATTCGCTATCGAATTTTTTTTTCTTTGGAAACAAACATGTGAATCTTCTTCTTAATATCTCAGGCAGAGATCGTATAGATCCTACTTTTAAGCAATCCATAGCAGCCTTACAAGTAAAGCACTATTCTCACCAACATATTAAAAGGACATCAGTTTTCAGTTTTAATCAACTACAACTAAGTTTCTGAATCCGCAATTAGAGATATTTGGCGCGTAAATGTTTCCAAGGATCTTTTGTTAACGGTCACATAAAACCATACAATTAAGAACTTTTTGTAACCTTATTTGGACCACCAACTATGGTAACTGAGGCCCACAAGGAACTCCATCAAGACAAATGTCAATGTCAAAACGACATTAATTTATAACCCCATTTGCGAATCTAGTGAGAAAGAAATATCGGCAGAAGGAGAGAATTGTGAAGCCATGGACCACAAAGACTATAGCCGACAAAATGTAAGGAAAATATATACATTATACCTTCATTATGGAAAGAAAAGCAGTTAGCTACTGATTGTGTATATGTATTATTGTAGGAGCAGAGGAGACTCTTATTGTCTAAAGAAGAAGAGAGGATCCGCGATGAGCTTGAAATGGAAATCGAAAGAAATTTGGAAGGGGAATTCAAGGACGGGATCTACAATCTCGCACTCAAGTTGCGCCGACTGTATGAACAAAGACGGGAAAGAGAAGAGTTGTTCGATGTTTCAATGAGAAAGAGCAAGAGAGTATTGGAGGTGAACATAAGTATAAAGATGGAAGGAGATACCAAGATTGAGATCACAGAGAGGAAGAAGGAGGTAGACAACGAAAAGACGAAAAAGGCAGAGAATTCGGATAAGAGAAAGAAGTTTATACCAGCTGGCGAAGATAAAACAGGAAAGGAAAAGATGAAGAATCAAACCAGGGCTCATGAACTCAGATGGAAATGGTAAAGAGATTGATTAGCCTGTATATGTGCCTATTTGCTGGTATCTACCTATGTTTGAACCTTTTTTTCCTGCAAATCCTATTTAAACACAATGAAATAAGAGTTATGCTTGCTTATCACTTAGTGCAATGGAGATTGTAAGAGTAACAACAAAATCTTCTTTTACATCCTATCATCTAACAAACTTATCGAAATTAAGAAAATAACATTAAATCCTAGAATCCAATTAATTTTTTTATTAGCAATAATATGATTAGGAGGAAATTTAGCAAAGGAATGCTATCGGTGTATTAAGACATGGTAACTGATTAAGAATACGAATCAAATAATTTAGCTTGCAACCAAAAAATGCTATTGTGATCAAGAATGCACCAGTATATCACACAGACTGTAAGGCACCGGCTTGCAATGTATCTTGCAGAGCTGTAACAGCGCCTTCGTAGTTTAAGAAACCCATGAACCAAAACTCATGGTCGTCGACCGAGATTACCTGGATGTACTTTTCTGCAGGATTGACTATGCTTGCCGAGGGGTTAACCGATTTAAGCTGATGTAATGGAATTACTACCTGTTTAAGAAAAGGAAGATATAAGTATTAATAATCAGTGTCATCATAGTCTGCACAAGAAATTAGTCATAGAATCTAACGTTCTTCATTCTATTCTTATCATCTATGAAGTCGCTTTGTAGTCGCTGTTAATCTCGATGGATCATAATGAGAAAGCAAAAACTTTGATTTTCTGAATATTAAGATGATTACCTTATAATAGCTCCATTCAGTTTGACCAGAATTTTTATACGAGAGAGGGTTATCGCTACAGTAGGCAAGTTTAGCAGTGGATATGTAAAGAACTCCCATGACTGGACCAGCTGATGTTGACAAGTAGCACGCAAATGAATTTTGCAGCTGCTCCTCTGGAACAGTTTCAAAGGTTTGCCTGAAAATTTTCTCATACCCTCCTTCTGCCAGAACCTTTGTACTCTGTGCAATTCTTCCCATTGCAGCATCCGCAAAACTCGGAGCAGTTTTCACTGATTGTGATGAATACCAAGATTTAATAGTTAGCTACCATACATAATCACATCAAATCACAGAACAAAAAAAACTAAAGAACCTTCACTGGAGTGATACTGCAACTACAATTTAGCATGACAATCACCCAAATCTATCAACAATCTCAGCTCATAGTTGTACTCAAACCTATCAATTCTCAGGGCTAACAATGCAACCATACTAGATCGGAAACTCACGGTGTTGCCACGTGTTACCGGCAAGGCTCTCCGCCTTCATTGCAGCTTCTCCAACCCTCCTTCCCCATCTCCCAAGCACACCTTTCACAGTTTCCATCGTTTCTGATCCATTTTCAAAGAGATTTTACAAAACGGTTACACATCTCATAGGCAATTAGGCATAAACCTAAAAGATAGAGATACAGTTTGAAACACAGTACCTTTCAACGAGGCATCCGAAGTTTCAGCAGGAGCACGAGCGACGTACGGATTAGATCCCGCGGCGGAAGACGACGATAAGGATTTCTGATCCGGTGCCGGAGATTCAGAAACCAATTCAGGATTCCAATGGACCGATTTCCTCGATCCAGACGCTGTTCGAGTCGGTGCTCGATCGCCTTTTGTTTCGATTTCGACTTGTAGCGTAGATTCATTGGATAAAGCAATCACAGAACTCGCATCCTCGGCTCCTTTTGTCGCCACCTGATCCACTCCTGGTTTTAGATCAGTACTTTGCGGTGGCTTCGGATTCTGATCATTGGTTGTAACCTCCGATTTCACTGTCGTCTCTTTCGTCGGTTGCTCCATTCTCCGATTTCGCAAGTATGGTATCGTTTTTTTTTTTGTCAGACAGAAAAGAAAAAAAAATTGTCTTTTGTATTTGGGATGTGGGGTAGACTTATTTATTTTAATTTATTATTTGTAGATTTTTGGATATATAACTTCTTTAAAACAAAAGAAAAGAAATACGTTATTATTGGATTTATTAAAAAAAAAGGTGGCTGTGAATGTTTTTCGGAAGACTTACAGAGTTAAAATCATTGGCTAATTTTAATTTTAAAAACTTTTAAAAAATAATGTTATTTATTTTATTAAAAAAAAACCTTAAACATAAAACCATATTTAAAATATATCAACAATATTTTATAAATCTCGTATAAATTCAGATGGATAGAAATTTTGAATCATTCGTATATAATTCAAGACGTTGCAATTTTCATACGGGATCAAAGCACATAATTAGAGCAATGTGATTTAATTAGGATGACTTGTCTAGAATCTGTTTTGGTTTTGGTTTTGGTTTTAGAATTTCGGTTTAAATTTGTTTTGGTTTTTATTGTAGGACCCAACTAAACTCTCCCCAATTTAAAATTGTTTAACCCAATTTATAATTGTATAATATTAGTATATGAACATTTATTCATAAGAATATAAATGTCATAATCATTCACAGATAAGAATAAGTTAATATAAGAATAAGTTAGTGGGAACCAAGTATGGCGCGTGGTCTTGACTCTTCTTTTTTCTAGTTTATTTTTTGTGCAAATTGTGATTTATATAGTTGAAATAAGTAAAATGTTTGATTTGGCACATAATATGTCATTTGCTTAATTCGATGTAAACTCTTTTAATTGCATTGCTACAAGATACGGTAAACCAAGAAATGAGGTTATCTACTTTACTAGTGGTCAACTATTGCTAATTACCAATTTTAACACGACATTTGAAATGATCCTTAACCCAACGATGTCTAGTCTCGTTAAAATTATACTTTTGAGATTTTATCTATTAGAACTAGGTCTAGTCTCATTGTAGATGATTTCTATAAGAAAACTTCAAAATTCAAGAGACTTGGTAAAGACTACTAATTCTGATATATTCCAAATCAATAAATAAATAAGCCATGTATATCTCTATGTGCTTGCATGTTTAAATAGTCCAAAAGATCAAATAAAATATACATCTCTTCTTAGCTATATATTAGAACACCTTTTCCTTCATTTCTCACCACCAACAAAAGACAAAGAGTATTCTCAGGTTTCTATCTCTCTCGTCAAACACAACGAAAGACATTGAAACAGAGAGAAATGGCTCTTAAGACATTGCAAGCTTTGATCTTTCTTGGTCTATTTGCCACCTCATGTCTCGCTCAAGCTCCGGCTCCTGCACCCATCACGCTTCTCCCTCCGGTAGAGTCTCCTTCTCCGGTAGAGTCACCAACTGCAGAGCCACCGTCTCCGTTTGCTTCACCCCCGGTTCCAGTCGAAGAACCCACTCCGGTTCCAACAACTCCACCAACCGTCTCACCCCCGACCACGTCGCCTACAACTTCCCCTGTCGCTTCTCCTCCTAAAACACATGGTTTGGCTCCAGGGCCATCAGGTCCAACACCAGCTCCTGCTCCGGCTCCTAGAGCAGACGGACCGGTAGCTGACTCAGCATTGACTAACAAAGCTTTCCTTGTGAGCACGCTCATTGCCGGAGCCTTGTACGCCGTCGTTTTGGCTTAGAGGGTGCCCTGCGTATTACTCTATCTCTCTCTCTCTCTCTCACTCTCCTTTTATTTTTCTTATCATTATCTGTTTAAGAGATCTCTCTGTTTTCCCTAAATACATTTATTCCTCTTTGTTGTTGTTTTCTTTTTGGGATCTTTTTAATATTTGTATAACTTTGATTGGGCCATGTGATTAAACCTGAGGGAAGAATTTCTGATTGTAATTTTCTTCATTATTTTTTGATTAATAAAGTCTTGTTTAATATGGTTGCATTTTTAATTTAATATTTATATTTCGTGCAAGTATTAATTTAGTATGTTTTAGATAAAGAAAATTGGATCGTTTTAGAGAAAAATTACAGCCAGTTTTAGATATTTTAATAACAATCCATCTGCATTATTATTGAATGCAACCGCTAATATAGTCTTGTGTAAAACTTTCCCAAAGTTGCAAGAAAAATTGCAGTGGATAACGGTCCAAAGCAATCGTGGAAATAGTCGTCTTAAAGCTAAAAGGATCAAACATATGTGATATAACGTTTCCCTCTTTCTTTGAATAGATTTTTGCAATCATTTTCTTGAAAATTTGAAATGCTAAATTTATTATACAACAATGTTAAGTTTTATATAACAAACTGAACTTTTGAAATTTGTAACGATCAAATGACTATGCCAAAATCTGGTTAAACATAAAGACGAGATTCCACAAGGCTAAGGTATATAGATTTCATAAACTATAGGCCTTAACGATCAAAAGCTCAAGTTTATGTGTAAGTGTTGCCCAGCAGATGGAAGTAAAATCTCAAGTTTAGGACTTTTTTTCCTCATTTAAGATTGTCTTGTAAAATTCACAAGACATCTGACCAAAAAATAAAAATTCACAAGACGATCAAAGTCGTCCACCAGAAACCGGGAAATTAAACCGATCAACACTCGAAAATCTACCTGAAGAAAACCGAACAGCATCACCATAACCGATAATTAATCGATCGGTAAACCGAGCCGATTCGTATCGTTTTTCTCTCGTCCCAAACCCAACAATCGATTTCTCAATCTGCCCATAGTTATCCTCTAAATTACCAATTATACCCTTGACCTCCAGAACCAAACCCCAGAACCCATCGATCCAACCTCTCTTCCAGTTCCCATGGCAGATTTCAGACAATCTCTCTTTACAACTCTCGAGCCGCTTCAAAGCACAGACAAGCTCAATCATATCTCCAAAGCTCAAAGTGTTGGATCGTTCTTTAAACTCGTTGAGTCTCGTGTAAAGCTCGTTGATCGAAGACACGTAGTCTTCTCCGACCAAATGGGTGATTTTGTCTGCAAGAGATTTGCCACCGGAGAAGGGTAGATCCGGAATTTTACATGCTTCTTCTAGTAGACCAACGAGCGCATCGATCTCACGAAGCAAGTCAGAGTTGGTAAGAGAAGAAACCATTTCTTCGTATTCCTCTTTGTGAATTGTGCTCGATGTCGAAGATATGAAAAATCCCATGATTCTTGAAGTTGATAATAGATGCTCAAGATATAAAGCGTACCTACAAAAATCAAAAACATATAAAAATCCAAACTTTTTCATAAAAATTGAAACTTTTTTTTCTTATTGGTCTTTTTGACTTACCATCGGACCCAAGAAGAAAGCTCCCACATCAAAGGAGATTTCTCATCTCTAAAACCAGAAAGTTTCAGATAATTCCGGCCACCGGAAGCCGGAAAAACAGAGAGCTGATCTTGGAGTATGAAACGACCGTGTTTGACGATGTGATGGATAATGATCAAAGATTTGAGAGCTACGCAAGCATCTCTGGTTGTGTGAAGACGTTCCATTATAGATTCGACAGCTGAAGCAGCGGTGGCTCGTGAGCCAGTACCGGCGGAGAGAAGAACAGCGAGGTGACGATTTCCCGGCGGCGTTGAAGGGTCATGAGTAGTGGCACGGAGGACAGAGAGATGAAAAGAAACAGTTTTGCTTTTAGTGTGTGATGAAACTAAAGCAGCTTTGCCTTGAGAAGCTTTGTCTTTGATCATACCCATTAGATCTGCAAAACTCGTAATTCTTCCCATCGATTGAAGTTGGATATGACTTGTTTTGTTTTTCTTTCTTTTTCGCTGGATTTATAAGAATATAATATATAGTTTTTTTTTGGGTCAAGAAAGGAAACTATTGTTATTCGATGTAACCAACATGGGTCAAATAATTAATATATATGGAGAATCACTCGCTCGTCGATTGCATTATTTTTTTGTTGGTTTATGGTCTTTTTCAAACTACTTCCCATATTCAAACAAATTTTAAATGGAATGTAATCGTTCGAATCGAACGTTCTGATGATTTCTTGTTCTTATTTACCAAATTCATCAGGGGTATCCGTATTATCTAATTTTAAAATATTCGATTCCTAAAAAGAACAATTTGGATAATTATTATAAATATTATTATGATTGCGAGGTGTGAAAAATACGGTGTGAAAACAGGTGTTTTTCTTTGTTTATATCCTAGACTTGTGAATAAAATGGTTGCTGAGGAGTACGTAACTTCTTAGACCATTTCCAATATAAAACTCTATATTTTTGCTCTAAAATAGAGTAACTTTATAATAGAATAGAATTCTCTCCAATGTGTTACTCTATTCTTTACTCTAAAATAGAGGTAGTGTAAAAAATAGAGGAAAATTATAAAGTTGCTCTATATATAAAGCAATCTTCACTTTTACTCTATTTTAGAGTATAATATAGAATAGGATTGGAGAGAATTTTGCTCTATATTAGAATTTAGAGGAAAAAATAGAGTTGGGATGGAGATGCTCTCTATATGAACATACTTTGTCAACTACGATTAAAAACAATAATAATCTGAAGAAACGTGTAATCGAAACTATAGGTGCCGATCTATTAGGAAATAATAACTACAGTATAGTTTAATCCGCTTAGTGGATTTTAATGGTAAGGAAACCAAAACAAAAGAAATTGTATAAATTACCACTAAGGTTCTCATACCTACTTTACAAAAATAAGAATCCATAGCGAAAAAAATAAGAGAATTTGTAACCATCACTCAATGGATGAGTGGAGTGGGACGAGAGTCGCAAGCAAAAAAAAAAAAAGACAAGATATTCATTATGTTTACTGATTTGTAACAAGTAAAGAGCCCACAATCAAATTCACAACTAATATTAACGCGTAATAATCAGGTAACGATCTATTTATTTGGGACTTGTGAGCAGGTCCCGCCCTGTACCAATTTTGATGATACATTTGTATTGGATCTAAAATATTCGAGGCCAATTTTGTAGAGATTTGTTTTTATTAGGCTCCAAACTTAACAAAAAACTCCCAAAATTATTAAAAAAGCCCATCAACAAAAAAAAAAAGTAAAAAGGCCCCATAATTAACAAAAAAATGTCCCATAATTAATAAAAATTTCATAATTAATAACAAAAAGTCTCATAGTTAGGAAAAATGTCCAAAAATTAATAAAAATAAAGAAATAAAAATTATAAATGTCTCATAATTATTAGCAAAAGAAAAAAAAATAGCAGTTTTTACTTTTTTTTAAAAGCCTCAATTTGTTTTTTCGTATTTGGTGCCGGAGTTTACCGGACCCTTTTGTTTTTAATACAAAAATGGATACATGCTTTCATCAGATTATGAAAGTTGTGAAAACATCAATGAACCAATAGAAATGAACTCAAAATCCAAACAATATCTTCGTTAATAATATTAAACATTCATAGAAAAGTTCAAATACTCCCTCTGTTCCTAGATATTTGATGTTCTAGAGTTTTAGTTTGTTCCACAAAATTTGATTTTTTAGGTTTTTGTTTTATTTTTTATTGATTAAAATTAATATATCGTAAACTTCAAGACGTAATGATTAACTGTTTTCTAATACTATTGGTTCAAAATTATTAAAAAATATTTAGTATAAAAAAATAATTAACAAATAATTAAACAATAATTGCTTCTTAATATATGTGAAAACTCTAGAACATCAATCTTTTAGGAACAGAGTGAGTATTTAGCGAGATGCTAAACAAGCTGGACCTTTCTTCTATATACAAAATTACAAACCACAAAAACATTACAAACCACAGTGAAAATCACTTTTTACCACTCGTATAAGAGAAAACATATATTTTTCACCACTTGAAATCGAGGCTCACGGCAGAATATAACGTGGGTCATTTCAATGGTTCACCGTTAGCTTTCTGTGATCTAACGGAACCCGAGTTTGACTTTGGAACGAACAAAGTCAAACCCCATCGATCCGGCCAGTTGACCCGATCTGCCTTCTCACCCGACCCGACTTTGTAACTGCTTTCCTCACCGCTCCGGCAATACTTCTCCGCCGACAAATCAATGTCAAAGCTTCTCGTTCGTTTCAGCCTACGTCCTTTCACCGCCATTATTTGCCTCTTCACATCATCCGGTAACCGCAGAGTAAACCTCTCTGTGCCGTCACTGAATCGATCCATCGAATGACCCGTTGAATTCGATCTCGGAAACTTACCGGAGATTTCAGAACTCAGCCGTCGGTGGTGGCTCTTCGCTGCCTCAACGGTCTCAATATCAATCACGACGTGATCTCTCATCGCTGCTATCGGAACACCGTCGTCTTCTTCGCAGGATTTTTCCGATTTCGCCGTGAGATTAGATCTGCAAACAGGGCAAGTCGCGTGCGAGTAAAGCCAAGCGTCGATACAATCGATATGGAACAAATGGTTACAAATCGGAAGCAATCGCACTGTTTCATGATCTTCCAATTCGTTGAGACAAATCGCACATTCTAAATCCTTGGATCCGATCTTCGATTCTTTAACGGTGGAGTAAGCGAAAACAGGGAAGCTTTCGACGACGGCGTTGTCAAGTCCGCCTCGCCGTGAACAGTCGTCGTTAGCGCGGCGGCGGAAGTATCTGGTGGAGGAATCGGGGTTAGAGCGAGTGCAATGGCGGATATAGACGGAGAGTAATCCGGTGAGGAAGAAGAGGGCGACGAGAACGGTAAAGACCGTGGTCTTCGACGGAGTGTGACCCGGTTGCAAATCAGGCGGACTCGGTGAGAATGATTGGGCATTGGCTTTGCTCTGTAGGATGATTGCCACGTGGAAGAAGATAATCCAACGGAGACGGTTAAAACACTCGACGCGTGTCATCGTTCATTCGAAGCGACGCCGGAAAGATATTAACGGCTGAGATTTATCCACGATGCATTAGATTTCTGCTTGCAAATGCTTTTTTTTCGTAAGGTTATAGACGCAAAATATGTCAAATACGAAGGATATGTTTTATATACTTAGAGAGGAGAAGCATAGAGTTGTCCCGATTAAACTTCAAAAGGTAATAATAATTATATTGTTTTGACTTTTAGATGAACTTAAAAAAAAGGTTTTTAAATGAGGACAATAGGCAAAATTATGACAAATTGAGGGTGATATGTTCGTTACAATTTCATTTATAACTAGTTATTATTCTCTACTTGTTTAGATGAAATAGTCTAATCCGCTAAATTGTGTGCTAGGATTATATATGTCAATTATGTTTATCCACATGTTCGCTGCATATACACGAATTTTTTGTCCCTTCCATAGGGTCAAATTAATCAATTCTTATAGGTCAGAATGATTCGTCGTACAATTGCCTTTTGCTTGATTTCAGACAAGAAAATAACAAACAAGCACAGAAAAACAACATAAGTAGATAAGTGGTGTGTGATCGCCTTGGCAACAAAAGAAAATAAAGATTGATATTTATAGCCACAACAACAATACGAGTGATCGATCATAAGTCATAACAATTGGACATTGCAGCTATTGGTTTTGGTTCTATCACCTTCTAAAATCAGATAGATACAAACTTGATACGGATAAATGAGAATTGCAGAATCTCCACACTTGAACTTATAATAATCCAAAGAGACATATATGGCAGGAATTTAAAAATCTTTTTCATTCTTTTTTTAGCATCTGTATATTCTTCAAAGGGCATGTGCTCGGGCATCATTATCCAAATTCAGTATATACCCATCACATATCTATACTAGTATTTTTGCAGTCACTTTTGAGTCGGGTGGATAAAAATGTTCTAATATTAGATTTCATGTTGATCCAGTAGTAGCTATACATCTTAAATTGTAACATGTAGGAAACGTGTACAGGAACGTCGACAACAAGTATTAAAAATTTAATTATGTGTAAATCATATTGAACCTAGAACATGATATTGTATCTAATTAGTTTAGACAAAATTTAAAATTTAATACTTACCAAAGAAAAGAAAAACAACATTTTTAAAAAATAAGTGTTAAGAACTTAATTATGTGTAAATTATATTGAACCTCGAACACCTCTTAGGGATTTAGATGTTGTATCCAATTAGTTTACACAAAATTTTTAAAATTTAACACTTACCAAAAAAAATTAAAAATTAAAAAAAAAAACAAGTGTTAAAAACTTAATTATGTGTAAATAATATTGAATCTAGAACACTTCTTAGAGGTTTGGATGTTGTATCCAATTAGTTTAAACAAAATTTTAAAATTTAACACTTATCAAAAAAAAAAACATTAAAAAAAAATAAGTGTTAAAAATTTAATTATGTATTGAACCTATAACACCTCTTAGGACTTTGGATGTTGTGTCCAATTAGTTTACACAAAATTTAAAAATTCAACACTTATCAAAAAAAAACAAGTGTTAAAAATTTAATTATGTGTAAAGCATATTGAACCTAGAACACCTCTTAAGGGTTTGGATGTTGTGTCTAATTACTTTACACAAAAATTAAAAATTTAACACTTAAAAAAAATGAAAACAAAACATTTTTAAAAAAACAAGTATTAAAAATTTAATTATGTGTAAACCATATTGAACCTAGAACACCACTTAGGGGTTTGGATGTTGTATCTAATTAGTTTACACAAAAATTAAAAATTTAACACTTATCAAAAAAAAAAAAAAAAAAAAAAAACTAAACACTTAAGAAAACAAGTGTTAAACATTTAATTATGTGTAAAGCATATTAAACCTAGAACACCTCTTAGGGGTTTGGATGTTGTGTCTAATTACTTTACACAAAATTGAAAGATTTAACACTTATCAAAAAAAAAAACATTAAAAAAAAAACAAGTGTTAAAAATTTAATTATGTATTAAACCTATAACACCTCTTAGGAGTTTGGATGTTGTGTCCAATTAGTTTACAAAAAAATTAAAATTTAACACTTATCAAAAAACAAAACATTTAAAAAGAAAAAAGTGTTAAAATTTAATTATGTGTAAACCATATTAAACCTAGAACACCTCTTAGAAGTTTGGATGTTGTGTCCAATTATTTTACACAAAATTTAAAAATTCAACACTTATCAAAAAAAAAAAACAAGTGTTAAAAATTTAATTATGTGTAAAGCATATTGAGCCTAGAACACCTCTTAAGGGTTTGGATGTCGTGTCTAATTACTTTAGACAAAAATTAAAAATTTAACACTTAAAAAAAATGAAAACAAAACATTTTTTAATAAAACAAGTATTAAAAATTTAATTATGTGTAAACCATATTGAACCTAGAACACCACTTAGGGGTTTGGATGTTGTATATAATTAGTTTACACAAAAATTAAAAATTTAACACTTATCAAAAAAAAAAAAAAAAAAAACAAAACACTTAAGAAAACAAGTGTTAAACATTTAATTATGTGTAAAGCATATTAAACCTAGAACACCTCTTAGGGGTTTGGATGTTGTGTCTAATTACTTTACACAAAATTTAAAGATTTAACACTTATTAAAAAAAAAACTAAAAAAAAAAAACTAAAAAAAAACAAAACACTTAAGAAAACAAGTGTTAAACATTTAATTATGTGTAAAGCATATTAAACCTAGAACACCTCTTAGGGGTTTGGATGTTGTGTCTAATTTCTTTACATAAAATTTAAAGATTTAACACTTATTAAAAAAAAAAACTATAAAAAAAACAAAAAAAAAACAAAACACTTAAGAAAACAAGTGTTAAACATTTAATTATGTGTAAAGCATATTAAACCTAGAACACCTCTTAGGGGTTTGGATGTTGTGTCTAATCTACATATACATTTTTATAGTACTTTTTTGCTTTAATTCTTTTGGATCCGGGTTTGACCCGGGTTTTAGTCTATTCGGATCTTGGATTAGCAATTTAAGGGATGTTGTCTTAATTTCAAACTAATAAATGAAGCCATGTTGTCTTAATATCTTTCATATTAATGACCCTAATAAATAGCCGATTTTAATGGAAAATCGTTTTCATATCTATGCTCATAATAAATGTCCAGATTTTAACAATATAACGTATTTATTTTTTTAACAGTATATATATATAGGCAATTGCCCATATATATATTTATTTATATATTTTAACAGTATATATTTTTTTTAATTATATATATATTATGTTAATAAATTTGTTTAATATTCTAATAATAAGCTATGTCATTTTTCTTTTACAATAACAGATTAAATATAGGCAATTGCCCATTTAAATTGCAATAAATTTAAAATCAAAATAACAATCTATATATATATTTTTGCAGGGGGTTTTTGCTTTTAATAATTTGGATCCGGGTTTTACTCGGTTTTACTATATCCGGATCTTGGATAAGACATTTAAGGAAATCTAAAAAAAATCGTCATTAATGTAGATAATTACACATATATTTCGGTATAAGCATATTCCAAAAATCTCTCCTAAATCAAAGATGTTACGTTCAAAAATTGTTGCCAAAAATCTCTCGTTTTCCTTCTAAAATCTCTACCATTGGCTGTCATCCCAACTAATTACTCATAATTATCTTTCCTATATTTCTTTTTTTTTTTTAGATTTGCAAGAAAATTACTCAATTCCAAAAATAAAAGATTTTGAAGATATTGTTACTTGATCAGCAAGATTTTAGGAGCTCACTCACCCAAAACCCTATAGTATTCTCAAAACATTATAAATACCTTTCATTAGTCTAATAAAAACTCACCAGTTTTACAGAAAATGAGAAATCTCAGACGTGATGCAATCTGTACGGACTCCGGGAAGAGCTAGGAGACAGTGGTGAACCGGGATCTAAACCTCGCCGACGATGTGAAGATGGTGACGAGGAGGAGATCGTAATTCTTTAGGTTTCGATTGGCAAAACAAGACGATCGGCGATCCAAAGCTCCACCGCCTGAAACGCAACATCGAATTGATCACACCGAATATCTTCAGATATCGGATATGCTTTTCCGGTGGTAGCTTCAAAATACACGCCGAGAACTCCTTGATACGTTACACGGAGAGTAGATCCATGCGTTTTGCTGTAGCTTTGAAGAAACAAGGCTCAGATCGACGGAGCCGTTACTGTGACCGTTAACGACGGTGACTTCATCTGCTAAACCACCGATGATTGAGTTTGAACTTTCCGTTTCTAAGTTTTTCATTTTGGGTATATGAGAGAGTTGAATAAACACAATTTGGGCTCTGTAGGTCTTTACAAAATTGGTAGACATGATTCTTTGTTATTGGGTTCTAATACTCTATGTGTTTATTTTTTCATTATGTGAACTAATGAAAGTTGCATACTTAATTTTTTTTTCATGGCAGTTCTAAACATATTATTTTTAATATTTGTGATTATATAACAATAATAGGTTAGTGTTAATTACATGGATCATTAAGGTTTGAATAGTGATAAAATAATTAGAAAATACAAATAAAATAACAAAGCCAGTGCAAAACTATTAATTCAGACCTTAATTATCGGATCAGTTCAAGCTTTAACCCATGTCTTTTTCTGAAATTGCTAAAAGAAAATACAAATAAAATAACAAAGCCAGTGCAAAACTATTAATTCAGACCTTAATTATCGGATCAGTTCAAGCTTTAACCCATGTCTTTTTCTGAAATTGCTAAAAATAAGTAATGTCCTCAAATAAATTCAAATATCAAATCTTCATAAATACATTAAATACGTAAGATTTAAAATTATGGAGCAATCTTTTCTAATTAAATTCAAAAATTTCTAATTGATATATTTAAATTTTTTGGCTTTTGTTTGCCCATTTAGCTATGGTTTTTGAGTTTTTATAAAATAGTTTTAAATATTACGGGACGAATTGTATGACACAGGTTTGGTTAGGATTGATATTAATATAAAATTAAAATATCACTAATATATCGCTATAACACATATTAAATCCTCATTTTATTATTTAAAATTTAGCATACGGTATACCGCGGGTAAAATCAGTATAAGACGGGTTAAATCAGCATCTTATTCAAAATCATACAATTGAATCTATTGTTTTTATACTACGTCTATCTATAAAATTTCAATTTTTGTAATAAAATTTCGTCTCACGGTGTATTATACATTTAAATTAAACAAAAAAATAGTATATATCTATAGAGTATCTTAAAACAAAATTTAATAAATTTTTCTAATAAAAATATAGACCCGCGGTGTACCGCGGGTTAACATCTAGTTACTTTACACAAAATTTAAAGATTTAACACTTATTAAAAAAAAAACTAAAACTAAAAAAAACTAAAAAAAAAACAAAACACTTAAGAAAACAAGTGTTAAACATTTAATTATGTGTAAAGTATATTAAACCTAGAACACCTCTTAGGGGTTTGGATGTTGTGTCTAATTACTTTACACAAAATTTAAAGATTTAACACTTATTAAAAAAAAAAACTATAAAAAAAACAAAAAAAAAACAAAACACTTAAGAAAACAAGTGTTAAACATTTAATTATGTGTAAAGCATATTAAACCTAGAACACCTCTTAGGGGTTTGGATGTTGTGTCTAATTACTTTACACAAAATTTAAAGATTTAACACTTATTAAAAAAAAAAAAAAACAAAAAAACTAAAAAAAAACAAAACACTTAAGAAAACAAGTGTTAAACATTTAATTATGTGTAAAGTATATTAAACCTAGAACACCTCTTAGGGGTTTGGATGTTGTGTCTAATTACTTTACACAAAATTTAAAGATTTAACACTTATTAAAAAAAAAAACTATAAAAAAAACAAAAAAAAAAAACAAAACACTTATGAAAACAAGTGTTAAACATTTAATTATGTGTAAAGCATATTAAACCTAGAACACCTCTTAGGGGTTTGGATGTTGTGTCTAATTACTTTACACAAAATTTAAAGATTTAACACTTATTAAAAAAAAAATAAAACAAAAAAACTAAAAAAAAACAAAACACTTAAGAAAACAAGTGTTAAACATTTAATTATGTGTAAAGCATATTAAACCTAGAACACCTCTTAGGGGTTTGGATGTTGTGTCTAATTACTTTACACAAAATTTAAAGATTTAACACTTATTAAAAAAAAAAACAAAAAAAAAAACAAAACACTTAAGAAAACAAGTGTTAAACATTTAATTATGTGTAAAGCATATTAAACCTAGAACACCTCTTAGGGGTTTGGATGTTGTGTCTAATTTCTTTACACAAAAATTAAAAATTAACACTTAAAAAATAAAAATTAGATTTGAAAAAACGTTTAAACCTTTGAAAACCGTAAAAAAAAAAAGATTTTGTACTTTATAAGGCAATTAAGCCAACAGTCGGGCCTTCGTAGAAAGCCTAATACTGTTTGTTTGATTTAAAATGCAAATGGATACTTTTATTTATAGGGTCATAAGTTAGTAACTGTTTGCTTTTTTTTCGATGTGGGACTCAATTTTTTATTGGGCTTTTGTGATATGGCGGCGGCCCAAACGTAAGCCCAATCTATTTCAGAAACTGAGAGTTATTAAAAAGATCGAACGGCTCAAAATTAAAAACATTTATTTTTTGTTTATTTTTCGAGAATTGTCTCCATCCAAAAAAAAAGAGAGTCCTCCTCTAAAGTGGGAAGTGTAAAAGCAAAAGATCAGACCATTCTTCTTCTCCCCATGTATATGCTTATAGGTCCCGGCGTCGGTTCAACCGCCGTAACCATAGGCATATCTCCCAAGCACTCCCTTCTGTTCCGGTCTGCTCGGCTCGGTTCCTTGCGGTTGCTCGGCTTGGTTTCTTGATCCATTTGTTCCACGTTGTGCCCCAAGATGAGGTTTTGCTATTTTCTAAACAACACACTCATGATTCATGATCGTTTTTAGGGCTCAATTTTTGTTTTTTAATTTTTCTCCGGTATAGGTCTCCGAGACTCCGACGGCTGATTTTCCGGTGGTTACCCTTCAGATGAAGAATGGCATGGTTACATTAATAACAAAGACAGAGTACTTCTCAAGGTAATTCTGTTTCCTCTCTAATGGCATAAATCACTCATCACCAACTTCTGCTGGAGCATTGTGTATTGATCCTGACTCTACTTGGATTGAGCAACGGTCTCAATATCAATCACGACGTGATCTCTCATCGCTGCTATCGGAACACCGTCGTCTTCTTCGCAGGATTTTTCCGATTTCGCCGTGAGATTAGATCTGCAAACAGGGCAAGTCGCGTGCGAGTAAAGCCAAGCGTCGATACAATCGATATGGAACAAATGGTTACAAATCGGAAGCAATCGCACTGTTTCATGATCTTCCAATTCGTTGAGACAAATCGCACATTCTAAATCCTTGGATCCGATCTTCGATTCTTTAACGGTGGAGTAAGCGAAAACAGGGAAGCTTTCGACGACGGCGTTGTCAAGTCCGCCTCGCCGTGAAAAGTTGTCGTTAGCGCGGCGGCGGAAGTATCTGGTGGAGGAATCGGGGTTAGAGCGAGTGCAATGGCGGATATAGACGGAGAGTAATCCGGTGAGGAAGAAGAGGGCGACGAGAACGGTAAAGACCGTGGTCTTCGACGGAGTGTGACCACCCGGTTGCAAATCAGGCGGCCTCGGTGAGAATGATTGGGCATTGGCTTTGCTCTGTAGGATGATTGCCACGTGGAAGAAGATAATCCAACAGTGACGGTTAAAACACTCGACGCGTGTCATCGTTCATTCGAAGCGACGCCGGAAAGATATTAACGGCTGAGATTTATCCACGATGCATTAGATTTCTGCTTGCAAATGCTTTTTTTTCGTAAGGTTATAGACGCAAAATATGTCAAATACGAAGGATATGTTTTATATATACTTAGAGAGGAGAAGCATAGAGTTGTCCCGATTAAACTTCAAAAGGTAATAATAATTATATTGTTTTGACTTTTAGATGAACTTAAAAAAAAGGTTTTTAAATGAGGACAATAGGCAAAATTATGACAAATTGAGGGTGATATGTTCGTTACAATTTCATTTATAACTAGTTATTATTCTCTACTTGTTTAGATGAAATAGTCTAATCCGCTAAACTGTGTGCTAGGATTATATATGTCAATTATGTTTATCCACATGTTCGCTGCATATACACGAATTCTTTGTCCCTTCCATAGGGTCAAATTAATCAATTCTTATAGGTCAGAATGATTCGTCGTACAATTGCCTTTTGCTTGATTTCAGACAAGAAAATAACAAACAAGCACAGAAAAACAACATAAGTAGATAAGTGGTGTGTGATCGCCTTGGCAACAAAAGAAAATAAAGATTGATATTTATGGCCACAACAACAATACGAGTTATCGATCATAAGTCATAACAATTGGACATTGCAGCTATTGGTTTTGGTTCTATCACCTTCTAAAATCAGATAGATACAAACTTGATACGGATAAATGAGAATTGCAGAATCTCCACACTTGAACTTATAATAATCCAAAGAGACATATATGGCAGGAATTTAAAAATCTTTTTCATTCTTTTTCTAGCATCTGTATATTCTTCAAAGGGCATGTGCTCGGGCATCATTATCCAAATTCAGTTTATACCAATCACATATATATACTAGTATTTTTGCAGTAACTTTTGAGTCGGATGGATAAAATTGTTCTAATATTAGATTCCATGCTGATCCAGTAGTAGATATACATCTTAAATTGTAACATGTAGAAAACGTGTACAGGAACGTCGACAACAAGTATTAAAAATTTAATTATGTGTAAATCATATTGAACCTAGAACATGATATTGTATCTAATTAGTTTAGACAAAATTTAAAATTTAATACTTACCAAAGAAAAGAAAAACAACATTTTTAAAAAATAAGTGTTAAGAACTTAATTATGTGTAAATTATATTGAACCTCGAACACCTCTTAGGGATTTAGATGTTGTATCCAATTAGTTTATACAAAATTTTTAAAATTTAACACTTACCAAAAAAAATTAAAAATTAAAAAAAAAAAAACAAGTGTTAAAAACTTAATTATGTGTAAATAATATTGAATCTAGAACACCTCTTAGAGGTTTGGATGTTGTATCCAATTAGTTTACACAAATTTTTAAAATTTAACACTAATCAAAAAAAAAAAAAACATTAAAAAAAAAATAAGTGTTAAAAATTTAATTATGTATTGAACCTATAACACCTCTTAGGAGTTTGGATGTTGTGTCCAATTAGTTTACACAAAATTTAAAAATTCAACACTTATCAAAAAAAAAAAACTTAAAAAAAAAACAAGTGTTAAAAATTTAATTATGTGTAAAGCATATTGAACCTAGAACACCTCTTAAGGGTTTGGATGTTGTGTCTAATTACTTTACACAAAAATTAAAAATTTAACACTTAAAAAAAATGAAAACAAAACATTTTTAAAAAAACAAGTATTAAAAGTTTAATTATGTGTAAACCATATTGAACCTAGAACACCACTTAGGGGTTTGGATGTTGTATCTAATTAGTTTACACAAAAATTAAAAATTTAACACTTATCAAAAAAAAAAAAAAAAAACAAAAAACAAAACACTTAAGAAAACAAGTGTTAAACATTTAATTATGTGTAAAGCATATTAAACCTAGAACACCTCTTAGGGGTTTGGATGTTGTGTCTAATTACTTTACACAAAATTTAAAGATTTAACACTTATTAAAAAAAAAAACTCAAAAAAAAACAAAACACTTAAGAAAACAAGTGGTAAACATTTAATTATGTGTAAAGCATATTAAACCTAGAACACCTCTTAGGAGTTTGGATGTTGTGTCTAATTACATTAGACAAAATTTAAAGATTTAACACTTATTAAAAAAAAAACTAAAAAAAAAACAAAACACTTAAGAAAACAAGTGTTAAACATTTAATTATGTGTAAAGCATATTAAACCTAGAACACCTCTTAAGGGTTTGGATGTTGTGTCTAATTACTTTACACAAAATTTAAAGATTTAACACTTATTAAAAAAAAAAAACTAAAAAAAAAACTAAAAAAAAAAACAAGTATTAAACATTTAATTATGTGTAAAGCATATTAAACCTAGAACACCTCTTAGGGGTTTGGATGTTGTGTCTAATTACTTTACACAAAATTTAAAGATTTAACACTTATTAAAAAAAATAACTAAAAAAAAAACAAAACACTTAAGAAAACAAGTGTTAAACATTTAATTATGTGTAAAGCATATTAAACCTAGAACACCTCTTAAGGGTTTGGATGTTGTGTCTAATTACTTTACACAAAATTTAAAGATTTAACACTTATTAAAAAAAAAAGAAAAAAAAATAAAAAACTAAAAAAAAACAAATGTTAAACATTTAATTATGTGTAAAGCATATTAAACCTAGAACACCTCTTAGGGGTTTGGATGTTGTGTCTAATTTCTTTACACAAAAATTAAAAATTAACACTTAAAAAATAAAAATTAGATTTGAAAAAACGTTTAAACCTTTGAAAACCGTAAAAAAAAAAAGATTTTGTACTTTATAAGGCAATTAAGCCAACAGTCGGGCCTTCGTAGAAAGCCTAATACTGTTAGTTTGATTTAAAATGCAAATGGATACTTTTATTTATAGGGTCATAAGTTAGTAACTGTTTGCTTTTTTTTCGATGTGGGACTCAATTTTTTATTGGGCTTTTGTGATATGGCGGCGGCCCAATCTGTGGCACCTTTTATAATTTGGGTAGAGTTTCAATCTTTATTTCGTTCTTAGCTCAAACTTAAAATATGAAAAAGCGAAAGAACAAAAATGTCACACTTTCTTTAAAGGAATGCACATATATTGTTAATCTCTCCTTGTACACAAAGCAAACCATCCTAGAGAAGAGACTAATGATTATTACCTGGTTCTAATCTTTTACAAAGGACAAAACTAAAGAATCATCAAATCAAAATAAATTAAATCCCCAAATTACAATTTTCTCTTTCTTTATACCCTAAAAAAAATACAGACTTCTCTATAAAAAACGAACAAACAACCTACTATCTCACCCACCAACCTCCCAACCACAAAGGCTAGTGGGTTTTTCTAGTTTTATGATTTGGTGAAGTGGAAAGATTTGGCAACACCCAAGTGGTCAGCTAGTCGTTGTACTGAGGACTGCACTGGTTTAGATACCGGTGAGATCGACTCTGGGAGATTCGGGTGGCATTGAGGTAGATACAGGTCATGATCCTCTGTGCGGATGAAGGAAGTGAGTACAGACCGGCAGAATATGAATCTACACAACAAGAGACAACATTTGACAAGAGTCCATGCTTTGTGAGGTTTTGATTCCGAAAACTGCGAAAAAAACTCACCTGAGAATCAGCCGTCTCAAGAATGGATCTGGCAAGACCTGTGCCCACACAAGATTCAAGACTTTGGAAGTCAAGAGAATCGTTTCCCACTCAGAAAAGGAAGCAGAAAGTATGCTCTCTGCTTCATCATAAACTTCCTGAAGATTGTAATTAAAAATGGTAAAGAGGCATGCCGCATTATGAAAGTTTGGTTGATTTACGGTACTTCAAATCACAAGTGCTTACAGGGTCGGGGTTTGAGTTTGAGAGGCCAAGCATTTGACAGAATGCTTGTAAAGGAGCTGTTAAGAAAAAAGTAAACTGACTTCCGTTTAGTGCTTCTGTATCATCATCAGTAGATGGGTTCTCGAATGATGGCTTCAGAGGAGAAAGAAGCATAGCAACAGGCTCGCCTCTCTCTGCGCCACCCAAAACCTGGAGTTTGTTTATTTTATAACAATCAAATATCGCACAGTTACTGAGAGAAACTATTAGACTCTCCAGAGAAAATGAAACACGAAGTTATGACAAACCTGCCTTGAATGCACGGCTAGTGTCGCTATCAATGATCAAGAAAAGTGGTTTCCGTGTAAAAGGGATTAGATCACCAGGGTAAAGATTGTTTGAACCTGCAGAAAAACGAGACAGTGAGTGAGAAAAGTCTGTTCTTTGGAGACATACTCAAATGTTAATCCGAAGAAAACGACTTACCAGAGCCTCCTCTAGGACCTAACCAGAGATGATCCTCATAATAATCACCTGACGACATTTTTCCATTGCTATGTGGTTCTGACTTGTAACTTTTCTGTTCTTGGGAGGCTCGTGCAAGCAGCTTGCTTTTTGATGTTCTGCTTGAACCGACAGAGTTCTCTGGTTGCGCAACATTTTCACGAGCAGGACCACCTGGATAATAATAACCAATATCGTTGATACAACATAATAAGAAAATACCAACCATTAAAGTTCCAGTGACAAATTAAAGAAAACTAACCTGAAGCTGACAAATATAACAGCATCACAGTCTCTGGAGAGAGCTCATCACAAATCATTGCCAAAACCTGAAAAATATATCATCAGTAAACAACTAAACATAACGAATGGACACTATAAAGGTAAAGTCAAGAAGTCCTGCAGATTTTTCTATATGATACATATAAAACTCACCGCTAGCAAGTGAGATACCGTGGGACGATAAAGAATTGCTTTTCTAGGATTAGGAGGTAATGATGGATCAGCCATATCAGCAGCCAACTTCATATCTATAAGCCCAGAAGTTAAAGTATGATCAATCACAAAACCATTCTCCTTCGCTTCAACAACAGGCCGTTTTTGGTAAAAAGATCCACTGGGTTCCCATTCTAAACACTGCATCATTCTATACGTATCCAAGGTGACTTCAGCATATTTCACCTGAGGAAAAAACAAACTCATATAATGAGATCATTAGGAAGGTAACAGAGTAGAAAGTTTAGGTTCCCTAAAAACAAACACTGCTTGTTTACCTCATTACGGTGATAACTAGCCAAAAGAGCATCACGAAACTTAAACAACTTCTTAGCGTGGAACCGCGCTAGATATGTTTGAGAAGCTGGATATGAATCAAGCATTGCACAATAACGTAGAGGCCTAACATAAGTTAAATTTGTATCAGATTTAATAAACCGAGTGATTTCTTGCACAACTAGCCTCCACTCCTTAAAGTTTGTCTCCTACACAAAAAAAATATCCCCAAAATCCATCATCAAGTCCTCCTCAACAGTATAAAAATAGAGACTTTGTACCAATATACACAAGAATGAATCAAAAGGGGTCAGATCAAAATAATTACCCTGAAATTAGATTTGCTGTCATCAACCAAAACCCTAAGCTTCTCAGCTAAATGCAAAACCATTTCTTTCCGATCAACAATCAAGGAAACAAGCAAAAACCTCGCATAAAACCTTAACTCCTTAAATCGAGCACCAAGATCTTTCCCTTGAGCTTCATCAAAGTACCTCCTCCTCAAAATCGCTTCATAGAAGACATAAGCCTCAAGAAGAAACCTTGCTTCACTAGTCCTCATGTACTGACTAAAGTAAAGCTGACCAATCCGGCTCGCGATCTCGCCGATTTCCCATCGGTTTAAACCGGACTCGACCAGCTTCGACCTATAAGATTGCTGATAATTCCATAGTTTCATATAAGCTTTGAAAACCTTTTGGAAGTAGTGACTCTGTGCTCTTCCAAACGCAGGAAGATCGCGAACTCTGGCGAATTTCCGGTCAGCGTTCTCCACCAAAGCTCGGAAATTGCTCGAAACATCTTCACCCGCCATGTGACAGCTAATTTCCCTCAGTTCCGGTGAAAACCGCCGTCGTTTATCATCGGCTCTAGAGAGAGAGAGAGAGAAAGACTAATCAATGGGAACGACGGTGGTTCAGAGAAAGAGAGAGATAAATATGATTTTCACTTTAATTTAATTTTTTGTGTTTGTCCCAATTTATCCTCCTTATATTTTTCTCAACTTTAAGTTTATTTTATTATTTTCCTTCTTTTTTTTTGACAAATTTTAGTATTATTTTCCTCGTGTAGTTGTTGATGGTCACCTTTCTAAAAGCAGTTGAAGAAAAAAAATGAATTCTTGGGATTAATAATAATAGTTTATAATTATTGTTAAGTCGTCGTACCTATAATTTTGAGAGAAAATCAAGAAGAGATTTTGCGTTTGTCATTTCTACTTTATATTTTCTTTATTATGAAATTGAGTTTTTTTCTTTATACTTTCAAATAAGATGATCATTATTACAAATGTTTTAAATTAGCATATATTGTTTTTTTCAATTCAAATTGACATTTAGCAATGTTAAACATTGTTATTTAGCTGGATTAACAGTATTATTATTATTAGTATATATTATATGCATCGTTATTAGCAAAAACGCATGTGAGCACGAACCCACAAAAGAATTTTGCAGAATCATATAATATATAGTACATCTCGTTTGTGTTGTGTAATGATCGTGAGACGAGCTGGCATCAACACACACACGAAAATACATGATGATTATACGTACATGTATACTTTAACAACACATGTCCGTATCGTACGTACATACTTAAGACAGAGGATACATACTTAAGACAGAGGATTAGTCTCCAAGAAGACCTAACTCATCCGTATACGATCTTCTAAATATAGAACAATTAAATGGTCGTCTTTTGTTAGCTTTGTGTATTATATTTATCAATTTGGTATAAGAAAATAATGATGGTAGCAATAAGCAACTTGCACATGATTTTTGGTGTGACGCGAAACCCTTTTCATAATCATAGAAATGATTCTTTAAACTGTGATTAACTTATGTGTAGTCAGTGTAGATGTATGTGTTGAACTCATGATAGATTGATTCGGTAAGCGGCAGCAACATCTATAATTATTTAGAGGAACCCTAGTGGGGAAAAAGTGTTATAAGTTGTTTTCAGTCGGTTGCTTTCGACTTTTAAATACGAAAATAAATATATAACTGTGATAAGTTAGTAGTTGCAAACCATAATTCACAAATTAGAGTTTATAGTATAATGATATGTATCAGTATCATCACCATATTATATAATTCATCTTCACAATATGTGGATGAAACTTTAGATTCAATATTTGATAGTAATTCTTAAGTGGTAAAACAAAACAAAACTCGTTGACTTTCTCACTGATTAGTGGTCTTTTTGCTTTTCGGATGTTGTTCTAAATTCATCTAGTGGTGTAATCATCACATCTACTAAATTTTATATTAAAGGTGGACCGACGTGACATGTCGCGTCGCTAATGCTCACTTTTATTCCGGTCCTGTTGTGTACATTAACATGATAACCAAATCAACTTTTAGTGGTCGAGATTAATATGTAATATGATCAGGAATCAATAAAACCATTTAAGGTGCTAGGTTTTTTTTTTTTAACCATAACAACTGTCATGTGATTGACTACTCAGATGAGAATCCAGGGGCGGAGGGAGTGTAGACTCGTAGGGGTCAATTGACTCCGGTGAAATTTAAAAAAATAGTTGAATTTTTATATAAAATAAATTATTGACCCCAATCCAATAAAAATATTGACCCCTATAAAAAAATTATATTACAAACCCAATAATTACACTGTACTTACAGATAATATTAAGCCTAATAAAATTTATTTTAAGTAAATATACTACAATTAAACCCATTAATATAAATAATATAATATTTTAATATTTATTTTGAGCTGATCTAAAAACGTTTTACCTTCTTCTTCTTTCTTCTTTGTGTTTTTAATCAATCTTCGATCGTGTGATGATGGAGACAAAAAAACATATTTCACATCTTTTAGTATATCGACTTATTAAGTTATCTTTTATGCATCTTTTAGAAAAAAATATATTTTGACCCCGATGAATAGATTTTCTGGCTCCGCCACTGTGATGGTTGACACACACACAAAAACACCATAGATAAGAAAGAGGATATAAGAAAAGTTGTAAAAAAAAAATGAATATATGAAAAATGTCATATACATATTTTGTCTTTACATATGCTAATTAAAATACGAGTGGGGCTGATATCCATTAACTTATTATCGTAGTAGTTAGATGTTAGTTGTCTGAACTCTATTTTTATTTATTTATATTCTGAATATCCATATTTAAATGTCGGGCTTATTCTGGTTGATACATGGAACAAATTAATATAAAAGTCTAAACTAATTTCATTTGCTTTCGTAGATCAAATGGTACATCGCCTTTTTTTTTTTAGCTAAAAGCTTTATTAGGTGGGAAACTTTATTAGCTAGTTACAAAATGTACCTCTATTGTGGACATGTTTTAGTTTTAATTTCTTATGTGACCTATCACGAGATTACATTCCGTTGGACCTAAAAAACAAACATAAACCCCCAAGCAAAAAAATCAATTAAAAATTCGTAATTGTTTTTAAATATCAGTCCAAAACTATGGATTATCTGTCTTATATGTTGGAACGTTCAACATCCGGTCTTACGAATAACTGAGGGAATATAAAAGTTTAATGTGTTATTTCTTGTTATGAATATTCGAAAATTCAGCTCGATTGACTGACTAGTCGCAGTCTTGCGACAACAAAAGAAACAATTGGTATATATGCTAATTTCATAAATAAAATGAATTTACCACAAGATCTACTACTATAGTTTTATGTAAGATAGAATGAAAAGATGGAGAAAAAAAATATAAAGAGCAAAAGAAAAATGTGACTCCAAATCAGTGCATGAACCTATTAGTGTCAAAGTAGAAGAAAAAAAAAAGAAAGAAGTAAAGATTGTTCTTTTGATAATGTCAACAGATTTGTTTGTGTGTTGGGCACAAAGTAGATTGAAAAGCTTTTGCATTACCAGATAAAAAGAAGGTACTTAATGATGAAGAGAAAAGTAAAGGTTGTTTTTTTTTTTTTATCGTCTAGATTTATTATTAATTGCAAATTATGAGAACTGTTACATAGACGATTCTACAACTGACAATTCCTTCCGACTCTTACTAGATCCACGACAGACTACACTTCCTTCTTCATGATCTTGATGAATACCTTCAATGATCCACGACCTTGCGACACTTCTTTCTCTGCGTAGAATCCTGGCGAACGGCTATAATTGTACATCGCTGGAGATCTTCTGCACACTTGCCTCCATTAATCTGCAAATTTGTTAATAAATCGCAATATCTGGGACTCGAACCCCAGACCTCTTTGTGTAGAAGCATTAATCAACCCTTAGTCAACCAATGGGCCAAGGGGGCTTCCACAAAGTAAAAGTTGTTATCATTTTAAAGTATTTTTTCTCTTAACTCACATATTTGACTATTAGGATTGGTTTAATTTTCTTTGTACTGTTTGGTATGAATGTAAAAGAAAAAGTAATAATGTGTTTGCTTACATTTTTGTAGTATTGGGTCTTTCTTTGGGCCGAACAGCCTAGTAATAAGAATAACAATTGGGCCGCTTTAGTAAATCTCAAGCATATTTAACAATATCCATTCTGATAATTTTATTTTCTGTTTCCACGCTCTTTTGCTTACTGCGGAATAAACACGATGGGCCTCTTGATGGTGTTTTTATATTCTGCTTGTTTCAATGTGTAAACTAAATCAGATCGGAATGGGTTTTTAAAAAGCTCTATTTTTGGGATATTTCATTCAGTTCTAGTTTGCAGTGATTTTGAACGACTATAAGATACTTTTATAGCCAACGTTTTGGATTTCTTATACTATAAGATACGAATTATTTTGCTAATAGCCATTTAGTTAGTGTGAACTTGCGATAACTCTCTATGTTGTGTCGTCTGTCCCAATAACAGAGTCAGAGGAAGACGAAAAGTTGGGTAATGTTTGTGTTTTTTACGTCTGGGGAAAAATGCTTTTTTGTTTAAATATATATAACGCCGAATCATTTGACTCAAATTATTTTTAGGGTAAATTGCATGTTATGGCAGTTGACCAAGTTTTAATTTCATGTTTTGGCAAAGTGAGAATGGGCTTTCAAGTTTTGACAATTTAGTCAAAATCTGACCATTTTACCCCTGCCAGCGTACCGATGTACTGTTCACTGTACGGTTCAGTTATGCGGTTCAGTTATGTACACTGTTCCGGTTTAGTTATGCAGTTCAGTTATGCGATGTACTGTTCACTGTACGGTTCAGTTACGTACACTGTACACGGTTCAGTTATGCGATTGACTGTTCACAATTTTCTTATAATCTTTTGTTTTTTTACATTTAATTTATTTATTGATTTTGTAAATCTAGTTTATATTAGCGTATTTTGAAGTCGAAAAACTAAAATACAAACTCTATAAATATTACGTACACCGTCTCCACAATAGTACATGATATAACTGAAGTACATATCCATTTTATAATCAATACTGTGTATACCGTAAACTACATACACGTAAATAGAAAAAAACTCAAATAAGGACATATTTCTACCAAAAATATCTTACCAATTTCATACAAGTTTTCTACGAACTCAATTAAAAAAATATTAATAATTTGTTTTCAGTAAATAATTGAAATCAACTATGATCAACACACAAATTGACTCTAATGAGACTCACAAAACTCCAGCTCTGTTACGCAATTTACATAATCATATGTCAAATACGAGAAGCAGTAGAAACAAACCTCACAACTAAAGAAAAACATTGAGGAATAGTATGTTTTAACGTGACACAGAGCCGTGTGTGGTTTGAAAATCTTAAACACTTGTCAGTAGATGATTCGCTTTTCCATTTTATAAATATTTATTGTTTTTATATTTTTAGTTAAAATTCTTTTTTTTTCTATCAGACCCATTTTCATATTTTTATTTCTATTTTAAATAATATTTTATTTATTATTATCGAAGACTATTTACGATTAGCAATATCATATACACATATGTGCGTAACGGTAATAATATATACGTACACGGTAA